ATCAAAGTGTTGGTGCTAACCTTTAAAGCCCTAAATGGCCTCGGCCCAGTATACCTCGTCTGTACCCCCATTGTCCAGCCCGGACACGGAGATCCTGCTCCAAGGGCATTCTGGTAGTTCCCTCCCTGTAAGAAGTGAGATTACAGGGAATCAGGCAGAACCAGGGCCTTCTCGGTGGTGGCGCCCACCCTGTGGAATGCCCTGCCATCAGATGTCAAGGAAATAAACAACTATCTGATGTTTAGAAGACATCTGAAGGCAGCCCTGTTTAGGGAAGTTTTAAATGCCTGGTGTTTTATCATGTTTTTAATATTCTGTTGGGAGCCGCCCAGAGTGGCTGGGGAAACCCAGTAAGATGGGCAGGGTATAAATTTACTATTATTATTATTATTATTATTATTATTATTATTTGGCTGCTACCACGAGGTCTACTGACAGCCTCTAGAGTGGATGCTTCCGAAAGAGGGCCATGCAAAATCAAAAGCTACTAGTGGTTATGTGCGACATTAACAATACAGTCCAACCAACAATGCATGTTTGCTAGATAGGCATGATAGGAGTTGAACTCAAAGAGTTTTCTTCTAAATTTGCTAGAGAACACTCTGAGCGCCACACCCACCTGTGCCCTGACAGCGGGAGGGTATAGCCACATATATAATCATCTCACCTGGTTGAGCACTTCCTCCTTGCTCTTCCACCTCATTCCATCTTAAGATAGACTTTGAATTAGCTGAATGCCTTTTTAAGTCTGCCTGAACCAAGTTGCTGTATCCGTTACTCTTCAGCAGCAAGCATTCTGAGTGAGTAAACGTTATTTTTTACCTTTTTCAGGATGGTTTGTGTGGTTTTTGTTTTAAGCGGGGGATAAAAGAGGGATATACCAGGGGAATCCAGCTTGCCTTAAAACATCCTGGATTACTTGAACTGAAAGGCTAAAACTCGCCTACCTAAGCTTCCCTTTTCAGCTACAAAGTGACGCATTCTGCTGAACACAAAAATGCAAGGAAGGAAGGATAATATCTAATAAATATATCCTCTCCTAGCATCTATGCACATCCCTACAGGTTAGCTAACGGGTAGGCAAACTAAGGCCCGGGGGCCGGATCCAGCCCAATCACCTTCTAAATCCAGCCCGCGGACAGTCCGGGAATCAGCATGTTTTTACATGAGTAGAATGTGTCCTTTTATTTAAAATGCATCTCTGGGTTATTTGTGGGGCCTGCCTGGTGTTTTTACATGAGTAGAATGTGTGCTTTTATTTAAAATGCATCTCTGGGTTATTTGTGGGGCATAGGAATTCGTTGTTTTCCCCCAAAAAATATAGTCCAGCCCCCCACAAGGTCTGAGGGATAGTGGACCGGCCCCCTGCTGAAAAAGTTTGCTGACCCCTGGACTAGATGGCTGTGCACCACCTCCCATAGTGGAAAATAGGAAGGTGTCTTACATCAACTCAGACCATTGGGTTCATCTAGCTAGATATTGTGTACACTGACTGGCAACAGCTCTCCAGGGTTTAAGGCAGCGGCCTCTACCAACCGTACCTGGAGATACCCGGGGATTGACCCTGCGAACTTCTGCATGCAAAGCAGGTGTTCTAGCAGTGAGCTGCAGGGCTCTCTGCCAAAATCTCTTTTTTTTTCAACACCGAGTTCTTTGCAACAGGCTCTCTAGATTTCACCGGTGACGACCCAAGTCGCGGAAATTTTATTCCGGTATCTGCAGAGTGCGCAGGCAGCCTGCAAAACGCAGCGTCGTTCCAAACCACCCGTAGAGTAGATAACAGCGGCCACCTTTACCGCTGCGAAGACAAGCAACTGCCGTGTGAAAATCAGCTGGAAACTTCTTCATACACCCCCCAAAAAAATTGTCCTTGATGGAAATTGTCCTGACTGCCCCCCTCCCTCAGCCTCGGAGATCTGGTGTATAACTCAAAGCCAGTCCTGGACATAATTTAAAAGATTCTCCTCCACTTTGGAAGATATTTATAGGCGGGTCAAATGCAAACTTGCCCCGTTCCTTCCCTGGGAAAAGGCCATTTTTGACGGCTCTCTAATGGGCTTTTGCAGAAAGAGTCGTAAACCAAAGCTCTCCCCGTCGTAACAGCATGGCAAGCGAGAGAACTCTCAAAGCATGGAGGTGCTCTCAAGAGTAGTGTTCTGTCCTGTATTCTCAGCACGCAGCGCCGTTTCCATTCTGCTGCAGCCCGCCTTCTGCGAAAAAAGCTACATTATTTATCTCCCTGTCCCGTAAAAAGAAAGGCCGCATCGTTTGGGACTTACGCGCCTTTTCTCAAAACGGAAGAGGTGGCACGAGAGGGGTTTATAGAATCCGGCATGCCGCAAAGGAAGTGGGTAGAGAAAAGCTTTTCCCAGCTTTATAGATTTGTAGACTTGCGGACAATGAAGCTGAATGTTCAGGAGTGATGGAAGAAAGCCCTTCTTCACACAGCACATAGTTAAACTGTGGAACTCACTGCCACAAGGCGCAGTGACGGCCGCCCACCTGGACGGCTTTAAAAGGGGATTGGGAAAATTCATGAAGGAGAAGGCTACAGTACGTTTCCGAGCACAATTCAAAGTGTTGGTGTTGACCTTTAAAGCCCTAAACGGCCTCGGCCCAGTATACCTGAAGGAGCGTCTCCACCCCCATCGTTCTGCCCGGACACTGAGGTCCAGCTCTGAGGGCCTTCTGGCGGTTCCCTCCCTGCGAGAAGTAAAGCTACAGAGAACCAGGCCGAGGGCCTTCTCGGTAGTGGCACCCGCCCTGTGGAACGCCCTCCCACCAGATTTCAGAGATAAACAACTACCTGACATTTAGAAAACATCTAAGTTCAGGGAAGTTTTTAATGTGTGACATTTTGATGTATTTTTAATCTTTGTTGGAAGCCGCCCAGAGTGGCTGGGGAAACCCAGCCAGATGGGCGGGGGTATAAATAATAAATTATTATTATTACTATTATTATTGATGTCTGTCGCTGGAAACCACAGGAGAACTGGATTTGGGTCTTTCTTGGGCATCTGGTCGGCTACTGAGAGAAGAGGGTACTGGACTAGACGAGCCATTGGGCCTGATCCAGCAGCGAGCCTCTTATGTTCTGAAAAACCTCATCCAAGCTCGTAACAGTCACTGCGCACCCCGCCTCTGTGGACCAGCTTCTGACGTGAGCATCACTCCATATGGTGGCGACTGAACGCGTTTTGAGCCCATTTGTATGTCGAGGAGGGAATAAACAGCAAAAATGCACAAGCGACACCCCCCCCCCTTTTCCCTCACGCCTGCCTGCCGCTTCCAAACCGCTCCCTCCCCCTTGATGGAAAACATTTAACAGCTACGTTGAGGTTCCATTTCCTGAAACTACATACGCGCGCGCGCACACACACACACACATTCTCTTGCTTTACCTCCCGCAAACCATCTTCCTCCTACTTGGCCAAACCATCTGTCCTAATCGTCCTGGGCAAATGTTTCCTGAGGAAAAAAAGGGGGGGGGAGAGCTCATCTTCCCCAAACCCACAAATTCTGGGGCATCATAGATAGGGAAAAGGTGGAGAAAGGGAGGGAAGTGAATTTAAAAAAAAAAAAATCTGGAAGGAGTTCAGCAATCATCAATTTTAATTATAATGCCAGCTCCATCATTTTTTTTTTTTAATTAAATCTACTTGATGGATGCTGCATTTTTCCTTGTTTCTTTTTCATCATCTCCCCCGCATCCAAGAAAGGAACCCACAATCCATTAGATGAGATCTTCCGCCGCTGCGCTTACAAAGAAACCATCCGAAATTTTAAAAATTATGGGTGTTGAATTGTATGTAAGTACATTTAGCTGGGCAACGGGAGTAGGATATAATCTGAGTTTATTTTATTTTATAAATAGCATGTTTCCCCCTCCAGGTAAGAGACATTCCAAATCATTTTGCCCCTCCTTTAGATTAAAAAAGAAGTAGTAGTCGTCGTCTCTCCCCGTCTATCTCCTCTTTTTTGCACATGAATGGAATCAACTGCCCCGACTCCAATTCTGGGTTTGTTCATTTTTTTTCTGTATCTCTTCCGCTTCAGTTCATGTAAAGGGTATGATAGCCACCATCACTCCCAAACATCATAGATTGTAGACAGTTCCCTAGGCTGTAAAGGCCCACGGGGAAGGAGTCTTGGAAGATATGCGGGCTTTTTGCAGTATTGTAAAGGACACTTTCACACATATTGGCCTGAAGAAGAAAGTCCTTGTTATAAAAAGAAAAGAAAAGCAGGCTGAGGAGGCAAGTCTTTTCTTTTTGATCAGTCTGAAGAGGGAAGTCTTTTTTCCCCAATTGCCCCAGCCCTTTTCTCCCTCGTTACATATTTATGCACAAACGCAAAAGGGAAGATGAAAGATTGTTTGAGGTGCATTTGCACGATGGAGGCTCAGCAAGCCACACGTGTTTGTATCGCAATCTACTGCAAACCTTCTCCTAGGCGGGCCATTCACCTTGGCCTCTAGTCGCCAACACGCTGTCAACAAAACATTCACCAGTTGAGAAGGTGGGCCCAAGGGAGACCCACCAACGAAGCTATAGAAATCTCTTAGACATGGGACAACGAAAGATCTCAAGTTCTCGATCCATAATGTCCAGTATAATTCCTTGAGGGGCAAGGACATTCTTGTAGACAAAGCACATTTTTAAAAATAACCATCCAAGGATCAAGCTCATTTTAAGAAAACGGCTTCCATTTTGTTTTGTCTGCGATATAAATATGGAAGGGCAGGGATTGCTTTTCCAAAGTCACTCCCACCCCCCTTGGGATTAGAGGGAACCAGGAAAGCGACCTCAAGCTCCACCTCCTTGATGTCATTTCCTGGTTGTCTTGAGGGCCGCCATTTTGGAGGGAGCACAGTTGAGACGCTCTGGCTCCCTGAGTGACAGCCCACCGCTGTCTGCGCACCAACAAGGCCCTCATTGCCCAGTTTGGGGGGCAAAGGCAACGTCAAGGCTGCAGTCACGGCCTCCAACCCCCGGCTGCTTTCACTGCATGGAGATGTAGGGCCAGTTGAAGCTGGACCCGGAAAGGAGCATGTCTCGAATCAGCGTCTCGATGGGGGTCTTGCCTACCAAGCGCACAAAGAAGAGCTGCTCGATCACGGGGGCGGAGACGATGCGCAGAGAGGGGAGGCGGAGGAGGAGGCGCCCAAATCGGCTGGGCTGGTTGGGGTACTGGTTACGGACATACTCTTCCAAGGCACACTGGGACTTCTCCTGGACGTTCTCCACGTGGCACAAGTCTGTCAGCCCCACCGCATCTGCAAGGGGGAGAAGGAAAGAAGGTTTGCATGGGAGATCAACTGATCGGAGTGAGAGCCCAGCTGATGGATCTGGCTAGAGAGGATCCCATCTAGGCCAGCACCCTATTCTCTTTTTTTATATATATAATAATTATTTATTATTTTCCTTATATATACTTTTACAGTCCTTATACATACTTTTACAGTCCTTATACATACCTTTACAGTACAATACAATAAATCACAGGGACGCGGGTGGCGCTGTGGGTTAAACCACAGAGCCTAGAACTTGCCGATCAGAAGGTCGGCGGTTTGAATCCCCACGACGGGGTGAGCTCCTGTTGCTCGGTCCCTGCTCCTGCCAACCAAGCAGTTCAAAAGCACGTCAAAGTGCAAGCAGATAAATAGGTACCGCGCCGGCGGGAAGGTAAATGGCGTTTCCGTGCGCTGCTCTGGTTCACCAGAAGCGGCTTAGTCATGCTGGCCACATGACCCGGAAGCTGTATGCCGGCTCCCTCGGCCAGTAAAGCGAGTTGAGCGCCACAACCCCAGAGTCGGTTATGACTGGACCTAATGGTCAGGGGTCCCTTTACCTTTACAATAAATCACATAGATACTATTAGCTCTGCCGAGCTTGCGACTTCCCTCCATCCCTTCAGCAAGTACCCCTTATTTTCTTATATCGCGTATTCTATTTATAAACCTTGTATCTGCCGTACATTGTAAGAGCTATTTCAACCCCGCCAGTGTTTTTAAAGTTTTGCAATTATCCTTTATATACACTATAAATTTTACTCCAATTTTCTTGAAACCTCTGATCATCCTGGTCCCGAATTCTTCCCGTCAGTTTGGCTAACTCCGCGTAGCTCATCATTTTTGTCTGCCACTCCGCAATGATAGGAACTTCTTGTAATTTCCAGTTTGGGGCAAGCATGTTTCTTGCCGCTGCTGTGGTGTACATAAAAAGTCTTTGGTCGACTTTCTTAATTTCCTTCCCCATCAAACCCAACAAAAAGACTTCTGGGTTTTTTGGGAAAGGTGTCTTTAAATATTTTCTTGAGTTCATTGTAAATTAACTCCCAAAAATTCTTAACTTTATCACAAGTCCACCACATGCGGTAAAAGTCACCATCCGCCGCCATCCGCTGAAGATGGAGTTTATGGAGCTGGCTGATCTCACCGGGAGAATCCGCGACCAGAAAGAAGAGGAATACCAAGAAGATTGGAAGAAATTTAAAGGCTATTTGAATAAATATTGTAATATTAAAGATATGTAATCTCCTGAAGGAATCAATTAGGCCTAGGATTAAATTGGGATTAAATAAATAAATAAGAAAATATACGATAAGAAAAGTTAGGAAATATGATTATGACTGTGATATGGTTTTATGAAATAATGATATTGGAAACTGCTATATATATAATTACTAAGAAACTCAGATGGAAGAGATTTGAGGAAGTCAAGTAATACGTTTATGAAGATGGATTTTGATTAATTAAGTTTTAGCTTATGTGGTGATTTGATGTATTTTATGTTTTATGTTCTTTTTCCTTTTTCCGTTTCATTCTTTTTTCTTTATTATTGTTGGCTTTTTCTTCTGTTATGTTTATGTACGGAAAATAATAAATATTATTGTTTTTTAAAAAGTCACCATCCGCTAGGCCAGCATCCTATTCTCACATGGGCCAAACAGATGCACAAGGGGAAGCGCACACCAGGGCCACAGCACAACCGAAACTCCAGCTCCTCCAGCCCTGGATTTATAGAAGCCGTTCCGGTTTCTGATCTGATCCCACTTTTCCTTATTTTCACTGGAGAAATGTTGGAGGGTATGGAGTTATGCGACACACACACACACACACCCGAGCCAAGGAGAAAAGTATCATATCGGCCCGAATATAAGCCGCACCTGAATATACGCCGCACCTTTAAAATTTCACAGGCACTCACACCCGTTCCATTTTACCGTATGTCTGTTCCAGCAGCGATATCATAAAAGCCAGTTTTGTAAGGTCGCAAATTTAAGCCACACTTTTAACTTTTCACGGTCGGAATTTGAAAAAAAAAAAGGGTGGCTTATTTTCAGGCCAATACGGTAACTTTACAACCTTCAGAAGACATCAGAAGACAACCCTGTATAGGGAAGGTTTTTTAAAAAATGGTTCAAGTTTTATTATGTTTTTATGTATGTTGGAAGCTGCCCAGAGTGGTTGAGGGAACCCAGTCAGATGGGCAGGGTATAAATACTAAAATAACAACAGCAATAATAAGGGAATAAAGGTAAAGGGACCCCTGGCCATTAGGTCTAGTCGTGACCGACTCTGGGGTTGCGGCGCTCATCTTGCTTTATTGGCCATGGAGCTGGCATACAGCTTCCAGGACATGTGACCAGCATGACTAAGCCGCTTCTGGCAAACCAGAGCAGCGCACGGAAACGCCGTTTACCTTCCCACTGAAAATAACCCTATTTATCTACTTGCACTTTGACGTGCTGTCAAAATGCTAGGTTGGCAGGAGCAGGGACCGAACAACGGGAGCTCACCCCGTCACGGGGATTCGAACTGCCGACCTTCTGATCGGCAAGCCCTAGGCTCTGTGGTTTAACCCACAGCACCACCCGCGTCCCTATAACAAGGGAATCGAGCATCTCTATTTCATAGGAGAAATGTTGGTGGGTATGCAACTCTCCACACCTGTGATCCCTAGCACCTGGTATTAAGAGACATACAGTCATACCTTGGTTCTTGAACGACTTGGTACTCGCACATTTTGGCTCCCGAATACTGAAAACCCAGAAGTAAGTGTTCCAGGTTTCGAACGTTTTTCAGAAGCCGAATGTCTGACGCTGCTTCCGCTTAAGCTCCCGTAGCCAATCAGAAGCCACGCCTTGGTTTTTGAACGGTTTCGGGAGTCGAACGGCCTCCCGGAACAGATTAAGTTCGAGAACCAAGGTTCCACTGAACTACCTCTAACAATGGAGGTCGAATATATCCGTCATGGTTAGCAGCCGCCGATAGCCCTGGTATGCGCTATGAATTATAAAAACCATACGAGCTGGTGACCACCACTGCCTAGAGCCTGGCTGCGCACTGTGCGGTGGTATCCTTCCATTTTCCCCACCCTGAGTCCTCATTTCATCATTCAGGACAGTCAAAAGGAAGCCTTTCCTGCAGAGCATAGGGGAACCATGGAACTCCACAAGAGGCAGGGATGGCCACCATTTTGGATGGGTTTAAAAGAGGATTGGCACATATCAGCCTAACACCGATCTATAAATGGCTATCACTGGGTTTTGCCCCTCAAGCCCTTCTAAGTCTGGGCTCGGGCCAAGCAAAAGCAATGGTTAGGCAAAGAATTATAGACACCGAGAGACAACAGGGCTGCTTAAGGTGCTCCGACTACAAAATTGTAGAAATCGAGAGAGAGATAGCTGCACCAGCAACATATCTCTTTTTTCTTGTATCCAAAAATGCAAAAAGGGCTTTTACACTTGCCAGAAGCTTAGCTCTGCCCTCGCCAGTCTTGGAAGGATCCTTTAAAAATTTGCACCTGTCCTTTGGGGGATATAGGAAGCCCTAAACACATATTTTTTAGATGTCCCTTTTACGATGAGGCATGTAGAGAAACCATCGCCCCCCCTGCTGCTAAGGCTTGCTGACCTTCCGGCAAAGCAAAAATTCTATCTTCTCCTGTTAGGCAAAGACCCCAAGACGACTTGGATGGTCACCAGATTCTGCGCACAGATCTGTAGGCGCAGACCATCGCCCAATTCAATCTAGTTTGAAAATTCCCAAACCCAGATCCACGGGCGACTTTGGGTCATTTCTTTAAGGTAGTCTATTTTAAAGTTTTTATGTGTTTATATGCCTATCTATATGCCTATATGTCCCCTATAGGGGACGCGGGTAGCACTGTGAGTTAAACTACAGAGCCCAGGACTTGCTGATCAGAAGGTTGGCGGTTCGAATCCCCGCGACGGGGTGAGCTCCTGTTGCTCGATCTCTGCTCCTGCCAACCTAGCAGTTCAAAAGCATGTCAAACTGCAAGTAGATAAATAGGTACCCCTCCAGCGGGAAGGTAAACGTCGTTTCCGTGCGCTGCTCTGGTTCGCCAGAAGCGGCTTTAACATGCTGGCCACATGACCCAGAAGCTGTACGCCGGCTCCCTCGGCCAGTAAAGCGAGATGAGCGCCGCAACCCCAGAGTCGGCCACGACTGGACCTAATGGTCAGGGGTCCCTTTACCTCCTTTACTATGCCTATCGCACTTTTAAACCGAGAATCCATTGTTGTATATATTGGGATTGTAGTTCCATTTGTGTTTCTTAAGCTGGTCTCTGACCATAATAAGTTTGTGTTCATGAGTGCCACTGATGGCTAGTAGCCATGATGGCTGCGCTTTGCCTCTGTGGTCAGAGACAGCAATGTTTCTAAATTCCAGTTGCCGAAAAACACAGGAAAGGAGAGAATTCTCTTGTGATCAAGTCCTACTTGTGATCTTACCATTCAGGCATTAGCCTCAGTGAGAACAGGATGCTAGACTGAGGGTCTACTTCCTTTCTTCAGTCTTAGGTGATTCTTGAAGTGAGCATCACTTTACCAAATTCAGTCATTTTACTCTCTTGCCCTGACCTAGCCACTGTGATCCACGCGACGGTCACCTCCAGACTGGATTATTGTAACTCACTCTACGTGGGGCTGCCCTTGAGACTGACCCAGAAACTCCAGTGGGTGCAGAATGCTGCGGTGAGACTCCTTACGGGGTCCTCGCTGCGAGATCACATTCGCTCGGTGCTATACCAGCTGCACTGGCTCCCGGTGGAGTACAGGATCAGGTTTAAGGTGCTGGTTTTAACCTTTAAAGCCCTATACGGCCTAGGACCCTCGTACCTACGGGACCGCCTCTCCTGGTATGTCCCACAGAGGACCTTACGGTCTTCAAACAAAAACATCTTGGAAGTCCCGGGCCACAGGGAGGTTAGGCTGGCCTCAACCAGAGCCAGGGCTTTTTCGGCTGTGGCCCCGATCTGGTGGAACGCTCTGTCCCAAGAGACTAGGGCCCTGCGGGACTTGAAATCTTTCAGCAGGGCCTGCAAGACAGAGCTGTTCCGCCAGATCTTTGGCCAAGGCACAGCCTGACCCCCTCCTTTGGTAATCTTCACAGAACTCTAGCCCAATGGTTGCCATTAATTTGATTTGAACTGATTTTATAATGCTATACAGTGGTACCTTGGGTTACATATGCTTCAGGTTACAGACTCTGCTAACCCAGAACAGAAATCGTGCTCCGGCGGAGCAGCGGCAGCAGCAGGAGGCCCCATTAGCTAAAGTGGTGCTTCGGGTTAAAAACAGTTTCAGGTTAAGAACGGACCTCCGGAACAAATTAAGTACTTAACCCGAGATGCCACTGTATTATTTTACTGTTGTTAGCCGCTCTGAGCCCAGCTTCGGCTGGGGAGGGCGGGATATAAATTATTTATTTATTTATTTATTTATTTAATCACCTCCCCCCCCCAAAAAAAAAAATTCCACACAGCATAATTCCAGGATTCAATTAAGAGAATATATATTTGAGGGTTGTTGTGTCCCCCCTCCCCATTCCTGTTGAGAAGCATTTGCCCCCACCCCAAGCACTCCAGTGAAATACGTCTCCGAGGGCTGCCGTTTCCCAGCTTGAACGAAACCTTCAAGCTGAGTTCATTCCTCTCCCCCGTTGCGGGAGCCACAAAACAGCTCCATTCAGAGCCCCTCAAATGAGCGCCGTGGCTATTCAGGCCACGAACGCCGTCGCTATTGACAGAGGCCCCCAAAAGGGACCTCACCGCGAATCCATTCACAGCCGCCGCTTTTTTCTAACGCGGCATGGCTAACGCAACAGACATTTAGCTGCGTGGGGAGAATGGGCCGCCCGTCGCCGGCATCAATAGCTGGGACTTGAAAACGCTTACTCTGGGGATGCTGTGTCGCGGGCCACCAAAGGGATGAAAGGAGCACCGGGGTGTGTGCGTGTGGGGAGAGAAAGGGGGGCAGCTAGATTTGGTTAATTAAAAAAAACCACAGAGAGATAAAGAGAGGCGGGCTGTTTATCTGCCAGTCGTGGCGCATTACTCAGGGCATCAAAGCAAAAAGTTTCTCCAGCACCTTTGTGAACTCCCCTCCTAGCAAACGCTAGATGACCAGAGCAGACAAGGGGACGTGAGATGCAGGTTCTGTTCCAACCTATTCTTGCTAAGGTTGCAAGCTCGTAAGGTTAAAGGTACAGTCTGGGGGTACAGAGGTCCCTCACTCTCCACTATTTTCTACCTCCACTGTTGGAGGCAGTAAGGTAAAGGGACCCCTGACCATTAGGTCCAGTCGTGGCCGACTCTGGGGTTGCGGCGCTCATCTCGCTTTACTGGCCGAGGGAGCCACCATACAGCTTCCGGGTCAGTGGCCAGCATGACTAAGCTGCTTCTGGCGAACCAGAGCAGCGCACGGAAACGCCGTTTACCTTCCCGCCGGAGTGGTACCTATTTATCTACTTGCACTTTGACGAGCTTTCGAACTGCTAGGTTGGCAGGAGCAGGGACCGAGCAACGGGAGCTCACCCCGTTGCGGGGATTCGAACCGCTGACCTTCTGATCGGCAAGTCCTAGGCTCTGTGGTTTAACCGACAGCGCCACCCGTGTCCCTCTCACTCTCTTAGCTCTGTGCAAAGGCTGTGCACCCAAACTTCCGATAGTTTCCATCTTGCGATAGCAAAGGCAAACTGGCCTGGGGGTGATTTCAGAAAGCGACGTACATTTTGGCAAGGCAAGCTCACTTAACACACAAGCAACCCCCCCCCACACACACACCCTGCCATCGCAAGCTCTGCTACCTGATGCCTTCAAGAAAATAGCCAGCACCGATCGATGGCAGGGCAGAATCAAGGGGGTTGCCATTGAGATTCAACAAGTTTATAGACCGCTTCACAAGACAATGGTGTCAAAGCCACGTACATGGTTGAAACAGAATGCAAAAAAAGCACATGCTCTGAGGACAAATAAAAACGTAAGGAGGATCTGCTGGATCCATCTAGTCCAGCCTCACAGCGGCCACCCAGATGCCCCAGTGGGAAACTCACAAACAGGATTTGAGCACAAGAGCAAATCTCTTCTCCTGTGGTTTCCAGGAACTGGTCCTCAGAAGCATTCTGCCTCAGACTGTGGAGGCAGCACATACACAACATGGCTAAAACTAAAGGTAAAGGGACCCCTGACCATTAGGTCCAGTCATGGACGACTCTGGCGTACAGCTTCCAGGTCATGTGGCCAGCATGACTAAGCCAAAGCAGTGCACGGAAACGCCGTTTACCTTCCCGCTGGAGTGGTACCTATTTATCTACTTGCACTTTGACGTGCTTTCGAACTGCTAGGTTGGCAGGAGCAGGGACCCAGCAACGGGAGCTCACCCCATTGCGGGGATTTGAACTACCAAGCTTCTGATCAGCAAGTCCTAGGCTCTGTGGTTTAACCCACAGCGCCACCCGCATCCCTAGACAACATGGCTAGTAGCCCTCAATAGCCCTCTCCCGCTCCATGAATTTGTGTCATTCTCTTTTAAAGCCACCTAGGCTTTTGCCTTGCCCATCACTGCTTCCTGCAGGAGGGAGTTCCATAGTTTAGCTGCATTGCAAAGAAGCGCTTTCTTTTCTCTCCTCCGAATGTTCCAACATTCAGCTTCGTCGCACGGCTTCCAGAACTATGGGAGAGGGAGAAAAACTCTTCTCTATCCCCTTTCTCCTTGACATGCATGCAGTTTATTAAGCTCTGCTTCTGCAGAGGCCAGCTCTAGGTAGCGGGGCCAGGAGAAAGGTGAAGGGGAGGGTCACAGCTCACAGGTGAAGCACCTGCTTGGCATGCAGAAGGTCCCAGGTTAACACACACACGCCCAGCAGCATCTCTAGGGAAGCTCCTGGCCTGAACTCATGGAGAGTCAGTGTGGACAACACTGGGTTTGAGGGATATACATTAATAATAATAATAATAATAATAATAATAATATTACTACTACTACTACTACTACTACTACTACTATTAATACCCTGCCTATCCAGGTGGGTTTCCCCAGCCACTCTGGGTGGTTTATTATGTTTATTTATTTATTTATTTATTTATTTATACCCCGCCCATCTGGCTGAGTTTCCCCAGCCACTCTGGGCGGCTCCCAATCAAGTGTTAAAAACAGTACAGCGTTACATATTAAAAACTTCCCTGAACAGGGCTGCCTTAAGATGTCATCTGAATGTCAGGTAGTTGTTTATCTCTTTGACATCCGATGGGAGGGTGTTCCACAGTGCGGGCACCACCACTGAGAAGACCCTCTGTCTGGTTCCCTGTAGCCTCACTTCTCGCAATGAGGGAACCACCAGAAGGTCCTCGGTGCTGGACTTCAGTGTCCGGGCAGAACGATGGGGGTGGAGATGCTCCTTCAGGTCTGCTGGGCCGAGGCCATTTAGGGCTTTCAAGGTCAGCACCAACACTTTGAATTGTGCTCGGAAACGTACTGGGAGCCAACGTAGGTCTTTCAGGACCGGTGTTATGTGGTCTCGGCAGCTGCTCCCAGCCACCAGTCTAGCTGCCGTATTCTGTCCCAGGATGATCTAAGAGAAAGTCCATACTGGGGCGCTGTCTTCTTCCGTCTATTGCTTGATTTCCCCTCTAATGAAGGAATCCATGCCCAGGAAGGTTGGAGAAAGGCACGGGGGAAGCTCCTCAAAAGATTCAAGCAAGGAGCTAGAACAAGCTACCAGCCAATGTGGGCTGGCTATTCTTGTGTCAGTGGGCCAATTCCTGGCCCACTGGATGGAGAGAGTGTAAATGGACCCCTTTTTCTCGCAATTAGAGTTTGGGGTGGTTCACCAGCGTTGGAGGGAGGTCAGACAAGATGACCCCTGGGACACTAATGAACACCTGCATGGGCAAAAAAGCCACCATGGTCAGGATTCTGTGTTATGCCAGCAGAGGGTGGAGGAGTGACCCCCTCTCGCCTCCTGCTGGAGGGAAACAGAAGCGACTCGCCCCTTTGGGAATAATAGGAGAACATGATCCATTTGTGAACTAAAGGACCTGCCGCCCACAACCACCAGTCTGCTGCTGTGAAACAGGCGAAGAGGCCTATCAGACCTGGAGGATCAATCCCCCCGGAAACTACCATTAATCCAGAACACGGCAGCTAGACTGTTGACTGGGAGCAACTGTCGAGACCTTATAACACCGGTCTTGAAAGACCTACACTGGCTCCCTGAACATTTCCGAACACAATTCAAAGTGTTGGCGCTGACCTTTCAAGCCCTAAACGGCCTCAGTCCAGTATACCTGAAGGAGTGTCTCCACCCCCATCGTTCAGCCCAGACACTGAGGTCCCACTCCGAGGGCCTTCTGGCGGTTCCCTCCCTGCAAGAAGTGAGGTAACAGGGAACCAGGCAGAGGGCCTTCTCGGTGGTGGCACCCGCCCTGTGGAACGCCCTCCCATCAGATGTCAAGGAAATAAACAACTATCTGACTTTTAGAAGACATCTGAAGGCAGCCCTGTTTTGGGAAGTTTTTAATGTTTGATGCTTTATTATGTTTTTAACTTTCTATTGGGAGCTGCCCAGAGTAGCTGGGGAAACCCAGCCAGATGGGCAGGATATAAATAATAAATTATAATAATAACAATAAATCTGTGGTATAAAACACAGATCTTGGGGCTGAGGGCGCTTTTTTAAAAATTGTGTGTAAAACAGCTTCCCCATAAGCTTCCGCCCCCATCTCAACTCCAGTGCATCTGGGTGTGAAACACGCACAGCTTCCTTTCTCGCCTAAGAACCGCTCACCAGGAAAGGAACGTGTTCCTGAGGCCATTCAGAATTGCAGACGCCTTCAAATTAATTGGGCAATCAGATCCAGCACAATCAGAAGAGACCAGAATCCTGTTCTCATTATGGCCAGCAAAGTGCCCTTGCCCCCACCGCCATGGCAAACCCACAGGCAGGATCTGGGCAGGAGAGCCCTCTCTCCTGCTGCGGTTTCCAACAACTGGGTATTCAGAAGCATCGCTTCCTCTTGACTGTGAAGGCAGAGCACAGCCATTAACCAATGACAGCCTTCTGTTCCAGCCATCCAAGATGGCAGATGTTATGTATTGAAGTTCTCACCCTGGCCACCAGGGGTATTGTGTATACAGTGGTACCTCGGGTTACAGATGCTTCAAGTTACTGCCGCTTCAGGTTACAGACTCTGCTAACGCAGAAAGAGTACCTCGGGTTAAGAACTTTGCTTCAGGATGAGAGCAGAAATCATGCAGCGGTGGCGCAGCGGCAGCGGGAGGCCCCATTAGCTAAAGTGGTGCTTCAGGTTAAGAACAGTTTCAGGTTAAGAATGGACCTTCGGAACGAATTAAGTTCTTAACCCAAGGTACCACTGTATAGTTTTCACTCAGGTCCACGTAAGTTAACTTAGGCGGGAAACCCTGGGCTGTCGTTGTTACGATGTTGACAGCTGGCTGCCTATAAAAGCAGGCCGGCTGAGCTGTTTGCTGTTCAGTTTAGTTCCAGCTTACTTATAAAGAACTACCGTATTTTTTGCTCTATAAGACTCACTTTTTCCCTCCTAAAAAGTAAGGGGAAATGTGTGTGCGTCTTATGGAGCGAATGCAGGCTGCGCAGCTATCCCAGAAGCCAGAACAGCAAGAGGGATCGCTGCGCAGCGAAAGCAGCGATCCCTCTTGCTGTTCTGACTTCACTTCACTGGAGAGGCACTGCGCAGCTTTCCCTCTCTGCACAGTGCCTCTTCAGTGAAGCGGGAGGAGAAACGGAGCCACTTCCATTTCTCCTCCTGCTTTGCTGGATAGGCGCTGCGCAGAGAAGGAGAGAATATTTTTTTTCTGGTTCTCCTCCTCTAAAACTAGGTGCATCTTATGGTCGGGTGCGTCTTACAGAGCGAAAAATACGGTATTTGGAGAAATCTCTGTGTCGTTTGCTATGTCCACCCACTACTTAATAGCAGACATCACTGCCTCCTGCAGCACTGAGTTCCATAGTTTAACAATGACCTGCGTGAGGGAGGACTTTCTCTGGCCTGCCCCGAATGATGAAATGGCGAGTCAGAGCATGGTCATCGTGGCCACCGATAGCCCTCTCCTCCTCCAATCCGGCAGCGCGTGATGCTCACCTGGGGTAAAGAGGACAATGGCCTTCAGGCAGGAGTACTCAGCCGAGTCGACGTGCAGAGCCTTCAGCTTCTCCACCTGCTCCTGGAAGACGCGGATGTGGTCCATGAAGGCCACCACGCGGTCGGCAGACATGGGCGAGGCGTGGAGGCCGGCGGCGGCCAGGAGGGGAGCCACGTGGAGAGGCATGGAGCACTGGGCGGCGTTGAGGACGAAGAGCTCGCTCCAGGTCATGCGCAGAAGGCAGACCTGGTCGGCCAACTGGAAGTCCGGGAAGAAGGGGATGTTCTTGGCCCACTCGATGGCACTGAAGAGGAGGCGGGCGGCCAGCTCGCAGATGTTCTCAATGCCCATGATGTTGTTGGGCTGCAGGCACTGGGCCCCATAGCGGGAAGTGGGGTAGGGCTCTGCCCGGAGGAGGAGGGAGATGAAGCCCGTCAGGTAGGAGTGGCAATTGTAGGGGTCTCCGTTGGCAAAGGGGTACTGACCCGGGCTGGGCTGCGCGGGAGCCATGCGCCCCCGTTGCACGGCTGAAGGGAGACAAGAAGGGAGGGAGGGAGAAAATGATGTATAGGTTGTTTTTATATGCAATGGTGGCAGAAAGAAGAACGGACGAATAAATGGATGGACCATGCAGAATTAGATAAACTAACAGGAAGGATTCGAAACCTGCGGGACCAGAGATTCTCAGAAGGCTGGAGTCAATTTACGGACGATTTGAAAAGTAATTGTGATGAACAGATGGCGCTAGTAGATCGGCAAGAAGTTTTGTAAGGTGAATTATTTGAAATATTGCAAAAAAAAAAAAGACAATGAGGAGAATTATTAGTTAAGGATAATTAAAGGTAATATGGAATTAAGAAATGCATAATAAGTGATAAAGAACGGAAAATCATCAGAGGCGTTGACAGAAGTCCAAAAATATTGTATAAGATGAGAAGTTATGTTGTATGAATGTTGGAATTAATATGTTAAAAAAATAATAAAAATGTATATAAAAAAGAGAAAATGACGTATAGATAATAAATAATAATAATAATTTATTATTTATACCCTGACCATCTGGCTGGGTTTCCCCAGCCACTCTGGGCAGCTTCCAACAAAATATTAAAATACAATAGTCTATTAAACATTAAAAGCTTCCCTAAACAGGGCTGCCTTCAGATGTCTTCTAAAAGTCTGGTAGTTGTTTTTCTCTTTGACATCTAGTGGGAGGGCGTTCCACAGGGCGGGTGCCACTACCGAGAAGGCCCTCTGTAACTTGGCTTCTCATAGGGAGGGAACCGCTAGAAGGCCCTCGGAGCTGGACCTCAGTATCCAGGCAGAACGATGGGGGTGGAGATGCTCCTTCAGGTATCTAACTGGTTAAACTAGCAAAAAATGTACAAAACTAGAGAAAACAAGTGTAGGAAATGTAAAACAAGAGAAGGTACATTTTTTCATACGTGATGAGACAGCAAAATTGTTAAGAATTATTGAGAAATGATTTATAATGAAATGAAGGTGTTTAAAATAACCTTTGCCAAAAAAAAAAACCGAGAAGCTTTCCTGTTAGGTATTACAGGAATGGACTTACCAGGATCACAAAAGAATTTGTTTATGTACGCAACCACGGCTGCACAAACAGCACAACATTGGAAAGAAGAAAGCGTCGCGGCTAAAGAAGATTGGCAAGTTAAATTAAAAGAATATGCTGAAACGGCAAAGTTGGCAATGAAATTAAGAGGAAGCGACGACAAGGAATTTAAGGAAGAATGGAAGGACTTTATTGCAATGTACACAGGTTAATACATTGGCAGAGTTTTCAGAATTCTTGTAATTTTATTATGAATGGACGATAAGAAATTCAAATGGTTAAAACTTTATAATGGACAGGTAGTAGTACATTGATATATAATGGAACCAAGGAAGGGATCAGGGGGAAAGTCAATTTGTTTCGTTTTGGTTTTTATTGTTGTTTGTTTTGTTTCTGTTATTGTTGGAAAATTAATACAATGTTATGGGGGGGAGAAGGGAGAAAGCACATGATTCGTGTCTCAGCATTTATTTCATGAAACCAATATGTCGTTACATCGTCCTGGGGAGGGGAAAATTTTATTTCCTGGGTTTCTGACTTAAGATTCTCAGTATTCACCACCCAAGCAAGCTCGGGAAACGAAGGGTGCATATGTTTCTATTTCATTTCCTTATTATTATTTTCCCGTTGTGATTGCCAGTATGTGGTCTTTTTAATTGTTTTTATTTGGTTTTACAAATGAAGAGCTGTAACAATGCCAAATACACATTTCTCTGAATCTAGTGTCAACATTTCCAACTGCGTATTATTTCAGTCTATATTTTGTATCACCTTGTCAACAAAGGTCCGTATAGTTAAAGCTCTGGTTTTCCCAGTAGTGATGTATGGAATTGAGAGCTGGACCATAAAGAAGGCTGATCACCAAAGAATTGATGCTTTAGAATTCTGGTGCTGGAGGAGACTCTTGAGAGTCCCATGGACTGCAAGAAGATCAAACCTCTCCATTCTGAAGGAAATCAGCCCTGAGTGCTCACTGAAAGGACAGATCCTGAAGCTGAGGCTCCAAGACTTTGGCCACCTCATGAGAAGAGAAGACTCCCTGGAAAAGACCCTGATGTTGGGAAAGATGGAGGGCACAAGGAGAAGGGGACGACAGAGGACGAGATGATTGGACAGTGTTCTCTAAGCTACCAGAATGAGTTTGACCAAACTGCGGGAGGCAGTGGAAGACAGGAGTGCCTGGCGTGCTCTGGTCCAGGGGGCCACGAAGAGGCGGACACGACTAAACAACAACAATATTTTGTACCTGTCCATATTATCCATCATATTTGTTCCATTACAAGCATTATTAGAATCCTGGTAATGTTTTCACCTGCTTTACAATGGTGTCCTAAATAAATTATAATTTTCCCCCATTCTTTCTTGAAGTTCTCGTCTTCTTGATTCCTGAGCTTTCCAGTCAGTTTTGCCATTTCGGCGCAGTCCAACAGTTTAGTTTGCCATTCCTCTGTCGTAGGGAGATTGCCAGTATGTTTTTAACAGAATTATAAAGTTGGAAGGGACCCTTCTGGGGCCATCAAGTCCAACCCCGTACAACACAGGAATCTTATAGACAGATAGGTAAAGGTAAATGGACCCCTGACCATTAGGTCCAGTTGTGACCAACTCTGGGGTTGCGGCGCTCATCTCACTTTACTGGCTGAGGGAGCCGCCGTACAGCTTCCGGGTCATGTGGCCAGCATGACTAAGCCGCTTCTGGCGAACCAGAGCAGCACACGGAAACGCCGTTTACCTTCCCTCCGGAGCGGTACCTATTTATCTACTTGCACTTTGACGTGTTTTGGAACTGCTAGGTTGGCAGGAGCAGGGACCGAGCAACGGGAGCTCCCCCCGTCACGGGGATTCAAACCACCGACCTTCTGATCGGCAAGTTCTAGGCTCAACGCCGCAACCCCAGAGTTGGCCACGACTGGACCTTTACCTTTACCTCACAGCCTCCAACATGGAGGCAGAAAATAGCCATTGCAGTTAGCAGATGTTGGTAGCCTCATCAGCCATTAATGTGTCCAATAGTCTTGCAAAGGAGCCCCTCTGCTTAAATGTGGAGGGGAAGAAATTGGACCTTAAGAAGCGATTCCTAAAAAAAAAAAAAAAGGAGAAGAAAACGCAGAGGGAGGACAGAGAGAAGGAAAGGGAAAAGGTAAATAACTTTGAAGGGCAAAGATGAAAAGGAGGAGATGCTTTCCTACCCTGGGAGGTTCTTGGGAAGACAAAGGGAACGAGGGAAGAAATTGCAGGAGCAGAGAGGAGGATGATTCAGCAATGGGCACGTGGTTGGGCACGGCTAGATAATCAAGATCTGCCTTTGCAAAAGGATTGCAGAGGAAGAGGAAGGCAAAGAAAGGGAGAAAAGGAGGAGAGAAAGCAAAGAGTAGGGAAGAGGAGGCGTGGAGGGAATTGGGGGAAATGGAGAAATGGGGAACTGGAGGAAAGCAGGATAGAAAAGGGAGAGTCACAAAGGAAGGCAGGAAAAGCAGAAGAGGGATGGAAGGAAGATGAAGATGAAGGCACTTTTTATAGCGCTCTCGTAAGAATGCAATGGGACACGGGTGGCACTGTGGGTTAAACCACAGAGCCTAGGACTTGCCAACCAGAAGGTTGGCGGTTCGAATCCCTGCGACGGGGTGAGCTCCCGTTCCTCGGTCCCTGCTCCTGCCAACCTAGCAGTTCGAAAGCACGTCAAAGTGCAAGTAGATAAATAGGTACCACTCCAGCGGGAAGGTAAACGGCGTTTCCTGGTTCGCCAGAAGCGGCTCAGTCATGCTGGCCACATGACCCGGAAGCTGTACACCGGCTCCCTCAGCCAATAAAGCGAGATGAGCGCCGCAACCCCAGAGTCAGCCATGACTGGACCTAATGGTCAGGGGTCCCTTTACCTTTACTTTTAAGAATGCAATAAGAGCCCGCAGGATCAGGCCAAAGGGGTCCAGTCCAGTCTAGTCCAACATCCTCTCCTCACCAAGGCGAAATACCTGTAAGGAACTAGGGATGTAAATAGACTTCCTCCGGACCGTAAGGACATCAGAAGAGCGTGGCCACTGGGTCACGTCAAGTGGAGGCCTTGTGGTCCTGCCTCCTCTTTTCACAGTGACCATTCACATGCCCCTTTGGAAGCCCAAAAGGATTGCCTGGGTGCAACAGCAGTGCTCTCCACGCTTGTGATTTGCAGCAACCGGCTTTCAGAAGCTTTGCTGGAGGCGGAGGAAAGCCACAGCAGCTGGTAGCCAACAGGGGCTGTTGCTAATGACAAATAGCTCTGTCCCCTCCATCAATTTGCCCAGTCCTCTTTTCAAGCCTTGGTGGCTGCCTCTGCCCTCATGTGGGAGGGAGTTCCAGAGTCTAGCTACGTGTTGTGTGAAAAAGCTCTGGCTCTGGTTATCTCCCGCTTGGACTACTGCAGTGTGCTCTATGTGGGGCTACCTTTGAAGGTGACCCGGAAACTACAACTAATCCAGAACACGGCAGCCAGACTGGTGACTGGGAGCGGCTGCCGAGACCACATAACACCGGTCTTGAAAGACCTACATTGGCTCCCAGTACATTTCCGAGCACAATTCAAAGTGTTGGTGCTGACCTTGAAAGCCCTAAACGGCCTCGGCCCAGTATACCTGAAGGAGCGTCTCCACCTCCATCGTTCTGCCCGGACACTAAGGTCCAGCACCGAGGGCCTTCTGGCGGTTCCCTCACTGCCAGAAGCCAAGTTACAGGGAACCAGGCAGAGGGCCTTCTCGGTGGTGGCGCCTGCCCTGTGGAACGCCCTCCCACCAGATGTCAAAGAGAACAACAACTACCACACTTTTAGAAGACATCTGAAGGCAGCCCTGTTTAGGGAAGTTTTTAATGTTTGATATATTACAGTATTTTAATATTTTTTGGGGAAGCCACCCAGAGTGGCTGGGGAAACCCAGCCAGATGGGCGGGGTATAAATAATAAATTATTATTATTATTATTCTTTTATCTGTCCCGAAGCTTCCCCGCATTCAGCTTTAGGGCAGTGGCAATGCAGCTATTTCCCTTTCGACAGAGTTTGCCGCTGCAAAGGTTTCGGACCAGAAACTCTGCTTTGTTCCCAGTCGCTGCAAGTCCCAGAACTCCCTGCTGAAATCCTCCTCACTTTTAATGCCACAAATAAATTGAAATTAAACCAGGTTCACCCGGAGAGCAGAAATAAATAAAATCAGGACAGGGGTGGAAGTAGCCGGTGCGCAAATCTGTCAATTTTAGTTTATCATTTTCTCAGCCTTTAACTCAAATGGCCTGATTTAATTACTTGCCCTGCTTTTCATAGAATGGCAGAGTTGGAGGGGCACCCCCAAAGGTCATCTAGTCCAACCCCCTACAATGCAAGAATTGCAGTTTGCCCCTCTGGGTGGCAATAATACACGGACATTGAGGAAGCACTGCAGAACGCAACTAATAAGGCAGAATGATGTGTGGATGGTTCAGGAAAAGGCTGTAGCTCAGTGGCACAGCAAGGACCCTGCATGCACAAGGTCCTGAGTTCAATCCCTGCCATCCCCAGGTACCACTGGGAGAGACCCCTTGCCTGAAATCCTGGAGAGCTGCTGCCAGCCAGTGTAGACAACACAAAGCTAGATAGATCCAAGGGGCTGGCTTGGTGTAAGGCAGCTCCTAATTAAAACCAACTCTCTATTCAGAACCATGTGGACTAGCGTCTTCTTTTTTAATGGAATGACAGTAGCTCAGGAGTAGAGCGATTGCTTGGCATGCCAAAGATCCCACATTTAATCCCTGCTTGAAACCCCAGAGAGCCTCTTCCAGTCAGCGGAGACAATAGTGAGCTAAATGGATCAATGGTTGGACTCTGTATAAGACAGATTATTATGTTCCTATGCACAAATCTGCCATTAATGCACCATTGGCCACTAAGGCACCAGTACCTTTTTAAAAAGCACCTTTCCCAGTATCAAGCATTTCAGACCAGCAGAGGAGGCCGTGGTAGGTAAGGGTGCCACCACTGGAGGCTGCCCAGTTGGCATTGACAGGGCCTCCTTGGTGGTGGCTCCCCATTTGTGAAATGCCTTCCCGAGCAAGTTGCGCCCACCTGCCTCGTAATCGACTTTCAGGAGGGATTTTAAAAACACCCCTCTTTACCCAGGTTGCCATTTGGTGGCTGAAAGACGACCCTCAGATCCCTGGACAGAGAAAAGGGGAAGACTTTTTCACCCAGTGCATCGTTAAACTGTGGAACTCCCTCCCACAGGGGCCACTGGTGCATCTTATCGGCCACTGTGAGAACAGGATCCTGGATTACATGAGCCATTGGCCTGATCCAGCGGGCTCTGCTTATGTTCTTTCTCTTCTCAAATGCTTTTCTACATGATTGATAGGTTTTCCACCCTGGGCTCCTTCGAGAGGAAGCGTGGGCTATATAAACTGAATGAAGTGCTTTTGACACTCAAGCCGTATCCTTTTAGGATCCACGTTATTTTTGCGATTGTTAGCCATTTCAATACTGTGTTTTCATTGGTAGAACCTGCCCTGGGAACTTAGGCTGAAGGGCAAGGTAACAGATGAATACATAAATAATAGAACTATTGATGCACCGATGACATTTCGCAGAATACATCCACAGAAAAAGAAAAACCAGGATCACAGGAAACTCAGTACTTTTGGCACTGACTGGCAGTCGCTCTCCAGGGTTTGGGGCAAGAGAGCCTCTGCCAGCGGGGATGGAACCTGGGACCTTCTACATGCCAAGCAGGTGTTCTGACCACTGAGCTACGCAATGTACTCAAGTTAAGACATTAGCAGGATTTTTAAAAAACACTTGTAATGTTATAGACAATGTTTAAAATTGGAAGCTTTTAATGTTTAATAGACGATTGTATTTTAATATTCTGTTGAAAGCCGCCCAGAGTGGCTGGGGAAACCCAGCCAGATGGGTGGGATATAAACAATAAATTATTATCATTAATTATTATTATTATTATTATTATTATTATTATTACTACTACTCTCCAGAGGAGCCCTAAGGCAGCAGGGAGGAGGCGAGCAAGAAAAGGGATGTCACAACTTCCACAAAAGGAAAGAGTAAGAGAGATCCGAACAGGAAAAAACAGGGGAAGAAGAAGAAATGGAAGACTGGCCTCTGGAGAGCGAAGGGAGGAGAGGGAGATTGCAAGAAAGCAGAGAGAAAGAGAGAGAGGAGGACGAGATGCATGGGACACCCCCCCTCCTCGGGCAACCCACCTTCACGGCGCATGCCGACCTTGAGGCACTTGGTGAGGCGGCAGTGCTGGCACTGGTTGCGGTGGTGTTGGTCGACGGGGCACTGGCGGCTGGCACGGCAGGTGTAGCTGAGGTTGCGGCGCACAGAGCGCTTGAAGAAGCTCTTGCAGCCCTCACAGGTGAACTGGCCGTAGTGCTTCCCGCTGGCCTTGTCCCCGCACACCAGACAGTCCACGGCCGACGCCGACGCCTTGCCCTCCCCGCTGCTGCCCCCACTGGGCTCCTGGGGGGCTGGGGCTGGCAGCTGCGGGGGGACCCCCGGGGGAACGCCAGGAAGCTCTTCCTGCCAGGGGGTCACCACCAGAGCCATCCTGGGAGAGGGGTGGTAAGGAAGGTGCAGGAAAGGAGGGGAGTGGGTGGGGAGAAAGGGGGTGAGAATTGCAGGGGGGCTAGAGAGAGATCTAGCGGGGGGGTTGGTTGGAGGAGGTATGGGGCTGGCTGCAGAGGCTGGGAGGTCAAGAAGGGGCAGCAGTGGGCAAGAGAATGACGGCTAGGGAGAGGAGGAAAGGATGAGATGGGCAGGAAGGCTGGGGAACGGGTGGACTGGAAGCGGAGAAGAGGAGGAGAAAGGAGGGAGAGAAGGAAGGAAAGGAGGAGAAGGAGGGAAGAGGAATGGAGAAGGGCAGGGGGTGAGCGGCTGAAGTTTGGGAAGGAGGAGAGGGTGGAAAGGACCAGCCGTGAAGGAGCGAGAGAAAGAGGAAGCAGGTAGAAAGGAGGAAGAGGAAAATGAGGATGAAACAGATCCCAAAGAAAGCGGGGTTATAAATCTACTTTCCAGCAGAAGAGCAAACAACTGCATGCTTTGCAGGGGGGGGGGCGGGGTAGGGAGAAGAATAAGGAATGAAAGGAGGGGCGTCTTTGGCAGCTTCTCCCCCCACTCCTCGCCCCACAAGACCGATCAGGCAACTGTAAACGAAGGTTTTCTTCCAGGAAAAGCGGCAGAGGGAATCCCAAAATCCCCACTAGTAAGAATCAGTGCCGGGAGGGGAAATTGCAGTCGCCTCCCTCCATTTTCCTCCCCGTGGGTCTGTCTTCCCAAAGAAGCGGTCTGCCTTCTTTGCTAGAGAAAGAAGATCACAATGCCTCGATTTGGCAGAAGCCCAGCAGAGAGAAGGGAAGGAATCTCGGGTCTTCAGTTGCCAGAGGATGGAAAGCACACAGGGTTGTAACGACTCCGAAAAAGGTGCCCATAACCAGAGAGAAAACTTCTTCCAGTGAGGCGGCAGCTGCTAGCAGGCATTCAAATCCTGACAGATCTGTGCATGGGGGTTTTATTTTTTTAAGGAGAGGAAGGACAGGGAGAGAGAAAAGGTGCGAGAGGTTAGTTTATTTTTAAGAAGAGAGCTCAGCAAACATTGTGCAAGAAAGGCGAAGGAAAAACCAGAAGCCACACAACTCCCATCCCGGTTGTCTAAAGTTCACATTCCCATCGAGTGTGAAATATACGACATCTTAAGATAGCCTTTTGGGGCTGTTCATTTGCCTTTTAAGGCAGCGGTGTCCCAAAAGGAACAGAAAATGCAACTAACAAGTCTTTGAGAGGTAGTTCAAAGTCAGTCCTCCCCAAAAAATATTCTTTTAAAAAATGATGGTGGCTCCAAAGAAATGATCCATCAGATTTTGATGGGCTTCCGAAAGAGAGGGAGAGCTTTCATCCTAAACTGTCTCTGGGATGGGTGTTTCATCACCAGAAATGCCCGTCTCTGGGGTTTTAGGGTGCTTCTGCCTTTGGGGTGTGGGCAAATTGAAGCCATCTAAGCCAGAGCAAAGACTCCAATCTATCCTCTGTTTCCCTCCCCATTCTGTCCTTTCTATGGTCAAAATCAACAGGCATTCAGATTTCAATTTTCAAGAAGGGAGAGTTTCTCTAGCAACAGAGAAAGTAGCTTGCATGAATGAGACAGATCTATTCCGGTGAACTATTTTTAGGATCAGGGAGCATGTGGGTTTAACTCTGAACCCCTGTATATATCTTTATTTTCCTATTGACCCCTGATCAAGGTATTAAATACAGCTGATGAAGATCATCTACAGATCAATGAGGGATTTGGGGGGGCGAGAGAATTTGTCTTTTTCCAAGCATAGCAAGAATTAAAATGATATTCCTTTTACCAACCCTCTGAAGAATTTATTATCTCCAACCACCTCCTAATAATATATTTATGAATAAATGTCATTTCCCTCTATAGCAAGGAATGTCCATTGAATAATAAATAATATTTCTTAAAAGCTTTGTGCAAGAAGAAATGGCATCTAATTGTATTGATATTGCTACCTGCAAAATCTGTAATATCAGTAATGCAATACTGTTAAAAGCAATACTGTACATTATTAGCAATATATTCCTATTAATACGTTGCTATTTTTACAGGTAATGGTAATTGATACATCATGATTAACAGCATTAGATTGCTGTTAATAAAATTACTAGTGATTACTGTTGATAACACTATTGTTGCTAATATTATTAGATCCTGTTTCCTTCTCTAGACATTAACGGTCATTAGTAACAACAGTCTATATTAAATAAATATTCATGCCACTGTCTATACACAATTGTGTTAAGCTTTCACCCTATTACAATTAAAGCAACTTTATTAGCATTAGTAATATTTTTAACAGATGTCAAATCCTGCTACGGAAATTACATATAATTATTTCTTTAATTATAACAGAATATTTAGTACCGTTAAACTCGTTTTGAATTACCATAATTTCATCCCACAGAAATAATAATTAATAATCCTAGCAAGTGATGCCAGTACAGATGACTGGGCAAGTTTTTCGTTTTTCAGCTGAACACCAAAAGCCATCCTTAAACATCATTGTTGCAAAAAACTAACATCAAATCTGTACTGTTTAAATCGTGTTGTTGTTTTTTTAAAGAGAGCAAAAATCAATTTGTGAAGTTTCTGCCTGTTCTGCAAACTCTCATATATTTTTCCCCAACGAAAGTTCTTTCTTTTTAATTTTCCTTTTTCGGGAGTCATCATTATCCTGTCTTGCTTTTGCGGGAGAGGGTGGGGATAAATCGCTCCTAACACGGCACAAACCTTCACCCGTTTACTCAGGAGTAAGCGCGCGCCCCTGCAGTCAGTGGAGGAGCTCGCTACTTTAGGATGGAGTAAAACTCACAGGTAGGTGTGCCTATAGCACGATGCTGCCTCGTGTCATTTGCTACCTGAAAAGGGGAAAGTACCCCAGAAATTAGGGAAAGCTTTTCTTCTCCAACAGGAAGACAAAAAAAATAGGCAGCGCTCCTTCGACTTACCACTGCACCCCCAAATAAATTCAAAAATAAATTCCTATCTGTCAGAGTGGGCAGCCATGACTTAACCACAAGCAAAACCACCAAGATAAAATAAGGTTTGATAATAATACCACCACCCCAAAGCGAGGGGGGAAACATCTCCTTTATCGGAAAGGAAGAGGGAAAAGGAGGGTAGGACCCAGACCTGCTCGAAAAGCGCTTTTAATTCTCCTTCGGAATCCTGCAGAAGAAATTGATGGTTTTCTCTCTTTTTTTTTCCCTTTTCTTTTCTTTGAAGCAAATTCCGCCTGGGGGGCTCTCGAGGCTGCTCCTTGCGCTTCTCCCTCCAGTGCTAAAAAAAAGCAGCAGTTTCTTCTTTGGCGCGCAACGCGGCGGCCCCGATCCTGAAGTTGCGCCTGCGCGCAGCTCCCGCCCGCGCAAGCCGCCGGACAATGCTTCGGAATTTTATTTTATTTTTATTTTTTCCTCCCCCGCTTCCCTCAAAACTGGCTTTTAAAAAAAAATTAAAATCCTAGGGACAAGGGAGAGGCGGAGCGGGCGAGGAACTTTTCTTTTCCGAGAGATGCGGCGGCGGCGGCAGCAGCAGCAGCGTCGCTCCTCCGTCTCCGCTTGTCAATTTCGCTTCTCCGCCGCCGCTGCTTCTCCTGCTGCCTCGGGTCACGTGCTCCGCGGGAGGGATGCGGGGGGTGCAAAGATAGAGACCCATTGACAACGTGACCATGGCGACGAGGCGGCGCCTTATAAGGCGCGGCGCTCCATATAAGGAAGCGAATGTAGCGCTCCAGTGAAAGGGGCGCCGCTGCCATTGGCTGGGGCGGGGAAGGAGGGGCGTGGCTCCAGCCGAGAATGGTTTTTAAAAGGGAGAGCGTGTTCCTCGCGTTCCGTGCCCTTTGCCTCAGTTTCCTCTCCGTCTTTCTTTATTTTTATTTATTCATTCATTCTATTATTATTATTATTATTATTATTATTATTATTATTATTATTTACCCAAAGCATTAGAAAGTATCGCGGGGGTTCTTTCTTATTTATTTATTCATTCATTCATGTTATTATTATTATTATTATTAATTGTTGTTGTTTAGTCGTTTAGTCGTATCCGACTCTTCGTGACCCGCTGGACCAGAGCACGCCAGGCACTCCTGTCTTCCACTGCCTCCCGCAGTTTGGTCAAACTCATGTTGGTAGCTTCGAGAACGCTGTCCAACCATCTCGTCCTCTGTCATCCCCTTCTCCTTGTTCCCTCAATCTTTCCCGACATCAGGGTCTTTTCCAGGGAGTCTTCTCTTCTCATGAGGTGGCCAAAGTATTGGAGCCTCAGCTTCAGGATCTGTCCTTCCAGTGAGCACTCAGGGCTGATTTTCCTTCAGAATGGAGAGGTTTGATCTTCTTGCAGTCCATGGGACTCTCAAGAGTCTCCTCCAGCACCACAATTCAAAAGCATCAATTCTTCCGCGATCAGCCTGGTCCAGCTCTCACTTCCATACAACACTACTGGGAAAACCAGTATAGCTTTAACTATACGGACCTTTGTTGGCAATGTGATGTCTCTGCTTTTTAAGATGCTGTCTAGGTTTGTCTTTGCTTTTCTCCCAAGAATTTCGTGGCTTATTATTATTATTAATTACCCAAAGCATCGCGGGGGTTGTACTAGATGACCCCCCCCCCCAGGATCCCTTCAAACTCCGCAGTATACTATGAGCTTATAACAAAAGTAGGTTGCGTTCTTTAAAAAATGTTACATTTACATCTCACCTTTTCGTGCTCCAGGTGGCAGACACGGCTGGGTGGAGGACTTGAACACAGGGCTCCCAGATCCTGGTATAACAACTCTAACCACTAGACCTCACTGTCTCTTTCCTTCGTTTCCCCCTCACTTTCCTACTCTTCCTTCCTCCCTGCCTCATTTCCCCCGTTTCCTCCCCCTTTCCTCTCTTGGCACTCAAGGTGCATATTTATGGACCCACCTAAGTGTAAGTTGCTTTTAAACTCGTTTTCATATTGCGGTTTAATTGCTGCAATCCACCTGAGGATCTGTAGGGTGAAGGGCAGGTGGAGCAGGCCGAAGATATTTCAGCGCCTGAGGCAAACACCAAAAAACCGAGGCCTCCCCCAGCAGGGGAGAAGCAGGGACTGAAGATCTACATCGGGAACAAGCGTGGGGGGGGATATAAAGATCTGCATATGATGCATTCCTTGGAGGTCAAATCTGCTGCCCCTGTGGGTCTTGCCACCTGAGGCAAGCCATGGACAGGCCGGCCCTGAGAGTGGGCAATACGTTATGATAAATTATTATTAATTATAAGATTTTCTCTTTCTGTCTTTGTTTTTTTTACCCTGCCTGTTCTTTCTTTTCATTTCATTTCTCTTGTCTTCATTTCATTGTTCTTCTCTGCTCTGCCTCAGTTTCCCCTCCGTCCCCCTGCCTCCATTTCCTTCCATGCCCGCCTTATTCTTTTTCGGTCCCTCCTCCTGCCTCAGCACCCCCCCACACACACACACCCCACTTTTCTTTTGCTCTACCTCCCTCCTCCCCATTCAGCTGTCATCCCCCTTCAGATCAGCAATTCACTCAGACACAGACAAAGCAAGATCCTCCATTTGATCTACCTTCTTGTTGTCACCACTAGATTTGCGGGTTTTTTTGGTTTGTTTGTTTTTTTAAAAAAGCAAGCGGGTGGTTGTTTCTTCCTTCCCTTTTTTTAATCTGTAAACATTCCAGGTGGCTTTAGAATGATCCGATTTACAATATAATGCAATAAAAGCAACATGTGATAATATTCACTGATCCGATTGAATAAGGAATCCTATGCGGTGATCAAATTATGTAATAATGTTCAGCGATAACATCATGTAATAATATTCCGTGAGCCCAAGCTGTGAGGGAGGTTAGGCTGAGAGAGGCTGTGACTATCCCCCAGGGTCATACCCATTGAGCTACATGGCCAAGTGGGAAGATTCGAACCCTGGTCTCTCACAGATCCTCCTCCTCCTTCTTCTTTGGCGATCACTCGTAGCCGAGTAAGATTGTCTTCTATAAACACGGTTTTAACAATGAGCCCGTAAGTGACTGTGGAGGCCAATTCTGGACCCACACGTCCTTCCACAGTGGGGACATTGGTTTCCGGGCGGGAGTTGATCACGGTGTGGATTTGCCAAGCGTGCCTTCCTCCTAGCACATTTCTCCCTTGCGTCCTGAGTTCGAGTGTCTTCAAAGCCCACAACACCTTTGGTAAAGGCTGTTCTCCAACTGGAGCGCTCGCAGGCCAGTGTTTCCCAGTTGTCAGTGTTTATACTACATTTTTTTAGATTTGCCTTGAGACAGTTTTTAAACCTCTTTTGTTGACCACCAGCATTACGCTTTCCATTTTTAAGTTCGGAATAGAGTTGTTGCTTTGGAAGACGATCATCAGGCATCCACCAGTCCAGCAAAGTTGATGTTGAAGAATCATTGCTTCAACACTGGTCATCTTTGCTTCTTCCAGTACACTAATATTAATCGCCTTCTAAACCACTGTCTCAAGGCATTTTACCCACAAGATAATTAAAAACAGCCCAAATCACAAAAGCAAGGAATGCATTTAAGACTCTGTCGCTCGTGGGGAAAGCCCATTGTTGCTGGAAGCTGCTGAGAGATGTTTTGTATTATGTAGGCCTTGGATGCATCAAAATAATGAAAAGGATCGATAATAGTTAAGTGTCCTTTTCGAAATAAGATTTTTGGGGGCTGGAATCCCCAGGCTTGGAAAACACAGATGCAGCAGGCTTTGCAGGCTGATAATAACATGGTAAAGTTGGGGAGGAGAAGGAGCGGAAAAAACAATTAAGCATGATTCCTGGCTCAAGGTAACGGGCTGCTTTGTTTAAAGAGAGACACCCCATTGTTAAGGCAAAGGGAATAAATCTGTGCGAAGGCTTGTCAAAAGCTGTGACAATCTGAATTGTAAAAGAGGGGGAAATGGGGGGAGAGAATGATTGAGAGGAGCTAATTGTAAAAAAAAAGGATGTGTCACGTCAAGTAGGAAGCAGCACTCTAAGAGGATACAGAAAAAAAACCGCTTGATAAAGGATTGAGGCGTAAGGGTGAGCCAACCGTGTGATGCAGCAGCGACGAAAGCTAATGCCTTTCTGCATTGACAGAAGTCTAGGGTTCAGATCCAGAAAGGAATAGTACTGCTCTCTTCTGCCTTGGTCAGACCCCACCTGGAGTCCTGGGTCCAGTTCTCAGTATCGCAGTTTAAGAAGCGTTTTAACCACAGTTCAAGGCAGCAATGCCAATTACTGGAAACGGCAGGAGGGGAGAGTTGCTCTTGTGTTCAAATCCTGCTTGCTAGTTTCCCACTGGGGGCAACTGGGGGGGGCAATGCCAGAGCAGATGGGCCCCCTTGTGGCCTGATTCAGTTGTTGTTGTTTAGTTGTTTAGTCGTGTCCGACTCTTCGTGACCCCCTGGACCAGAGCACGCCAGGCACTCCTGACTTCCACTGCCTCCCGCAGTTGGGTCAAACTCATGCTGGTAGCTTCGAGAACACTGTCCAACCATCTCGTCCTCCGTCGTCCCCTTCTCCTTGTGCCCGCCATCTTTCCCAACATCAGGGTCTTTTCCAGGGAGTCTTCTCTTCTCATGAGGTGGCCAAGGTACTGGAACCTCAGCTTCAGGATATGTCTTTCCAAGACACTTATTTTGTTCTTATGACAAGCTGGAAGGTGTGCAGAGGAGGTCAACTAGAATGATCAAGGGCCCGGAAACCAAGCCTGATGAGGAACGGTTGAAGGATCTGGGCATGTTTAGCCTGGAGAAGAGGAGGCTGAGATCTTCACATATCTCAAGTTCTGTTCGGTGGAAATTGGATCAAGCTTGCTTTCTGCTGCTCTGCAGGGTAGGACCCAAACCAATGGATTCCAAATGACAATAAAGGGGATGACCCCAGTACATTTCCGAGCACAATTCAAAGTGTTGGTGCTGACCTTGAAAGCCATAAACGGCCTCGGTCCAGTATACCTGAAGGAGCGTCTCCACCCCCATCGTTCTGCCCTGACACTGAGGTCCAGCTCCGAGGGCCTTCTGGCAGTTCCGTCCCTGAGAGAAGCCAAGTTACAGGGAACCAGGCAGAGGGCCTTCTTGGTGGTGGCACCCGCCCTGTGGAACGCCCTCCCACCAGATGTCAAAGAGAACAACAACTACCAGACTTTTAGAAGAGGTCTGAAGCCAGACCTGTTTAGGGAAGCTTTTAATGTTTAACAGACCACTGTATTTTAATATTTTGTTGGAAGCCGCCCAGAGTGGCTGGGGGAAACCCAGCCAGATGTGTGGGGTATAAATAATAAATTTATTATTTTTTATTATTATTATTAGATTATGGTGCTGGAGGAGACTCTTGAGAGTCCCATGGACTGCAAGAAGATCAAACCTATCCATTCTGAAGGAAATCAGCCCTGAGTGCTCACTGGAAGGACAGATCCTGAAGCTGAGGCTCCAATACTTTGGCCACCTAGTTAGAAGAGAAGACTCCCTGGAAAAGACCCTGATGTTGGGAAAGATGGAGGGCACAAGGAGAAGGGGACGACAGAGGACGAGATGGATGGACAGTGTTCTTGAAGCTACCAACATGAGTTTGACCCAACTGCAGGAGGCAGTGGAAGACAAAAGGGCCTGGTGTGCTCTGGTCCATGGGGTCACGAAGAGTCAGACATGACTAAACGACTAAACAACAACAACGTTATTATTAGGAATAATTTTCCAATGTTAAGAGCTGTTCAACAGTGGAACGGGCTCCCCTGGGAGGTTGTGGAGGTCTTCAAGGAGAGGTTGGGTCATGGATGCTTCAGTTGAGATTCCTGCATTGCAAAGGGTTGGACTAGATGACTCTAGTGTCCCAGGAGGAAGAGGGTAGGCCAGAGGGTGGGGTTCTGTCAGGGCAGAATGGAAATCACAGAAGGTGGAGAGGGGGACCCCAAACCAGAGAAGACCCTCCTCCCAAATGGCCGTGAGCTAAGCCACTGGGGTCTTTGGCTACCTTACGATTGGCCTCCATCCTGGCCCAGCTATGAATAGAATCCCCTTGGCCTGGACACTCTGTGGAAAGGGGCCTTCTCAGTGATGGCCCCGACCTGGTGGAATGCTCTGTCCCATGAGACCAGGGCCCTACAGGATTTAACCTCCTTCCGCAGGGCCTGTAAGCCATAGCTATTCCACCTGGCTTTCAATTTGAACTTAGCCTGATCTTTCATTCCTCTTCCTTCCCTTCCCTTTTTATGAAGATTACCCGCTCTGGGATCCCACAGCTAATTCTCCCTTGGTCTCCTCGCTGGCCCAAATAGGACTAATTTAGCCAGCTAACCCTGGTGATCATCTAATGTTTATTGGATGGATTTCCCCCCTAAATTGATTTTCGTATTCTGACTTTATTGTTTTATACTGTATTTTATGCTGTTTTTTGTTGCATCAATTAAGTGTTTTAAATTTGTTGTTAGCTGCCCTGAGCCCTGTTTTCTGAATCGGGAAGGGCGGGGTATAAATAAAAATTTATTGTTTATTATTATTATGAAAATCTGGAAGATGTCCCCTGCAGATGGGGCACTCGGAGCACAGGGTGGAGGAGGGAAGGGTCAAGAGATGCCCCATCTGTCCCTCTGTCCTTTCCGCAGAGCCAAAAGCAACACAAAGACCTTGCAGGGATGGGTTTTGGCTCGCAACCCAGGTGAGGATGGATGGACGGCCAGCCATCGTGGGCCTGTCACAGAGACATTAAAAAAAGAGGGAGCGGAATGGGGGAACGACAAGCAGTGTGTCAAGATCAGGTCAGGCTCCAGCAGGAGAAGGGGAATTGGGAATAATTTACAGCCCGACCTGAGGCTGACACTTGGCTTTCGGAGTCCTGAGGAAGACGGGGGTTTTTTAAATAAAGGGGATGGGAGGAGAGACGCAGGAGAACGTCAGGAGAGCTGCTGGATCAAGCCCGAGGGGGCCCGACTAATCCGGCATCCTGTTCCCACATTGGCCAACCAATGGCCCCAAAGGGAAGCCCAATTTGAGCAGAAAAACCCTCCCGTCTCCAGCAACTGGTATTCCAAAGCGTTGTTGTTGTTTAGTCGTTTAGTCGTGTCCGTCTCTTCGTGGCCCCCTGGACCAGAGCATGCCAGGCACTCCTGTCTTCCACTGCCTCCCGCAGTTTGGTCAAACTCATGCTGGTAGCTTCGAGAACACTGTCCCACCATCTCGTCCTCTGTCGTCCCCTTCTCCTTGCGCCCTCCATCTTTCCCAACATCAGGGTCTTTTCCAGGGAGTCTTCTCTTCTCATGAGGTGGCCAAAGTATCGGAGCCTCAGCTTCAGGATCTGTCCTTCCAGTGAGCACTCAGGGCTGATTTCCTTCAGAATGGATAGGTTTGTTCTTCTTGCAGTCCATGGGACTCTCAAGAGTCTCCTCCGGCACCAGAATTCAAAAGCATCAATTCTTCAGCGATCAGCCTTCTTTATGGTCCAGCTCTCACTTCCATACATCATTCCAAAGCATTGCTGCCCCCAAATGTATAGGGCAGAGCACAGCCAATAGCCCTCTCCTCCTCCTCCATGAACTTGTCCAATCCTCTTTTAAAGCCACTTGGCCATGGCTGCCTCATGTGGGAGGGAGTTCCACAGGTTAACAATGCACCGCATGACGACAGAGTTTCTTGTCTTTGTCCTGAGTCTCCCAGCATTCAGCTTCTTTTTTGTCTTGTTTTTGTTTTGTTTTGTTTTTTTGATACAGCAAGAAAAAAGAAAAAACCACAAATACCAAATTACACACAGGAATAACCATAGACACATAATTTTCTTAACAAACAATAAAACAAATATTGGTCTTAACACTAAAGACACAACCTCCCATCTATTCCATATTTCGGTTTCATATTACTTATTGCCAACACACAATTTTAACATAATAAAACTTTTCCTTAACATATCTAATTTCTTATATCTACCTTGCAACTATTACTGAAGTTCCTCGAATGCTGCAACAGAATTTAAACTACAATATTTATTTTTCAAATATTCTTTGAAAACCTCCCATTTTGAAACAAATTCCTGTTTTGATTTATTCTTTATTTTTTTCTGATAGACCGTCTAATTCGGCATATTCTGTCAGCTTTTGGATCCAATCTTGTATAGAGGGGATTTCATTACTCTTCCATTTTGCCGCAATCAGAGCTCTTCCAGCATTCAGCTTCATTGGAGTTAGGAGAGAGAGAGGAAGACGCCTTGCATCGTTTTATGTCGTGGCGCCTTTTCTCTAACCTAAAAATCTCCAGCTGCTGCAACCTTTTCTCATAGCAGACTCGCAGCGATGGAGCAGAGGGGAAGCTCCCTCTGTTTTGTGCCTGGAACCCCTGGAAGAAAGTTAAGGAACAAACACACACCAAAAAAATACCCCAGGAGCCTGGGATTCTTAACTGTGGTTCCTGCATTGCAAGGGGCTGGCCTAGATTCTGGTTCCAAGATTCTCTGAACTTGGAACTCTCCGCCACTGGAGTTTTTAAAGGAGCAGCTGAGTGACCATCTAAAGGTAAAGGGTAAAGGGACCCCTGACCATTAGGTCCAGTCGTGGCCGACTCTGGGGTTGCAGCACTCATCTCGACTTATTGGCCAAGGGAGCCAGCGTACAGCTTCCAGGTCATGTGGCCAGCATGACAAAGCTGCTTCTGGCGAACCAGAGCAGCACATGGAAACGCCGTTTACCTTCCCACCAGAGTGGTACCTATTTATCTACTTGCACTTTGATGTGCTTTCGAACTGCTAGGTTGGCAGGAGCTGGGACTGAGCAACAGGAGCTCACCCAGTCGCGGGGATTCGAACCACCAACCTTCTGATCGGCAAGTCCTAGGCTCCGTGGTTTAATCCACAGCGCTACCAGGACTTATTTAGCTTGTGATTCCTCTATTTCAGCCAGGGGTTGAACTAGATGACCTTTGGGGGAACCCTACGATTCCCGTGTCCCAGATGGAGTCGGAGCAACAGGGGGGCCACCGCCTGTGGCCTGGGAATCCAGGAAGTGAAGGCGAGAAAGCGGCTCCGTCCAGCCGCGGCCACGTCCGCGCGAAAGAGCCGGGTCCGGGTGACACGCGACCCTCCCGTTTCCTCGTCCGGGAAGGAGTTAATTATCCGCGTAAAATTATGGCCAGGCCTGGCGTCATGCAGGCAGATTAATAAGTTCCTGCGTTGACCTTGTGTTCTTGTTTTTTCGAGTCTGGAGGCCCAAGAAGAGTCTGGAGGGAGGGAGGTCTCACACCCCCCCAACGCCACTGCTGCCGCCTCCTTGCACCCCCCCAATAGTATTGTTGGGGAACATCCTACTCTTAACCCCTTGCTGGCTGGCTGCCTGCCTTCCGCAAGGAGAGGTCTCAGGAGGTTAGCCCAATTGGGATTTGAGACCCTGAGAAAAAGACGGGGAACTGTGCAAAGCACATTCTTCGGCGCAGCTGTCGTCTCCGGCGCACAAGGAGGGAGGCCACCAGTTGGGAAGGAGCCAGAGAGTTTAGCCAGAAAGCATCAAGATTCTAGTCCTCATCGGAGAACAGGGCCGTGCAGTGGGTTTTCTTCAGCAATAATAATACAGTGGTACCTCGGGTTACATACACTTCAGGTTACATACGCTTCAGGTTACAGACTCCGCTAACCCAGAAATAGTACCTCGGGTTAAGAACTTTGCTTGAGGATGAGAACAGAAATCGTGCTCTGGTGGCGGCAGCGGAGGGCCCCATTAGCTAAAGTGGTGCTTCAGGTTAAGAACAGTTTTAGGTTAAGAACGGACCTCCAGAATGATTTAAGTTCTTAACCCGAGGTACCGCTGTAATAATTTATTATTTGTACCCCGCCCATCTGGCTGGGTTTCCCCAGCCACTCTGGGCGGCTTCCATAGAAACCAAAAATACACTAAAATATCACAGATTAAAAACTTCCCTGAGCAGGGCTGCCTTAAGATGTCTTCTGAATGTCAGGTAGTTATTTATCGCTTTGACATCTGATGGGAGGGAGTTCCACAGGGCGGGCGCCACTACCGAGAAGGCCCTCTGCCTGGTTCCCTGTAGCTTTGCTTCTTGCAATGAGGGAACCGCCAGGAGGCCCTCGGCGCTGGACCTCAGTGTCCGGGCAGAACGATGGGGGCGGAGACGCTCCTTCAGGTCTACTGGACCGAGGCCGTTTAGGGCTTTAAAGGTTAGGGTTAGGGCAAATCACACCTGTTGCGAAGTTGAAAGGCAGCTTTCATTGGCTAGAACAGCGGCCGCTGGGGCAGCAGACCTCATTCCCTTCTGGGCAGCTTGGGGGGCGAGTGGTGGGGGGGGACAAAGGAAAAGTGTGCGAGGTTGTGAAGTTTGCCTTGTGTACAGAAGATGAAATACGCCCCTCTCTGTTCTCCACCCAGGTAAGCAAGAGGTGCGGAGGAAGGCAACGCGAGGACAGGGCCTTCTCTGCAGTGGCTCCCTGCTGGTGCGATGCTCTTTGAATATCTTTAGGGGGCAGGTAAAAACATTCCTCTTCTCCCAGGACTTTGGCCGATTAAAAAAATCTATGGTGTTTTAAACTGTGTTCATGGGGGGCGTGAATTATGGGTTTGCTTTCCTTTCATTATGAATTTTGTATTTTTATGTTGCCAACTGCCCTGCGACCTTTGGATGAAGGACAATGTACAAATCTCATTTATCATAGGGTTGCCATATTTCAGAAAGTGAAAACCAAGCTCGTTGAGTTTTGTTTTGTTTTTGGCAAAGCTGTTTGAGCTGGTTTCAAGGAAATTCACCAAAATCTACACGCGTCTAGATTTCTCCAGACATCTCAGCGATTTCCACCAGCTATATCTGTGAAATTATGGGCACATGGCAACCTTTACATTTTACCAAGCATGCACCAAAACACTCAAGAGGGGCTGGCTTGAGGAGTGGCTTGGGGAGAGGAGGCGTGGTCTAGGGGAGTGGGTGTGGCCTGAGAAGAGCTTCAAGGGCCTGATAGGGAGGTCTGGAGGGCCACATTTACCTCCCGGTCCTGAAATGTGTGTGTGTGCATCATCCCTGGTCTAGAAGCTGTCAATCACACACACGTTTAACTTGCCATTTACCGTATTTTTCACTCTATAGGACACACCCGACCATAGGACACATCTTGTTTTAGAGGGGGAGAACAAAACAAAAAAATCCTCCCTCTCTCTGCTCAGCGCCCCTTCAGTGAAGCAGCAGGAGAAACGGAGCCCCTTCCATTTCTCCTCCCGCTTGGCTGAAGGGGCGCTGCACAGCTCTCCCTCTCTGCTGAAGCCGGGAGAGTCTTGCTCTCCCGGCTTCAGCAAAAGGAACCCGAAGCCTTCGGAGCGCAGCACGAGTTCCCGCTGCGCTCCAAAGGCTTCAGGCGGCTATCCCTGAAGCCTGGAGAGCGAGAGGGGTCGGTGCGCCCCGACCCTTCTCGCTCTCCAGGCTTCAGCGAAAGCAACGCGTAGCCTCCGGAGCGCGGAAGGAGTGGTTCCTCTGCGCTTTGCAGGCTTTGCGTTGCTATCACTGAAGCCAAGGAGCCTGCATTCGCTCCATAGGACGCACACACATTTCCCCTTAATTTTTGGAGGGGGAACAGTGCGTCCTATAGAGCGAAAAATACGGTAATTCTGCATCATTATCTTAAAATTGCAGGTTTTGTTTATATTTAAACTCTCTTTTATCAGTTTTTAATGAAGGTTTTGGAGTTGCGAATTGCTCAGGGGACTCATATCAAGCATTTTTACCAGCTAAGTAAATAACTAGCGGAGGAGCACTCTGCGCATGCTCAGAGGTACCTGTCGCCCTGAAAAACTGGCCCAGAAACCAAGTTCTATGCCAGACCAGCCTTGGTTAAAAATGTCCTTAATGTGTCTCAAATCTGCAATGACGCCCCCAGCCACACAGACAAATTAAGATTTCCTTGATTTCCACTCTCCGAGAGAGGGGGAAATATTTGGCAGGCCCTTACATGATATTTTTAAAACGAGGAGCTCCTCAGCTGTCTTGGAAGAGGCTGGGAGGTTGTGGGGAGCAAGAGAAAAAGGCGTCTTTCCAGAAACGGCTCCCTCTGACCTCTTCGCCTCTAGGTACGCCCTCGGTGACCCTCGAAAGACCACCCGGAACAGGTGAGGTCAGAGGCAAGCGCGGGGCTGTTTTAAAATGTCGGCTGAGCAGAGATTTCCACGGACAGGTGGCATGGTCATCAATCAGAGCTTGGGAAAGCGATTTCTCCAAAGCCAGCTCCCCTTAGAGGGGTACAGCTCTCTCTCTCTCTCTCTCTCTCTCTCTGTGTGTGTGTGTGTGTTTGTTTGTTGGTGGTGATCTGCCAACAGCCACGCAGGAGGGCTGATACAAGCCATCCCACTAAAAAAAAATCTAAGCTTCTGGTCCTCATGGGCTGAACTAAATGCAAAGCTGTCTCACACTAAGGCAATCGGTCCTTCGAGTTCAAATCTTTCCCATCTTCCCAGCACTCCCAGAGGTGAAAACTCTGGCCGCATTAACACCATCCATTCTGTTATGTCCTGAAGTTCTCACCCTGGGCCAGCAGGGGGATACTGTAGACAGTTCAGGTCCACATATGCAAATAAGGGATCGAAAGTGACGTTCAGTGATTGGATAGTTACAGAAAGTTGTTACAGTTACGTTGTACTGGAGCTCTATATAAGCAGGCTGGCTGAGCCCTTCAGTTCAGTTCTGTTCTGGCCTGTGAATAAACAAGAGCTGTTTGAAGAATCGCTATGTCGTCTGATATGTTCACCCACAACTTAACACTGGTGATGAGGATGGGATCGATGGACATCAGAGCACAGCCAGATGCGCCCACTCTCTGAGCTGAGCTGAGCTGAATCACTGAACTGAAACACCGAGCAAAACCACTGAACAGAACCAATTCAGAGCTGACCGTTCTGGCTAGAGCACTGTGTTCCATCCATCGCCCTCCACGCCAGCATTGGAACCATGGCTTCACTTGTGCCTCTACCGCCGTTTGCCCCAGCCTCTGAATCATGGGACTTCTACCTTGCTCGGTTTGACTGCTACCTCCAAGCCAACGAGCAACAGCCATGCAGGAGGGCTGATACAAGCCATTCCACTAAAAAAAATCTAAGCTTCTAGTCCTTATGGGCTGAACTAAATGCAAAGCTGTCTCACACTGAGGCAATCGGTCCTTCGAATTCAAATCTTTCCCATCTTCCCAGCACTCCCCAGAGGTAGAAACTTTGGCCGCCTTAACACCATCCATTCAAAGCGCTGTGATACTATTTTAAACGGCCCTTGCTTCTTCCCCCCAAAGGATTCTGGGAACTGTAGTTCAAGACTTCTGAGATTTGTTAGGAGACCCCCTCTATCCCTTGCTCCCCAGAACTACAATTCCCAGAGCTCCCTGTGGAAAGGGATTGCTTGCTAAAGCCCTCTCAGAATTATAGGTCTGTGAAAGGAATAGGTAAAGGTAAAGGTACCCCTGCTCGTACGGGCCAGTCTTAACAGACTCTAGGGTTGTGCGCTCATCTCACTCTAGAGGCCGGGAGCCAGCGCTGTCCGCAGACACTTCCGGGTCACGTGGCCAGCGTGACAAGCTGCATCTGGCGAGCCAGCACAGCACACGGAACGCCGTTTACCTTCCCGCTAGTAAGCGGTCCCTATTTATCTACTTGCACCCGGGGGTGTTTTCGAACTGCTAGGTTGGCAGGAGCAGGGACCGAGCAACGGGAGCTCACCGCGCCACGGGGATTCGAACCGCCGACCTTTCGATTGGCAAGTCCTAGACGCTGAGGTTTTACCCACAGCGCCACCCGCGTCCTGTGAAAGGAATAGGGATCTCCAAAATAACTCTCTGCACCCTGAAGAAACTACAGCTCCCAGGAGACTTTGGGGGAAGCCGTGACTGTTTAAAGTGGCAGCATGGTTCATTGAATGCAGGGTGTGACTGTGGCCTGGAAAATGCACTCGATGGAAGCTTTCATAAAAATGCAGTTACTGTATATTAGGGGAAATTTGCTTTTCAAAAATTTGCTTTTCAGAAATGTCAAAAATAAGCAAAATTGCATGTACTTGGAACTTTGTTAAATTGGAAATATTAAGTCGCATTGGGATTTTGCTTCTTAGTTGTTTATCGGTCCTGTTTATAATGATTTTGTCATTTTTGCTTATTGTTTCTATCTCTGTTTGTTTGTTATTGCTTTGTTCCCTCCTCTGAGGTTGAAAACTTTCACGGAAGAGCAGCTTAGAAATAATGTAAATAGAAATAAGATCAATATAAACCTTTGTATGTTAGAGGAAAGTGGTACCCAAATACTGATGGATTTTCACAGAGACTTTAATAATAACTGCAAATTGTGGTGGGAATGCAGACAACTGAACAGAAAAGTGGAAAAATGAGAACTGAAACCAACCACTACGCCAATACCTTCTTAGACCACTGTCCTGGTGCCTTTATTTCCACGCTCCGTTTCCTGGGCACCCGGTCAATTTCAAATCTCCATTTCTCAATTTATATCAGTTTATTAGCCATAGCACAGTAATCTCCCTTCTTTCTCAGTCACAGCAGCCGCTAAAAAGAAATTATCTTAATGCTCTAGATATAAGTGGAATATAGTACTTATGGAGGCACTTAACTCACCATCGGACGGTGATCAGAGGAAAAACAAAGGAAGATGGGTTTGTTCTCATCCTGAAGCAAAGTTCTTAACCTGAGGTACTATTTCTGGGTTAGCAGAGTCTGTATCCTGAAGCGTCTGTAACCTGAAGCGTCTGTAACCTGAAGCGTCTGTAACCCGAGGTACCACTGTAATCTCCCTTCCTTCTCAGTCGCAGCAGCCAATAAGGAGAAATTATTTTAACGCTCTAGAGATTGAAGCGTATCCTTTGGGTGTGGACTTAATCTGCAATATCAGAGATTTCCTTAGTGTGTTTCAATGCCATGTGGATGACTACATAAAAGACTTTGCATCTGGAAGACAACGCTTTATGCTTGGCCACTGTTGTTGTTTAAATTCAATAAAGTTTGCAATTAATAAAAAAATCACCACTAAATCTTCCCCCTAAAAAACAAGGCCTAGAAGAAAAAAACGCTCCTAATTTGGGGTTGATTTCTCTCTCTGAATATTGCATTTGCCAATGTGATGGTGAAGGAGGCTTGCCTAGTTAGGGGTTGGAGGGAGAGACACCCCCCCCCTCTCTCTCTCTCTCTCGGCTTCTCTCTGGGGAATCCGGAATGTCAGTTTTCTGGAATGCTGCAAAGGCGTGACCGAACGTGTCACGCAGAGGGCAAAAGAGGTTGCGACCTTTGCTGGGGAACAGAGGCGAGCAGGACGGGACAAGGGGATGTCTTGTTTGGAAATCGAAAAACAAGGAAAAGTTATTTTGCAGAGGAGGGGGGGGGAGGAAGGGGGTCATGTGGCCAAAGGGGAGGCGGTAGACAGGCAGCGAGCTGAAAAGCACCAAGTTGTTTGGGGGCGTTGCCCACAGGGCTCCGAAACCCTGCCGGAGTGTGCTCTTTGGGGCTGATACGGCCTGCGAGAAAGTTCAAGAATCAAGTTGATAGTAAAGCGGGACAACAACACACACACACACCAACCCTGCAGCCACATCCAGAAGGACTCAGGCGTCTGAAATCTGGGTACTGCAACCTCAAAGCCTTAAGAAAAAAGCCTGGAATGCATCATGGGAGCAAAAATGTTCTCCCTCCGCTGAGGAATATAGATCAGTTGCTGGAAAGCCGCATGGGTGCGGCTTTTGAACTCGGGTCCTGGTTGCAGGATTGGGGCACCTGGTTGGCCACTGTGAGAACAAGAGGCTGTGGTGGATGGGGCCGCTCGGGCCTGATCCTGCAGCCAGGCTCTTCCGATGTCCTTATGGACATCCAGCTCCAGCTCCAGCGGCAGTCTATCTGGGTACCTAGGTTCTTTGGGGCATTTGACCACTGCAGGAACTACGCAGGCGGACTGTGGTAAGCCCCCTTTTACCAGATGCAGCGGCCCAGCTGTTAAAACTCATTTCAGACCAGAGACACACGAGTGTGTGTGTTTGTGTGTGTGTGTGCAGTGCTTCACATAAATGTATACAGTGCTTTTTTCCTAAAAATGTTTAGGGGTTTTTTGACTCAAGAAAATCACCATTTTATAGTTCAAATCGGGAAAATAAATACAGTAAATGGACAAAAGTACAAAAATTCACAGATAATAATACAGGGGTACCTCGGGTTACATACGCTTCAGGTTACATACACTTCAGGTTACAGACTCCGCTAATCCAGAAATAGTACCTCGGGTTAAGAACTTTGCTTCAGGATGAGAACAGAAATCGTGCGGCGGCGGCGGCAGGAGGCCCCATTAGCTAAAGTGGTGCTTCAGGTTAAAAACAGTTTCAGGTTAAGAACGGACCTCCGGAACAAATTAAGTACTTAACCCGAGGTACCACTGTATAATAATAAAAGTTTATTTATATCCCGCCCTCCCCAGGCAAAGCTGGGCTCAGAGCGGCTAACAACAATAAAAGTAACACAGCGTTCTAAAATCAATTCAGAATCAAATTAATGGCAACCATTGGGCTAGAGTTCTGTGAGGATTACAGAAGGAGAGAGGGGGTCAGACTGTGCCTTGGCCAAAGTCCTGGTGGAAAGATGTCAAGTCCTGCAGGGCCCTAGTCTCTTGGGACAGAGCGTTCCACCAGATCGGGGCCACAGCCGAAAAGGCCCTGGCTCTGGTTGAGGCCAGCCTAACCTCCCTGTGGCCTGGGACCTCCAAGATGTTTTTGTTTGAAGACCGTAAAATGTTTAGGGGTATGCGTACCCCTGCGTACCCCACCCCCCACACACACACCAAAAAAGGCACTGAATATATTACTATATAAATATACTCTAACAGTTTGTCTTGCCATTCCATATTTGTTCACACAATTTTGAACTGGCTAGATTAACAGAGGCAATTAGAGATCACACTTGACAAGAATTTCAAAAAGCATGGGGGAAATGCAGAGAATACTTCACAAAACAGTGCCCTAAAATACATACCTGGACTTGTTTCGATTAATGTCTGCAGGAGACTTTGTGGATATTTAAGTTATAATTAGAAAAATCTTAATAATTATTCATAAAGGAAACAGCTTATAAGAAGTAAATAAGGATGCCAGAAACAGGATAAAGGAAGTCTTTTATTTGGTTGTTTGTATTGTTGTATATTATGCTTGTTGCTTGTTATGTTCGCGTCTGATGGGGGTGGATTTCTGTGCTGGGGGTGGGGGGTTTGTGTTATGTTGTAAATAAAATTTACAATAAAAATTAAAAATTATTGAATATATATTGAATATTGAATATATTGAATATTGAAAAAATATTGAATATTTTATATTCAATATATATATAGACTGGTGACTGGGGGCGGCCACCGAGACCACATAACACCGGTCTTGAAAGACCTACATTGGCTCCCAGTACGTTTCCGAGCACAATTCAAAGTGCTGGTGTTGACCTTTAAAGCCCTAAACGGCCTCGGCCCAGTATACCTGAAGGAGCGTCTTCACCCCCATTGTTCTGCCCGGACGCTGAGGTCCAGCGCCGAGGGCCTTCTGGCGGTTCCCTCATTGCGAGAAGCAAAGCTACAGGGAACCAGACAGAGGGCCTTCTCGGTAGTGGCGCCCGCCCTGTGGAACGCCCTCCCATCAGATGTCAAAGCGATAAATAACTACCTGACATTCAGAAGACATCTTAAGGCAGCCCTGTTCAGGGAAGTTTTTAATCTGTGATATTTTAGTGTATTTTTGGTTTCTATGGAAGCCGCCCAGAGTGGCTGGGGAAATCCAGCCAGATGGGCGGGGTACAAATAAATTATTATTATTATTATTATTATTATTATTATTAACTATATAAATAATAAAAACCTGTAGCTTTAGGCTACATTGTAAATGCAATAAATAAACAGAAGGAAATTCACGCTAAAGTACCCCGACGAACCTTTGCAAGCATTTTGTCAAGAAGGAATTGAAAGCTGATGTGGAGAGCCGAACTGGAAGAGGAGGAGCTGAGAGAACCCAAAACTGATGGATTTGTCTGTTCCTACTGGCGAATTCCTCTCCCACGACGACGCCTCTTTAATAAAGAGCCCCTGGACGAACGGAGAGGTGTTTGGGTTGTTTTTTTCCTGAGCCCCTCAGCTAATCTTTGCCAGCGTGGTCACTGGAGGGAAACATAACCCACGATTAAACCGGGAGGCTCAGGCGTCTTGTCAGATCCAATTGGCTTTGCTGGATGAGTGCGAGAAGCGGGGGAAGGGAGGGGAAGGGTGACGAAGAACCAGCTGAGGGCCAGACCAAGTGGATGGTGCAGGATGGAGTTTGCAACAAGTGCAGAATCACTGGGAAGTCCTTGCAAGGGACGTTGCCAAATCAGCCTGAAAGCTTGTTTCTTAATTTTCACTTGCAGTCAACAGTGTGACGCAACAGCAAAAAAAAGCTAACACTATTCTAGGCTGCATCAACAGAAGTCTAGTGTCCCAGTCAAGGGAAGGGATAGTACGACTCTTATCTTGCCTTGGTCAGACCTCCACCTGGAATATTGTGTCCAGTTCTGGGCGTCTCAGTTGAAGATGGATGTTGACAAGCTGGAACCTAGAATTATAGACGTGCAGAGTTGGAAAGGATCCTGAGATCTCTGGGAAGTGAAGGGGCTCCCATCGTTTCCCCATGAAGCCGAATGCTGGAAGATTCAGGGCGCAGAAAAGTCCTTCTGCAGGCAGTGAGTACATAGTTAAACTGTGGAACTCACTGCCACAAGAGGTGGGGATGGCCACCAAATTGGGTCTCTTTAAATGAGATTTGGACAAATTCATGGAGGTGAAGAGGGCTATTGGTGGCTACTAGTCCTGATGGCTATCTCTGCTTCTCTGGTCGAAGGCAGGAATACTTCTGAATACCAATTTCTGGAAGCCACAGGAAGGGAGAATAACTCTTGCGCTAGAATTTTGCTTGAGAGTTTCCCATAATGGTTGGCCACCCTGAGAATGGAATACTGGACTAGATGGGCTGGTATGACGATAGACTGCTCTGCCTCCATTGTTTTAGCAAATGTTTTGGGCCACTGGGGAAGTGGTAATTGATTTGTTTTGGATGTTTGTATGTGATGCCAATAAAAGGTTTGATGATGATGATGACGACTCGATGGGCTAGTGGCCTGATCCAGCCAGCTCGTCCTATTGTATTCTTATGCGCCCCCCCCCCCCCGAAAAATTCCACAACAACTTTGAGAAACTCGCCATTTTGCCATAATGGTCCTGTCCTCGACCCACTTCCCTCCCGTCCAAAATAAAATAAAATGTGGGATGGGAGAGGAGGGGGGACAGCTTGACCCACTTCCCTTCCTGAAGGTTGTTTAAGTCCTGAATGAACATTTACCAGGACGCACCGTATTAACCCTTCGGTGACCTCCCATCTTCACCCCAGGCGGCAGAGCAAACACTAATGTCATTCAAAAATAAGGTTGTGGGTTTTTTTCTTTTTTTAAAAAAGCCTTCTTTCTCTCTCCCCCCACCCACCCCCCTCCCAGGCTCTCGGGGTCAAGGGTGCCCTCCTGCCACTTTGATACATTCTGGCAGGCGATATAATTTTGAAGAAGGCCCTGTTAGCAGAAGCCTGACCCAAAGCGACCCCACTCTGCCTACAGATCTTGGGTGGGATGTCTCCAAAGCCGAGGTCAACGAATGGTCAAAGGATTGCAAAACCAGGGCAAGAGGAAAGAGAGGAAACAATGTCCTGTTGGATTTCTGCCTGCCTGTATTGCATGCAGATATTGGGGGGGTTTTCAACCCGTAAAGTTGCAACTGCGGTTGAAAATATAAAAGTTTTAACAGCTTTGCAACAGGCAGGAATCCAGAAGGGGAAATTTCCCTTGGAGGGGGGATGAATGGGGGGAAAGGCTCACCCGTTGAATGCCTGCCTGCCACACAGCAGAATCCAGCCTTGAATGGCCTTTGTTGTTGTTGTTTAGTCTTTTAGTTGTGTCCGACTCTTCGTGACCCGATGGGCCAGAGCACGCCAGGCACTCCTGTCTTCCACTGCCTCCCACAGTTTGGTCAAACTCATGCTGGTAGCTTCAAGAACACTGTCCCACTATCTCGTCCTCTGTCGTCCCCTTCTCCTTGTGCCCTCCATCTTTCCCAACATCAGGGTCTTTTCTAGGGAGTCTTCTCTTCTCATGAGGTAGCCAATGTATTAGAGCCTCAGCTTCACAATCTGTCCTTCCAGTGGACAGATCGTGAAAGGCCTTTAAGAAGGGAAATTAAACAAATTTTTGGAAGGGGGGCTAAGTGACTATTAGCGGCCACTATAGGTTGGCTAAGCAGAGCCCCAGATTCATGGGCAGTCTACCTCTGAGTAGCAATTCCCGGGGTGGGGGACACAATGGAGAGGACTTACAGGGTTGCCGTGGGAGATCTTGAAATGTTCCAAGTTCCAGTCCGCTGGAATAATCCCAGTTTGACTCCGGAATACCGCAAGGTACTCTCCACTTTTCATGGAGGGGAGAAAGAAGGGGATTTTGGGAAGGAGCCCCCCATCCTGAGAGCGAAATGGGTGGTGTGGAATAGCTCAGCTTCAGCAGAAAACTGCAATTTCAAAGCATCCTTGTTGAAGGATGCTTCTATCCCTATATTCTGAGATAAAGGTAAAGGGACCCCTGACCATTAGGTCCAGTCGTGACCAACTCTGGGGTTGCGGCGCTCATCTCGCTTTACTGGCCGAGGGAGCCAGCGTACAGCTTCCGGGTCATGTGGCCAGCATGACTAAGGCGCTTCTGGCGAACCAGAGCAGCGCACGGAAACGCCGTTTACCTTCCCACCGGAGCGGTACCTATTTATCTACTTGCACTTTGACGTGCTTTCGAACTGCTAGGTTGGCAGGAGCAGGGACCGAGCAACGGGAGCTCACCCCGTCGCAGGGATTCGAACCGCCGACCTTCTGATCGGCAAGTCCTAGGCTCTGTGGTTTAACCCACAGTGCCACCCACATCCCCATTCTGAGAATACTTGGCTCAATCTTTTCAAGAGACAGTCCATGAGAGATATTATTTATAACATTTAGATACCACGTTCATCTTCCAATGAGCTCACAAGGTGGCGTACGTACGTGGCCCAGTTCCACCCCATTTTAACCTCACAAGACCCCTGAGAGGTAGGCTAGTCTAAGAGGCTGTGCGACTGGCCCCCTCAATCTCCTAGAGCATGGGTTGGCAAACTAAGGCCGGATCCGGCCCAATCGCCTTCTAAATCTGGTCCGCATACGGTCCAGGAATCAGCGTGTTTTTACATGAGTAGAATGTGTCCTTTTATTTAAACTGCATCTCTGGGTTATTCATGGGGCATAGGAATTCATTCATTATTTTTTAAAAAAATATAGTCCGGCCCCCCACAAGGTCTGAGGCACAGTGGACTGGCCCCCTGCTGAAAAAGTTTGCTGACTCCTGCCCTAGAGAATTATGGCGCTGGCAGGGATTTGAACCCTGATCTCCCTGGTCCCACTCTGCCTCTTAAAACTATGGCCTGTCTGAAGTTCCCCCAAGTTCCTAACTCAATGGCAAGAGAATGCCTTCGAAGATCCCTAAAATCTGGGATGGGGGACAACATCTGTGGGGCCCTGCAAATGTTGCTGGACTCTCAATTCCTAGCAGGCCGAGCAAACAACTCTCACCCGCAGATGTTCCCCAGCCCTGATCCAAACATTCAACCCTCCCAGCCTCAGCATAGTAGAGCATGTTAAGAGTGTGGAACGCCTCCCAAAAATCCATCATTTTCATCTGCCATTCCTCCACTGTTGGTAAAGGTAAAGGGACCCCTGACCATTAGGTCCAGTCGCGAGCGACTCTGGGGTTGCGGCGCTCATCTCGCTTTATTGGCCAAGGGATCTGGCGTACAGATTCTGGGTCATGTGGCCAGCATGACTAAGCCGCTTCTGGCGAACCAGAGCAGCGCACGGAAACGCCGTTTACCTTCCCGCCGGAGTGGTACCTATTTATCTATTTGCATTTTGACGTGCTTTCAAACTGCTGGGTTGGCAGGAGCAGGGACCGAGCAACGGGAGCTCACCCCGGCACGGGGATTCGAACCGCCGACCTTCTGATCGGCAAGTCCTAGGCTCTGTGGTTTAGACCACAGCGCCACCCGCATACTTCTTGTAATTTCCAATTTCTGGCCAACAAAATTCTAGCTGCAGTTGTGGCATACAAAAACAATCTAACATCTTTCTTGGGCAATTCCAAGAAATTTAGCCGGAAGAGTCCGTGACCAGAAGGAGGAGGAGTACCAGGAGGAATGGATGAAATTTAAAGACTATCTAGCTAAATATGTTAAGATAATTTAAACAGAAACACTTGCAAGTACCAGATTGGCTTAGGATTTAAATATGTGATGTTATAGAATAATAGATCTAAAGTTAAAATGAAAAGGAAGGAAGATGTTAATTGATTAAGTGAATTTTATGAGAAATTAGTTTTGGGAAACTGTTACAATGATATACATAGAAACTCAGCTAGGGGGATTTGAGGAAGTCAACAAAAATGTTAACAAAAGTGGAATTATTACAGTTAGGATCTATGTTTGTTTGTTTGTTGATGCTTGTCATAAAATTTGGAAAATCAATAAAAATTTGGGGGGGGGGAGAGTGTGGAACGCCTGGCGAGAAGGTGTTTTGTGGTGCCATCCCTGCTGTGGCAACAAAGGTGACGGCGGGGCACAATCGTCCCCCGATTTACCCCTAATCTGCAGCCTCTCCAACTTCAACTGAAGGCTCGACCCACCTCCCACAACAGCTTAGCCCCCCAGGGAAGGTCATTCCCCCCTGGATTTCTGAACACAACACATAATTACAGGTGATTAGCGGCTTAGGTGCAGGGGGCACCCCGGGGTGCATTCCTTAAAGGCTTGACTTCACGCTCCATCCATAACCTGGCAGGTGTTAGCCAGAGGGCACCCTACCCCTTTGATGGCGGAGGGGGCAGGGGGGAGTGGCTTTGTCCAGGTGTGGCCGCTTAAATCCCCCCTTCCCATCTCCCAGGTGCGCAGCCCCAGAGCTGCACTCCTTTGTGGCTTCCCAGAGACCTTAACAGATTGGACCCAGGCGAAGCAACTTCAGGAAGCTGGGGAGTTTTTCTGCTCACTCTCAAATGAACTTTCTGTTGGTTCCCTGCCATACCCCTGAGGTTTGGGTCAGCCTTTGCACAGGAAAGACTCTTTAGCGTGGCAGGTCCTGTGCCCTGTGGAACTCCCTGCCACTAGAGGTTTGGTAGGAATCGCCGCTGCCCAGTTTTAGATGTCTGTTTAGATTCTCTTTATCACACATAGACTGCTTAGAATTGTAATGTTGGAAGGGCACCCACGAGTCATCTAGTCCAACCCTCTGCCACGCAGGAATCACGGCTAAAGGATCCCTGGCAGATGGCCTTCTTAAAAACTGCCAACAAAGAAGAGTCCACAATCCTTTTCACTCTCACCACCAGAAAGTTATTCGGGTTTAGTCGAAATCTCCTTTGTTGCAAACAATTGAATCCATTGGTTCGGATCCTATCCTGTGGGACAGCAGTGTGGGTCCAAAAAAATCTGGGACGAGGCGAGACATTTATGGATGAAGGCATTCACTTGGCTTAGTGATTTGCAACCAGTTGATTCTCACCCAACTTTATGCCAATCTAACTCTCAACATGTTTGACGGAAAACCGTCAGCAGAGGTCACTGCCCCAAGGTGCTTACAAACCATGGCGCAAGCGAGGATGCGTTTGCTATAAGCTGCATCTTAACTACCTGGATTAAGTCCTGCATCAGATATTCTTCCATTGTCTCTTAAACACAGAACTCCGAAAGGTCTATTTGTACAGTAAATACTGGCAGAAAGGCTCTCAGGAGAGAAGTTTGCGCCACGCCGTGGTCAAGCAGCAAACTGCAGCTTGATTCCAAAACACCATAAGCTTAAAAGCACGTGGCTTCTCCCCTCACAGAATCCTGGGAAATGTAGTTTTCCCGGGGCCGGACCGAGCTACAATTCCCAGCGCCCTTAAACTACAGTTCTCGGGGTTCTTTCGGGGGGGGTGTGTGCAAAGACAGGCATCCCCAAACTCAACCCTCCAGATGTTTGGGACTACAACTCCCATCATCCCTAGCTAACAGGACCAGTGGTCAGGGATGATGGGAATTGTAGTCCCCAAAACATCTGGCGGGCTGAGTTTGGGGGTGCCTGGTTTAAGAAAATCTTAAAGCTAGGGTTGCCATATTCCCAAAAATGAAAATCCGGACAGAGTTGTTCTTCTTGTTTTGCTAATAAAGTGTGCAAGTCAAGTCCTGTTGCATTATAGGGTGTAAGGATGTGTTACTCTCGGGTAACACGCAGCCGCCACTTCCCTGCGCGTTCAGAGGTCCCGCATTTTGCAGAACAAAAAAACTCGGATCCCTTTCCCATTTCGCATTAAGAGACCCGCTTTTGCCAAATGGAGCAAAAAACTACAATTCCCAGAATGCACCGAGGAAACAAGGAAGAGAGGAGGGGCGAGGACCCCGAGGCATGCTGGGAACTGTAGTGCTGTTGACGCTTCCCAGCCGAGGAGAGAGAAGGTCAGCGGTGCAGGAAGCGCAGTTTGGAGACTCTACCTTGAAGGACAGGTGGGGGGGAGGCGACTGTTTTTTGGAGGGTGGGGTGGGGGAAGCTTTGGGGGTTTGGACCCCGGGGGTGCAGGGATGCTGGGGGCGGGATGGGGGGGAGTGACAGGCTGTATTTTTCTTGCACTGCGTGTAAACTGGAGCCACCTCGCGCACCGTTTTGCAATGCGCTCAACTAGCAACACCCTCCTTATTTTTGCAATGCATGGACAAAATTCCATACCAATCATTTGTTTGCATTCTCACTAAATATCATTCCAACCCCGCCGCCTTCCCCTTTATTTGCAAAAAAGCTTCCATTTCTGCAAGCCACCTCCCACCGGTAATGACCGCCCGCCTCTCCAGAAAGCAGCCGCCTTCTGTTTTCGCATCTGGCCTGCTGGAGCCATCGTCGCCCCCTCGTCCTTTCTCAACCCCCCTGGTCCGGATGCAACCCCGGAGTTTTAATTTCGGAGTTTTAATTTCTTCCTGATACTCCTCCTCCTTCTGGTCACCGACTCTTCCGGTTAGGTCGGCTAGCTCCGAAAAGTCCATCATCTTCACCTGCCATTCTTCCACCGTTGGTAATTATTGCTTTTTCCACTTTTTAGCTAATAAAATTCGAGCAGCAGTTGTGGCATACAAAAATAATTTAACATCTTTCTTGGGCGATTCCAAACCTGTTATTCCAAGAAGAAAGGCCTCTGGTTTCTTGATAAATGTATATTTCAACATTTTTTTTCAAGTCATTATAAATTTTTCCCAGAATTCTTTCGCCTTGGGGCAGGTGCACCACATATGATAAAAAGTTCCTTCCTTTCCTTTACATTTCCAACATAAATTATCACAGTTATGATTTACAGTATTTTTGCTAATTTAACAGGAGTCAAGTACCATCTAGGGACGCGGGTGGCGCTGTGGGTTAAACCACAGAGCCTAGGGCTTGCCGATCAGAAGGTCGGCAGTTCGAATCCCCGTGATGGGGTGAGCTCCCGTTGCTCGGTCCCTGCTCCTGCCAACCTAGCAGTTCGAAAGCACGTGCAAGTAGATAAATAGGTACCACTCCGGCGGGAAGGCAAACGGCGTTTCCGTGCGCTGCTCTGGTTTGCCAGAAGCGGCTTAGTCACGCTGGCCACATGATCCGGAAGCTGTACACCGGCTCCCTCGGCCAATAAAGCGAGATGAGCGCCGCAACCCCAGAGTCGTCCACGACTGGACCTAATGGTCAGGGGTCCCTTTACCTTTACTAAGTACCATCTGTACATCATTTTCATTATATTTTCCTTTAACACAGTACATGCAGTGAACTTAACCCCCCCCCCCCCCACCCATTTTCCTTTGGTGCTGTGCCTTTTTTTAAGACGGCAAACACGTAACTGAAATGAGCGAACCTCCTTGTCTCTTGCAGGCCTCTCTTGATGCTATCCTCAGGCCTGCTGGTCCTCCGCCGAGCTCTCCGCCGGCCGATCTTCTCCGCCGGCTACTCGGCACTGGGCGGCTCGCCCATGGAGAACACCCCCGTGGAGGCCTCTATCCGGGCCAAACTGAAACAAGCCCTGGAGCCCGTGCACCTGGAGATCATCAACGACAGTCACATGCACGCCGTTCCGCGGGGCTCCGAGACGCACTTCCGGGTGGTGGTAGCCAGCCGGCGCTTTGAGGGCCTCTCGCTCATCCACCGCCACCGCCTGGTCAACGACATTCTGCAGGAGGAGCTGGCCGGGCCCGTCCACGCCCTCTCCATCCAGGCCAAGACCCCCCAGCAGTGGGAGAAGAACCCCAAAATCATCCAGAGCCCCGAGTGCCTGGGGGGGTCCAAGCACGATCCCCAGATGGCCGCGAAGATCGGGGAGACGCCCCGGGCATGAAGCGGTCCGCTGCCAAAGGCCGGATCTAAGCATGTTTCTGGAGCGAATAAATGAAAAACACCTATGTTCCGGTTTGGGGTTAGATGCCAGCGTCTTCTACAATTCTGCAATTCACTCCCCGCAATGGACACTCCGCACTATTCCTTGGGAGTGTCGTTCTGGCTTGCTCTCATATAAAAAAATGAGATTATCATATGTGCATTTTGGAGCTTCTGTTTTTCCGCCAGTGACTGATGTTTCCTGGGGAATCGCTTGGGTTTTGCGACAGTTCATTCCGGCCCGGCTTTTTGTAATTTGAGCAAATTAAACTTCCAGCTTTGGAATTTGCAAGGGGCATCGCTTCTCATGGTGGTTTGTTTCCCCTTTTTTGGGGGGGGGGGAATTACAGTGCCGCAGCGGGTTGGGATAGATGACCCTCATGGGTCCCTTCCAACTTTACAATTATGTGGTTCTGCCTTGGGGTTTCAAAAGGAGGAGCGGCAATTTGTGTGATGGGGGTCATGTTTAAATGACTTTTCCCTCCCCAGTTTTGAGGCTGTCCCAACAGAGGCTGGTTTGGGTCATCAGTGGCTGAAGTACCTGTTCTTTCACCTGGTTGGCTACTGGGAGAATAAGGTGGGCTCCCAGCTCCAGAGGCAGTCTATCTGAATTCGTATCTGGTTCTTTGGGATATTTGGCTACCATGAGAACAGGAGGCTAGGTTGGATAAAACCCCTTTGGTCTGATCTAGTTACTGCAGGGGTGATGGTCTGAGTTCTGCAGCGGTCCAGCTGAAGGCCAGGATTGTATTTATTTCAGAGCTGGCCAATCCAAAAGCTCCACTACACTAGCCAATCACATGAGCCTACAAGGCCTAAGTCTCCAGAACGCATTCCTTGCCTACGAAACCCATGGTTCTCCTCACCTCATTTAATCTTCACGAGAGTCCTGTGAAGTAGGCTCAGGGCTGAGAGAAGGCAGGGACTGGCCCACAGTCACCCCTGCGAGAGCTTCACATGGAGGGATTTGAACCCGGATCTCCCGGGTCCTAGTCTGACACTCTAGCCCAGAGCTTTCCTCCCGGGGCTGGTAAAGGGTTACTTTAAGCTCGTAATAAATAAATAAAAAATAAAAATTGTCCAGTAGCACCGTAAAGGTTAAGGTATCCCTGACCGTTAGGTCCAGTCGTGGACGACTCTGGGGTTGCGTGCTGATCTCGCTCTATAGACCGAGGGAGCCGGCGTTTGTCCACAGACAGCTTTCCGGGTCATGTGGCCAGCATGACTAAGCCGCTTCTGGCGAACCAGAGCAGCGCACGGAAACACCGTTTACCTTCCCGCCAGAGCGGTACCTATTTATCTACTTGCACTTTGATGTGCTTTCGAACTGCTAGGTGGGCAGGAGCAGGGACCGAGCAACGGGAACTCACCCCGTCACAGGGATTCGAACCGCCGACCTTCTGATCGGCAAGCCCTAGGCTCTGTGGTTTAGACCACAGCGCCACCCGCGTCCCTTGCACGCACACTTCTTCAGATAACATGCACACGAAAGCTTATACCCAGAACGAACTTAGTTGGTCTCTAAGGTGCTACTGGACAATTTATTATTATTATTTTATTTATTTCGACTGCGTCAGACCAACCTGAATCTTTAACCTCCGAGTAAAACTGAATTGTGAAATGATGAATGTCTAAAAAGTGCATCGCCAACATGAAAAGTTTGGGAAGCTCTGCTCTAACCACTACACCACCGTTGTCTCTCAGTAGAGCATCCCAGGGCTAATGGATAGCTTAAGGAAAAGTTAAATAAATCACTTAATCTTCAGCTACAAAATGTCGCGGGGACTCCAAGGTGGTTCTGTTAATGGCCAGATAGGTTCCTTATACACGTTGGGAAATGAAGGGCATGCAAAATCCAACAGGTGAAGCTTCTCCCCTCCCAGGCACTCACTAAGCCATCTGTACACCTGTTGGATTTCTGGCTCATCACCACAAAGCATCTTAATGGAAAAGGAGGCAAGGACACCTTGCTGGGCTGGAAATAATCCAGAAGAACCTGTTTGGGGAAAAACAGTTTGCAACTTTTGCACTTTCTGCTTCTAGGTGCAGAGAAGTGAGAGGCCAGAAGAAATCTGCAGACTCTATAGCATTTGATCTCCCTTGTCTCCCACAGCACAATAACAGATTTATTTGGTTTTGCTAGATTCAGTGCTTCCACAACATTGTTTTATTTACCTTTAAATGTATATCCTACCTTTTCCTCCCAAGGTGGCCCCTCTCCCATTTCATCCTCACCACAGGGAGAGTTAGGCAGACTGGGAGGGATTTGAACCCTGGTCCCTCTCTCCCAGGCCCGAGGCCAGCACCTTAACCACTGTGCCACGCTGCCACGCAATTGCTGTCTGGAGCACGACGAGAACGGGATGAAATCAAGCCAGAGTAATACATGAAAAGTTGCTGGATCCTAGCATGAGGTTATAGGATACGTGCTTATTAGTGCCCCAAAACCTTTGCAGGCGCCCGCAGCATTGAAAGCGTGACCAGGCATGACCTTGCATGCAGCCGTTTGCCTGAGCGGCTGGAATGTTTGTGAAGATTCCATACCAACCTTGAGCCAGTGGCCAGCATTTCAACCATACCAGACCCTGATTAGCTTTGTAAATAGGCTAGCATTTTATTTTGTTTTTGCCTCACCAATAACAAGGTCCCAGGTTCAGTCCCCGGCATCTCCAGGTTGCAGTGTGAAATCCCCTGCTGCTGCCAGTCTGAGTGGGCAATACTGGCCTAGTCAGTCTGATGGTTGTATAAAGAAGCTGCTTCTGTTACTACCTGTAAATCAGACTTCGGGCAGAACCATGAGGACGAGTAGCTTACCCTTGTTTTTTTAAGGGGAGGACCAGAACGCAGGGTCAGGCATGCAGAACGTGCCAGGCTGAGTCCCCAGTGTCATCGCTACGTAAGGCCGGGAATAATCCCTCGCCTGTGGAGAGCTGCTGCCAGCCAGTGTTGGCATAACTGTTCTGTCCCATAGAAGGCAGCATCCTCTGTTTCACATTTTGGAAAATGGGCACAGCCGCTGTTTTTCTCCCCCTTACAAAATCTATACATCCTTGCCTTCGTTTCATCCTTCTGGTTTGCCGCCACTGCGTCGAGCGCTTTCAAAGTTTATCCAATGGTCCGTTGCAATTTTGCAAACAGGCACCTGTCTCAAGGGTGCGAGGAGGACCTTTGCAAAGCTCAGTCGGCAGAGCGTGAGACTCCTAATCTCAGGGTTGGAAGTTTGAGCCCCACGTTGGGCAAAAGATCCCCGCATTGCAGGGGGTTGGACCAGATCCAGCATGCCCAACTTGAAGTAGGCTGTGTGGTTACACGCGAGCAGCACCATAACATAGCTGTCAACCGTCCCTTATTTGGCAGGAAAGTCCCTTATCCCAGCGCCGTGTCCCGCTTCTGTTGCTTATTGATGATGTCCCTTAAACTTCCCGGGTTTCAAAGGAAGCAGCTCCTCTCCCTCCCTCCCTCCCTGCCGGCCAGGCGTTGCTCACCCAATAAGGAGTCTAAGAACGACTGGGGGGTGGAGCTTGCATGCCTTGTGCCGATCAAATCGGCCGCATTGCCTGGGGACTCACCTTTGCTCAGCGCTTCCCAGCAGAGAGGTGACGGTGGTTTTCCTTGCTGCATCCCCTTTGCCGGGTTGCTGCGCTGTGGGAACCACCGCTTGAGGCTTCGTTTGGCTGCTGGCTGGGCTTTCTGCCTTTGGCTCGGAGGGGCTCAGAAGTTGAACACGCCTGTGCTTGGAAAATCCCTTATTTTGGCTGCTGATCCCTTATTTTCGAGGCTGGTGGTCCTTTATTTTCAAATCTGTAAGTTGACAGCTATGCACCATAACAGCCTGTTTCCCCTGAGCTCAGGACGAGGTAGTGGTTGCTCAGAACCGTCTCCAGTGGATTGACCATAATTCATCCAAGAATCAACCGGTCGATCGCAATCAAAGCCTTGGACGTGTCTGGACTAGATGACTCGGGAATCCCTTCCAACTATATTTCTATGAACTTTTCATTCTACCCGAATTTCTTTGCACATCCCCAGCGGAATAACGAAAAGGAAAAACTCAACACACACAACCATCATTTTTTCAATCTTTTATTTTTTTTTCATTTTTACATAGAATTTTTTTTTACCTTTTTTTTACTATGAGTTCATAATTCCAGAGGGGGGGGAAGAGTCATGTGTAGGGCCAGAGCCAAACTTACATATATTTAAATCCTTTCCCTAGCGATCAAAAACTGTGCACGCACCACCTCTTTTATTTTTTAAAACCTTAAATCATCATCATCATCATCCACAGCACCTTTAGGAATATTTATTTCTCGACGCGGCATTTAAAACAACCGTCTCATCTCGTCGTCATTCTTGGCTTCTGTTTTTTTATCTTTTATTTATTTTTTTATTAATACAAAATGAAACAACCCGGAGACGACAACTGAAGTTAATGACTATTATTATTTTTTTCCTGATTTTTTTTTTCTTCTCAATTGTTCTTTTACAAACATCTAAAAACAGCTAAAACCACAACACAAGGTTTTTTGTCAATTTTTTGATTTTATTTTGCATACAGACAGAACTACGTATGGTTTGGATGTGGGGTTTTTGTGTTTTTTTTTGTTTTTAAAGACCAGCTACACTGTAAAGGATGGAGAGAGACCGAAGGGTTGGGGCGGGGGGAAGCGTCACAATTTTGGGGGGAGGCGCAAAGGAGGGGTGTGTGCTTTGATTGATAAATACTTCCCGTGTGGATCTGTTTCTTCCCAAAAGTAGCTGCTTAAAACAGGACTTTATCCCAGAGGCCTCAAGATTCAGAAAGGAGGAGAGGAAAGGTTAGGTTGCATGTAAATTTATTAGCTGCATTGTCATTCAACGTTGCAAGGAGGCGTGGCTTCAGCAGGGCACCGCTTAACCAGTGGAACTCCCTGCCTATTGATGTTAGGCAGGCTCCCTCTCTATATTCAGATAACTTAAGGACTGTCGCAAGGGGAGAAGGGAGCAAACTTGTTTTCTGCTGCCTTCGAGGGGAGGACCCAAACGAAGGGATTCGGATGACGAGAAAGGAGATTACGACCAAACTTTAGGAAGAACTTTCTGACGGTAAGAGACCTTTGACAGTGGAAGGGACGGCCTTCATGGGAGGTTTTTAAATAGAGGTTGGATGGCCTTCTCGGTGGTGGCGCCCGCCCTGTGGAACGCCCTCCCATCAGACGTCAAAGAGATAAAACAACGACCTGACATTTAGAAGACATCTGAAGGCAGCCCTGTTTAGGGAAGTTTTTAATGTGTGACATTTTAATGTATTTTTAATCTTTGTTGGAAGCTGCCCAGAGTGGCTGGGGAGACCCAGCCAGATGGGCGGGGTACAAATAATAAATTAGTCTTATTCTTATTATAGTTGCAATGTGTGCATTGCAGGAGGTTGGAGTAAATAACCAACTTGACTGGCACATCCCAACACATGATTTAGTTACTTGTAGCCTTTTCTCCTAATTCATATTTGCTTTTAATTGGTTTGGGAATTTTTGCTAGGCTTTATTTCTAATATTATTCAGACACTACTTGGAGATAGATAGATAGATAGATAGATAGATAGATAGATAGATGATAGATAGATAGATAGATAGATAGATAGATAGATAGATAGATAGATGATAGATAGATAGATGATAGATAGATGATAGATAGATAGATAGATGATAGATAGATAGATAGATAGATAGATAGATAGATAGATAGATAGATAGATATAGGTAGTTTATATGCTTTTTAAACAAATGAATCGACTTTGCTTGGATCAGACTAAACCAGGGGTCAGCAAACCTTTTAAGCTGGGGGCTAGTCCACTGTCCTTGAGACCTTGTGGGGGGCTGGACTATATTTTGAAAGAAGAAAAAAAGGAACGAATTCCTATGCTCCACAAATAACCCATAGATGCAGTTTAAATAAAAGGACACATTCTACTCATGTAAAAACACACTGATTCCCGGACCATCCACATGTCCGTCTAAAGAAGGCAGTTGGGCCGGATCCAAACTAAACTATCTGGTTGTGTGTCTGATTCCCTCAGTGGCCGCCCAGGTATCTAGAGATTTAACTGGAAAGGGGAGGAAATTTGGAGGGTAGATGGGCAGCTGTGGGAATCTCCTGTATTGTCGCTTGAGGATGTTTTCCTAAAGCCAAGCAAATGCCATTCAAGGTGACGGTTCACCTGGGCTGCCCACAGTTTGGAAGAGGAGACTTGGGCAGAAGTTACCAAAGTGAAAATGGGCACAAATGAAGGCCCAAGGTCTACTGCTTTGTAGCTTTCTTAAAAGCGTAAGAACAGAAGGAGAGCCCGCAGGATCAGGCCAATGGCCTGTCTAGTCCAGCAGGCTGTTCTCGCAGTAACCAGCCAGACTCCTGTAAGAAGCCAGCAAGCAGGCGCTCTCTCCCAACCTGTGGTTTCCAGCAGCTACTATTCAGAAGTATTGCTGCTCTGATCGATGGCTAGAAGCCCTCAATGGCCCTCTCCAACTCCATGAATCTGTCTAATCCTCTTTGGAAGCCACCCTAGGCCATCGCTGCCTCTTCCGGAAGGGAGTTCCACAGTTTAACTATGTCCTGCTCTGGCCAAGAACAAACCCATAATGTGCACACTGAAAACTGCTCCTGGGCGTGCAAAATCACATTTGCACCGCCTCCAGCAATCTGTTCCCAGGATTCCTTGCAAAATTGAAGCATTCTCAGCAATTGCAATTTTAAAAAAAAATCTTGCAAATAAATTCAGAATTTGACTATACGATTTTAGGAGAAAAGCCACCCTAAACCACACAAGGTTTTCGGGAGGAGGGTTTGTGTGTGTCTCGGAAACTCCCTATTCTGCTGCAGCCAGAGGAAAAGACCGTTTGTTTGTGCTTTAGCGCCACCCCCTCCAGCTGGCCAGAGGGGGGGTATTGCAGCTGCCGGGGGCCAGGTGACAAAGGGGAATGACACCTGGACCTTTGAAGATGCTGAGTTTGACTTAGTGCTTCATTTATGGCACAGGGTTCCTCTGTGCTTCCCCCCAGACTACTGACCAACTCTCACATCACGCCTAAAAAAGTATTAGCCCTCTCCCTTCTGGGGAATTGGGGAACCAGAATTATCCTAAATGGATAATTCCACAGTGTGAGCCAGGGGTTGTTGGGACTCCAGCTCCCACCATTGGTCACGCTGGCTGAAGGCTGAGAGTCCAGCAGATCCTCGCCACTTCTGGTTTTTTTTCTCCAAAGGGGGAAAAAAACACACCGCTTACTAAAAAGAGAGAGATTGGAATGAACGAGAAGACCGGATTCGCTATCCTGCTGAGTTAAAATGTGCTTTGCTGGGCAGTTTTTGGTCCACAAACGTTAAATTGGAACAGCGATTCTCCCACCTTTCCTCTTGGTCGTGAAATATAGGGCTAAGAATCTCTCTGTTTGTATTAAGAGTCCTGGCCCCCAGCTCCCAATGAGGCCCCTGAGTGGAGATGCGAAGGCAGGGATGGGGAACATCTAAAACCATTAGAAGAGCTTGCAGGATCAGGCCAGCGGCCCGTCTAGTCCAGCATTCAGTTCTCACCGCAGACAAGTGGGAGCTGAGCGCAGGAGCAACAGTCTTGCCCCTCTGTGGTTTCCAACAAAACAACACCACCACAAACTGGCTTATAAGTATAAAACCAAATTTACTTGAATCATAACTAGAATAGAGATAGACTTGTAACCATTCAAGCAACAAACATACTAAGGTGCCATGTGCAAAACAAAGCCTGGAGATACTGTAAACATGGAGTGGATAAATGTACAACTGTATCTTAACAAGTTACATGTGCAATAAACGTTATACAGACTGGATAAATGAACCGTTCAACAAGTAGCGTAAGTACAATCACAGAACGGCAACCCCGTGCTGCCACAATGGCAAGGGTAGCACACTGGAGAACATGAGAAAGTTTTTCAAAGCTGTTTTTCAAAGACTGAACTGGATGAGATGTTCTTCAATAGGTCTTGAGCTGGAAACACAAAGCAAGTGGACTACTTGTTGAACGGTTCATTTATCCAGGCTGTATAATGTTTACTGCACATGTAACTTGTTAAGATAAAAAGGTAAAGGGACCCCTGACTTTTAGGTCCAGTCATGACCGACTCTGGGGTTGCGGCACTCATCTCGCTTTATTGGCCAAGGGAGCCGGCGTACAGCTTTCGGGTCATGTGGCCAGCATGACTAAGCCGCTTCTGGCGAACCAGAGCAGCGCACGGAAACACCGTTTACCTTCCCGCCGGAGCGGTACCTATTTATCTATTTGCACTTTGACATGCTTTTGAACTGCTAGGTTGGCAGAAGCTGGGACCAAGCAACGGGAGCTCACCCTGTCGCAGGGATTCAAACCGCCGACCTTCTGATCAGCAAGTCCTAGGCTCTGTGGTTTAACCCACAGCGCCACCCGCAACCCTTCTTAACAAGTTACAGGTGCAATAAATGTTATACAGACTGGATAAATGAACCATTCAACAAGTAGCGTAAGTCCAATCACAGAACGGCAACCCTGTGCCACCACAATGGCAAGGGTAGCACACTGGAGAATATGAACAAGTTTTCAAAGCTGTTCGACTTATGCTACTTGTTGAACGATTCATTTATCCAGTCTGTATAACGTTTATTGCACCTGTAACTTGTTAAGACACAGTTGTACATTTATCCACTCCATGTTTACAGTATCTCCAGGGTTTGTTTTGCACATGGCACCTTATAGTATGTTTGTTGCTTGACTGGTTACAAGTCTATCTCTATTCTAATTATTATTCTAATAAATTGGGTTTTATACTTATAAGCCAGTTTGTGGTGGTGTTGTTTTGTTGCATTATTATTACTGTCACCACATTTGGTACTTTGTGTATATCCTCTGTGGTTTCCACCAACTGGCACTGCAGCATCTTAATTTGTCTTGGGACCCACATAAAACCAAAGTCACATGAATACATGTCCCTCATCTGAGAGTAGTTGGTGGCAGTCAACCATGGGGCGAGATGTTCCAAAGGTCTGGGCCGGAAGATGGGAAGTTCTTCTGTCTAGATAGGAAACGAGACCAACCAAGCGAAAGGCAAGCTCTCCAATTAGACTGGTGGTACTTTTTTGTCACCATCTCTGGGGAAAGGGCCATCATATTGTGATAGGAATTTTATGGTCTTAGATATATGGTAATGTTCATAAGTGTACCAACCAAGCACACACATAGATCAGCACAGGAAGACCTGGAACCATTTTGATTCCTAAACTGAGCAAATATTTTCTCTGCAAGGTCAAACCTCCCATTGTCTCTTTCCTCACAAATCATGTCTTAAGGGCACATTTAAGATATGAATAGGGTGTGAGCCTGTGACCTGGCCCAGGAACTAAGTATTTATCATTACAAAAGACTGGCCAGGCTCCCCAGGCAATCCAATCAAGTAACGGTGCCAGAGAGGAGATAAACAACGATAGGAGAAAAACAACATTCAAATTTCTGTTTTAAGACCGCCTTTTCTGTGATGTAGGTATGATGTACCTGAGGGGTGGTCTTAGGTTACACCCCTTCTGTGATGTATGTATGATGTTTCTGGGGGTGGTCTTGATCTACAGGGTGGCAATTTCAAAAGTCTTTATAAGGCCTTGCACGCCATTTTTCTGGGTTCCTCCTCCTCTCCTGCGGGTGAGGGGAGCACTCTGTTGCAACAGAGCAATAAAGCTTACTAGCTGCTTTGCTTCTCACTATTCTCTGGTTGGCCTCTGTTATTTTCTCCTACCAATAGGGAACCTACGTAAGGACTCTATATGGGCTCTTGGATACCCCATAAGGGAAAAGGGCAATTTTTGTTTACAACAATAGCTTGGCCTTGCAAGCAGAAAGTCCCAGCTTCCACCCTTTGAAGGCATCTCTCCAGGGAGGGCTGAGAGACCCCCTGCCTGAAATCCTGCCGGGCTGCTGTCAGTCAGAGCGGACAATACTAACTTAGTGGGCCAATAGTATATGGCAGCTTCATATGTTCCTATATCTTGGGGAAGGGCCGGGGCAATCTCAGTGGAGGAGAACCCCGAAAGACCCAGGCTCCAATCTCCAGGTAGGCCTGGACCAGACCTGACACCCCCGGAGCACCGCTGCTGTCAGTCAGTGTTGGCAACACTGGACTAGATGAGCCAAAGGCCCCTGGCTCGGAATTATGGCAGCTGACTCAAGTCCCAACAGATCCACCAGCAGCCAATGACACAGATCTGCAATGAATGTACAGATTGTGGAGAGGCTCCCAAGAGCGAAGCCCGGTTTGCGGGACGGCAGGGCCTGTTTGGCACCGCACCCAGAAACCCAAAGGCTCTTCCGCCCTTCCCGCAGCGGCACCAACCCCATCCGGAGCCCTGAAACGTCAAGCTAAACGAAATCACACACCCGAACTGACGCTAGTTTTACACACCCAGAAATGGACGCTACGATTTGGGGGAGGTTGTTTTGTTTGTCTCCCCCCGCTGTATACACACACACACACACACACACACACACACAAGTGGGATGGGTGTGCACCGAGACACAAAAGCGTGCCTCTTGAGAACCCCTTTTTTAAAAAATAAAAAAGAAGAAGGAGATGAAAGGAAAAGGGGACGTTGGGAGCACGTTGACACACCCGAGATCTGTGAGATTTACTGTTTTGTACAAGCTTACACATTGGTGTAAAACATCGTCACATGTCCTCTACCAGATAGTTGGACACACATGCACACATACCCCAGCTTGGATTGGCGAAGTGGTTTGCGGGGGGGGGTCACACACCCTGAAATGCCATGGGTTCGGGAGGGGGGGTCACGCCGCCCCCCGATGTTTGACCTCTGACCCGTCTGCATCTCTTTTGCGCAGAGAGACAGAGAGAGAGAAAGAGAGAGAGAGGCGACATTGTGCCTCGTCCAGTCCCCCTGCTATTTTGTTGTGGTGGTTTTGGGGGTGGGCGGAGGGGGGGTGAGGATTCACACGTACACAGATAACCACAAGAGGAAATTGGGGAGAAGGGCCGGGGGTGAGATTTGTCTGCGGGCGAAAGCCCGGACCACGGTTGGTATTTCCCCCCCCCCCCGGTTGAAATGGTACGACAAGACAGTCACAGTGTCTACAACTCTAGATCTGCCACTTGCCCCCCTCCCCTGGCAAGTGGGACGGGGCAGGCGCGTAAGAGGGCCGAGTGCGAATCTCTCTCTCTCTTTTTCACACGCTCGCACGGACGCACGCTCACTGCAGCACCTGCCCCCGTGTCTCCGGCAGCTTGAGGGCCAGGGAGCTCCCCACGGCCAGCGCCGCTGAGGCCAGAAGGATGGGCACCGCTTTCGTGATGCCCACAAAGGACGTGAAGATGCTGATGCCCAGGACGGCGGCCAGTTTGCACAGGGCATTGAGGAAGCCGAAAGCGGTCGTCCTAGAAGCAAAGGAAGAAATAATAATAATTTTATTATCAGAAGGTCGGGGGTTCGAATCCCCGCTATGGGGTGAGCTCCCATTGCTCGGTCCCTGCTCCTGCCAACCTAGCAGTTCAAAAGCACGTCAAAATGCAAGTAGATAAATAGGTACCGCTCTGGCAGGAAGGTAAACAGCGTTTCCGTGCGCTGCTCTGGTTCGCCAGAAGCGGCTTAGTCCTGCTGGCCACATGACCCGGAAGCTGTACGCCAGCTCCCTCGGCCAATAAAGTGAGATGAGCGCCACAACCCCAGAGTCGGTCACGACTGAACCTAATCGTCAGGGGTCCCTTTACCTTTACCTTTTAGCCTGCCCATCTGACTGGGGTTGCCCTAGCCACTCTGGGCAGCTTCCCACAAAATATAAAAACACAACAAAAGGTATTGTGTAAGGTATTGGTTGTGTTTAGAATAGATTTATGAAAGATTTAGAAAACCTACTGATTAGAATATTTGTATGAGATTGTATGGGGAAAATACGGAATGACAGATACAATTTTGCTTAAAATGTATATAGGAAGTGCAGTGTAAGTGATGGAAGTCCATCAGTGAAATTTTATTATTGAGATATTTGTAGAATAAATTTGGAAGAAATTCTTCCAATTTTTCTTCTTCCAATTATTCTTCTTATTTTTTCTTTTTCTTTTTTCTTTTCTTCCTTTTTTTCTTTTTTATTATTTTATATATGTGTGTGTGCTTATCTGAAATATGTATGTATGTATTTGCAGTATTTAGCTTGTACTGTATTTTGTAATAATTATGTTAAATAAAATTTAAATTTTTAAAAAATTCAAACTTCCCTTTGGATGCCTTCGGAATATCAAGAAATAGATGAACATGGGGGCGGGGGGGGGTTCAGGGAGAGAATTAGTTCTCCAGGCAGTTGCATCTCAGAATCAGGAAATAACTACAAGTTATCGACACGCACAGCCTCTCTTTGGGCACAATGAGTCTGCCAGGCTCTGAGGTGGCATCTCGCCACGGGAAATCGCGTGTTTTAAAAACACGCTTTTCACGCCAGTCGCCTGCTGATCAGAAAAAAACCTGACTCCTCGCCCTCGCTGTGCAAGCCAGCGACACAAATGGAGGAAACCAGAGCCAGTGTGACGTAAAATGGTTCGTGTGTTGGACTAGGTAGGACCTGGGAGAGCAGGGTTCGAATCCCCGCTCAGCCACGAAGCTCACGGGTGACCTTGGGCCGGTCACTGCCTCTCAGCCTCACCTACCTCACAGGGCTGTCGTGAGGATAAAATGGGGAGGAGAACCATGTGCACCAACTAGAGATCATAGCTGTCAAGTGTCCCTTATTTGGCGGGACAGTCCCTTATCCCAGCGCCATGTCCCGCTGCTGTCCCTTATTGATGAGGCTTCATTTGGCTGCTGGTGGGCTTTCTGCCTTTGGCTCAGAGGGGCTCAGAAGTCGAACATACCTGTGGCCGGAAAATCCCTTATTTTGGCTGCTGATCCCTTATTTTTGAGGCTGCTGGTCCCTTATTTTCAAATCTGTAAGTTGACAGCTATGCTAGAGATCACTGGGGGGGGGTGTTGTTGTTGTTGTTGTTGATGATGATGATGATTATGATGATAGAAAGAAGAAACGGAAGAGGGAGGAGGAAGGCCATTTAAAACAACAACAACAACAACTTGATATATACAGTGGTACCTTGGGTTACAAACGCTTCAGGTTACAGACGCTTCAGGTTACAGACTCCACTAACACAGAAATAGTACCGCGGGTTAAGAACTTTGCTTCAGGATGAGAACAGAAATTGCGTGGTGGTTTAGGTTAAGAATGGACCTCCAGAACGAATTACCGTATGTTTCTGACACCAAAAGAAGGAATCCAGGTTATTCCTGGGGTTCTGGATCCTGACTATGTAGGCACAATAATGGTTCAACTCTGGAGCCATATGCCCATGCAATTAAAAAAGGGTGAGTCTTGGGCGCATTTGGTGGTGCTCCTTCTCATCCTACTGCTTCTATTATGGATACTAATTTGCACGAGCTCTCTTCTTTCCCTCCACAGCTGTTAGCTGTAGTCCAGAGGATTGGTGAGAAGAAACTCTTCGTAAGTATAAAATCAATGGTATTGTGCTGGAAGGCTTGATTGACACAGGCGCAGACGTTTCTGTAATTTCTAGTAGTTGCTGGGACCCCACGTGGCCCCTTGAGTCTGCCTCTGCAGTCTTGGGTGTGGGTGGCCCCCAAACCTCTTCCAAAAGCGTACAGTGGCTGCCTGTTTCTCTGCCTGATAGCTCTGAAACCATTGCTTACATCCAGCCCTGTGTGCTGAAAATCCACCTCAATCTGTGGGGAAGAGATTTACTACAACAATTACAAGCTACCATTCAATTTAATGAGTAAGCTTGCACTTCCCCTCAGCTGGAAATCTACCAGTCCTGTATGGGTGGAACAATGGCCCATAACGGGAGAAAAGCTACTTGCTTTAAAACAATTAGTGAATGAACAATTATCGGCAGACCATATTGAGCCTTCAGTTAGCCCCTATAATACACCCATCTTCGTCATAAAAAAGAAGCAATAGTTCTCATAGGAAGCATAGCAAGATTTCATAGCAAGACTTCCCACAATGCCACAGTTATGTGCAGTAAGAGAACTGCAGAAAGAAAACTTCCCTTCAACCGTATTTTTTGCTCTATAAGACTCACTTTTTCCCTCCTAAAAAATAAGGGGAAATGTGTGAGCGTCTTATGGAGCGAATGCAGGCTGCGCAGCTATCACAGAAGCCAGAACAGCAAGAGGGATTGCTGCTTTCACTGCGCAGCGATCTCTCTTGTTGTTCTGGCTTCTGAGATTCAGAATATTTTTTTTCTTGTTTTCCTCCTCCAAAAACTAGGTGCGTCTTGTGGTCTGGTGCGTCTTATAGAGCGAAAAATACGGGTAAGTTCTTAACCTGAGGCACGACTGTATTTTGTAAGCCTTCGCTTTCAGTTTTTTTGCTACCTCCCAGCAGCGTATAAATTCTTACTAATAAATAATCAAGAAAATCATCACGTCTTGCTGATTTCATTACATCTGCTCTGTTTTGCAAAGCCTGTTTGTGCTGCTGCTTCAAAATGGACCTCAACCTCTGTGACCTGACCTCTAAGCTTTCGTCCCTCTCTCTCTCCTCCCACAGAAGAAACGCAGCTCTGGGTTTCTGCTCCTCTCCAGGAACCATTCATCCTGCCTTCTCTCTCTCTTCCCCTCTCTCTCTCCCCCCTCCTCCTTTTCTCCTGTGCTGCCAAGGTCCCTGCGGGCAGCTTGGGCTGGCGTGTGACTGGCAAGCTGGATGCGTCACTTTTTCTCGGCTTGCCCTCATTTCCAATGCTAGGCAGCCTCTCGCTTCCCCCCTGCAAAGTGTTTATCCCTGAAAGGACATTGGGGGCGCTGGGAGGGAAGGGACAGGAACCGCACCGTCATGAGATTTGGATTTTACACTTTCTTTCTTTCTTTTTTAAGATGTTGCAATGCAGGGAGGGATGCAATTCACCGCTTTGGGCCACCTCTAGAGTCCTTCGCAATCTAGACAGCTCCCATAGTTCTGGCATCGCAGAAGCATTCAGGCAGTGCTTCTGAACCCTCCTGTCCCCATTCCCCAAAAAATCATATACATTGTTGTCCTTGTAAACCATGAGGACTATCAACTTGGGATCTGGGGGTTCTTTTAAGTGAAATTCTTGATTCGCAACCGGAGGGTTTGCGGCGGCATCTGAATTCATAGCAGTCAAAAGAAAGATCCGTGACACACTTTGCAAGGACAACTTCCCCCTGCTTTGTACAATCGTAGAGTTCAAAGGGACCGCAAGGGTCATTTAGTGAAGTCCAGCTCCTCCGAAATGTTCTGGATTGCAGCACCCATCACCCGCTGGTCAGAAAATGATTGCAAGGGATGTCAGCTGGTGAGTTATGATTTCGGGGAAATGGCCTCAGGGGCCAGGATTATCCTCCGGGTTCCCCAAGTCTGTAGTGAAGGACTGCCCTCTGCAAATGGACACCCTGCCAGAAACCTCTGCACCTTAGAGATTTTGGACCTTCCAGTACAATTTCCTCCTCTGTGTTTCCTCCTTGTGATGGCCTGGGACTCAGACTAATAACCAGAGGAGTCTCAATCCGCACCGGATCCTCTGCCTCAGGCATTATCTGAACCAAGTCTGGGGCCTGACCCTGAAGAGCCCCAGTCTGCACAGGTTCCCCTGCAACAGGCACCAGCTGGGCCGAGTCAGGGGCCTGAGCCTGCCCTGGCTCCAGATGTGGGGATGACCTCGTTGCCTCCAGCTGGGCTATCGCTTACAGCTGTTCCACTACCGGTTGGGTCAGGGGAGGCTCAGGCGGCCCCTGGGTCTAGTAACCCACCGATATCTCCTGAGCTGGAGAGACTGAGGTCTGAGAGGAGGAGGGACCTGAGTACTCGCAGGAGGAGTGCTCGCCTTCGGGTAAGACAGGGAGGTGAGTCGCCAGGGGATCAGGACTGGCCGTTACCCCGACAAAGGCTGTCAGACCCTGCCCCAGACTGCGGGAGCAACATTGCTGTATGCTAGATCCTGCCTGAGATTCTGAACCTGTCCTTGCCTGGTTTCCTGCCTTGCCCCTGTCGGACTGACTCCTACGGTTTCTGGACTGGTCCTGGACCGTGTTTCCCAGGTTACCCCCGGGTCCAGCACACTCCTGCGCACCTTCTGCAGAATGTCCCTAGGAGCCAACCCTCAGTGGCTGACCCACCTCCTTTCCCTCCGATTGGCTCCAATCAGCACAAAGATGAAGAGGGCTTCTTCTCATTGGCTAGGAATGCTCCCCTTTCATGCCGATTGGTCGGCTCCAGGATGGTGGAGGCGGGGTCTCTGCTGCAGAAATCGCCTTTGGCCACCACCCGACCACAGACCCCTACAACTCTGGTAGGCTTTCCCTAAGAACTGGGATTTCTGCAAAGAGGGGGAGGCATGGCTTACCTTCTATCTGATGGGTAGAGCTCGACCGTAAGGACGTCCAGGGCGTTCCACGAAGCTATGCTGACCCCACCAAATAGGCAGAGCAGGGCGATCATGGCGGACTCGCTGTTCCCGAATGACAGAAAGAAGCAGCTCACGCAGGACATGACACTCGACCCGGCTGGATGTGTCGGGGAGAAGATGGGAGGGGGGAAGGGAAGAGACAGGAGTCAATGGGATAGTCCTAATTCAAGGTTACCCATGTCTGACTGCACCCATTGCCCTCTGCATCCGTCGCAGAAGCCGATCTCTTAGGAATCGTCAAACAAGTTTCTAGATAACAACGTTCAGATTTTTGGGCATTGAATTACAAGAGGATCTGTCCTGGAGTGTCAACACAAGGGGGCTTGTGAAGAAGGCACAGCAGAGACTGTACTTTTTGAGAATACTAAGGAAAAACCATCTTCCGCAGAAACTGCTGCTTGCCTTCTATCACTGTGCCATTGAGAGCGTGCTCACTTATGGCTTATGTGTGTGGTACGGAAGCTGTACTACCCAGGACAGGATGGGGTTGTGCAGGGTTGTTAAGGCAGCAGAGAGCATTGTTGGCTGCCCACTCTCCACCTTAGAGCAGATTTATGCCACAAGGTGCCATAGGAAGGCACTGGACATAGTAAAAGATCCATCGCATCCTGGTCACTGTCTCTTCGAGCTCTTGCCGTCGGGACGGAGATACAGGACGATGAAGACAAGAACGAGCCGTCTTAAGAACAGCTTCTTCTCCAGAGCGATCTCGGCCCTGAATGGGAAGCCCGGACTTTGAAAGTCATCTAATCTCCCTTGCTGTATTATACTGTATTGATTAATTAGTGTTTTTATGGAGCAGTCAAGTAATTTCGTTGTCCCCGAAGGGGGCAATGACAATAAAGATATTATTATTATTATTATTATTATTATTATTATTATTATTATTATTATTAGATCTCATGGTGGGAAAGGTTCAAAACCCAGAGGAGTGCTCAGTATTACTGGCAGCCTTTTGAGTACTGCTAAAAATAAGAGTTTCTGCAATAGTGCTGATTAACGGGTGGGACGTGGGTGGTGCTGTGGGTTAAACCACAGAGCCTAGGACTTGCCGATCAGAAGGTTGGCGGTTCGAATCCCCGCGACAGGGTGAGCTCCTGTTGCTCGGTCCCAGCTCCTGCCAACCTAGCAGTTTGAAAGCACCTCAAAGTGCAAGTAGGTACCACTCCAGCTGGAAGGTAAAGGGCGTTTCCGTGCGTTGCTCTGGTTCACCAGAAGCAGCTTAGTAATTCTGGCCACATGACCCGGAAGATGTACGCCAGCTCCCTTGGCCAGTAAAGCGAGATGAGCGCTGCAACCCCAGAGTCGTCTGCAACTGGACCTAATGGTCAGGGGTCCCTTTATCTTTACCTTACCCAGCTAAGTCCTACTCAAAGTGGACCCATTGAATTAATGGAGCCCAGTTAGCCATGCTGACTTAATTCAACCAGTCTGCAATTTCAGTTGAATACAGCCAAAAAATAAGATTGTAGCAAACTTTGTTATTAGTTCTTTCCCGTACACAAACTGTGTAAATATGTTTGTATTCGTCTCAAGAGAGTAAAAGAAAATGCTCTCTCTATCCAAAGCTGTCAGCTTTTCCCTTTTCTTGCGAGGAATCCTATTCGGAATAAGGGTAAGGTAAAGGGTAAAGGGTAAAGGGTAAAGGGACCCCTGACCATTAGGTCCAGTTGTGGCCGGCTCTGGGGTTGCGGCACTCGTCTCGCTTTAATGGCTGAGGGAGCCGGCGTACAGCTTCCAGGTCATGTGGCCAGCATGACTAAGCCGCTTCTGGTGAACCAGAGCAGCACACAGAAACGCTGTTTACCTTCCCACCAGAGTGGTACCTATTTATCTACTTGCATTTTGACGTGCTTTCGAACTGCTAGGTTGGCAGGAGCAGGGACCGAGCAACGGGAGCTCACCCCGTCGCTGGGATTCGAACCGCCGACCTTCTGATCGGCAAGTCCTAGGCTCTGTGGTTTAACCCACAGCACCACCCGCGTCCCTACGGGAAAAGTTGACAACTATGCTCTCTCTCTCACACACACACACTCATTAATTTCCCAAGGTATCTGGGTAACAGTTAGATGCAGTAGACTTAACCTGTGCCTGGAAAAGCATCACTCTTTCAGCTCTGTGTGCTTTTCAAGGGAGAAGAAAGGTCGTCACCCTCACTAGCTCATGTCCAAAGAGGTGGAGGAGCTCAGGGAATTTGGGGGAGACCTCAAGGGGGGGGCGGAGGGCTCCCAGGTGCCACGATGCCAACCCTCCCACGATATAAACTGTTCATCAGAAATCCTGCCCACGCACCAATTTTGTTCCTAGTTCTCCAGAAGCTTCATTATTCATTCATTCAAAATCAGCAACTATTCACACAAATGAAAATGCAGTCCTGTTGCCTAGTAGGGTCTTTTAAGCAAATCACACGGGCTCTTTCATGGGGGAAACATTAACGAACGAGGCTAATTAGCACAAAAGTCAAAAGGGCCACAAAGCCATAGATTCCCTGCCCTTCCGAAACCTTTCTTTGCACCAAAATGCACTGCAAAGAATCATAGAATCGTAGAGGCGGAAGGGACCACGGGGGTCATCTAGTCCAACCTGCTGCAGTGCTGGGGTCTTTTTGCTCATGGGTAGGCAAACTAAGGCCCGGGGGCCGGATGCAGCCCAATCGCCTTCTAAATCTGGCCCGCGGACGGTCCGGGAATCAGCATGTTTTTACATGAGTAGAATGTGTCCTTTTATTTAAAATGAATTTCTGGGTGATATTGTAGGGCCTGCCTGGTGTTTTTACATGAGTAGAATGTGTGCTTTTATTTAAAATGCATCTCTGGGTTATTTGTGGGGCGTAGGAATTACCATATTTTTCGCTCTATAAAACGCACCAGACCACAGGACGCACCTAGTTTGTGGAGGAGAAAAACAAGAAAAAAAATATTCTGACTCTCAGAAGCCAGAACAGCAAGAGGGATTGCTGCGCAGTGAAAGCAGCGATCCCTCTTGCTGTTCTGGCTTCTGCGATAGCTGCGCAGTCTGCATTCGCTCCATAAGACGCATACACATTTCCCCTTACTTTTTAAGAGGGAAAAAGTGAGTCTTAGAGAGCAAAAAATATTCCCCCCAAAAAATATAGTCCGGCCCCCCACAAGGTCTGAGGGACAGTGGACTGGCCCCCTGCTGAAAAAGTTTGCAGACCCCTGTTTTTGCCCAACGCGGGGCTTGAACCCACAAGAGTCTCACGCTCTAGCGACTGAGCTGCATTTTGCAGTGCAAGAACTGAGCGGAGTCCGAGTTTAGATCAGAATTGCAGCTCAGAGCTGGGGCAATCATTTCCCCCCGTGCCCTTTTCTTAAAGAAAACGCCCTCCTCCTTTGCTCCTGAAAAGAGCCTGTCATTTACACTCATGGAGCAACTTAAAATTCAGAGTGTGGGGGAGCAGTTTTCAACAGGAAAGAAGCACAAAGGACTTAGCTCTCGCCTCTTACTCATGCCACAATCATGGTCTGGATCTGGGGTCCCTGCAGCTGGCAAAAAAATAATAATACAGACACACTAAGGCATGGTCTGTTTTGGCCATCAATATCCCGTGATCTGACCGGTGCCTTTTACCCAGTAATTAGGTGGGAAATTTCCAGACAGGACATTCCTATCCGTATATAAAGCTTTTAACAACTTGGGGAAAGTTTGCCTGCAAGATTGCCATACTCCTCAAGCACTACATAACACCCATTTCTCATTTGTAGGAACTCAATCTTTTAGTGTGGCAGCAGCTACACTGTGGAACTCCCTGCCTATTGACATTAGGAGCCGCCTTTGCTGTGCTATTGAAGCTGTCCCAGAAACTCCAGCGGCTGCAGAATGCTGCAGCGAGGTTCCTCACGGGGTCCCTGCCATGGGAGCATATTCACCCAGTGATTTACCAGTTGCACTGGCTCCCGGTGGAATATAGGGTCAGGTTCAAGGTGCTGGTCTTGACCTTTAAAGCCCTTTGTGGCTTAGGGCCCTCGTATCTACGGGACCGCCTCACCTGGTCTGCCCCGCAGAGGACCTTAAGGTCCATGAATAACCATGGTTTAGAGGTCCCAGGCCCTAAGGAAGTCAGACTATCCTCCACCAGGGCCAGGGCCTTTTCAGTGATGGCTCCGACCTGGTGGAATGCTCTGTCCCATGAGACTAGGGCCCTTCAGGATTTAACCTCTCCCCTTTTTATGAAGATTACCCACTCTGGGATCCCACAGCTAATTCTCCCCTGGTCTCCTTGCTGGCCCAAGTAGGACCAATTCAGCCAGCTAGCCCTGGGGGTTACCTAATGCTTATTTCCCCTAAATTGATTTTTGAATTTTATTGTTATTCATGTTTTTATATTGTACTTTATGCTGCTTTTATAATTAAGTGTCTTAAATTTGTTGTTAGCCGCCCTGAGCCCGGTTTTTGAACTGGGAAGGGTGGGGTATAATTAAAAATTTATTATTATTTTTATATTTCTTTCATCTGTCAATGGTGACAGGACTACCTATAACCCTTACCCAGCATCCGAAGTCGCCCAATTTTGTCCATCAGGAGCGCAGAGACTATATTCCCTGGCAGGACAGCGAGGGTGCCCAGGAAACTGACAAAATAAATCATGTAGGCATTGTTGTCATCGCTGAAGTCCAGCTGGCACCCTTCTTTGTTGTGGAGAAAGGTGCTGTTGATGATCCGGCTGTTGATGAACTTGTACTCAAAGAGGTCTGTGGGTCAAGAGGAGACAGACGGAGGGTTATTTTATTTTTATTTATTAAATGAACTGCAGGGGGGTCAGACTAGATGATTCTTGGTGTCCCTTCCTACTGTACAGTCCTGTGGTTCTACATGGGCTCCCACAATGTATAAAAGAATAAAAGAGAACTCACTTAAACAACTGGTCCTACCAGGAGGTGGCCTGACTTAACCATAGAATAGGAAGGAGCACCAGGATATATATATTTTTTGTTTAGATGTAATTTTCATTGTAGGAACATTTGAAAAATTGGACAAAGAAAATATTTTTTAAAGGTTTTTGTTTGCTTTTTTGGCACGCGGCGGCCTCAGACTTTACCCGTGTTGTAGAAGACGGTAGAGATGAAGGTGCAGTTCTTGAAGAACGTATTGCTAGATGTGATGTCCTCAAAGTAACATTCCTCAAACAAGGAGTCGACGAAGGACACAGACTTCATTTTGAGGCTTATAAACCTGTCGTAAAACAGAGAGGTTATGGGTTTGAGTCAGGTGAAAGATTCCTGCTTGGCCGGGGCTTGGACTAGATCAAGGGTAGGCAAACTAAGGCCCGGGGGCCGAATCCGGCCCAATCGCCTTCTCAATCCGGCCCGCGGACAGTCCGGGAATCAGTGTGTTTTTACATGAGTAGAATGTGTCCTATTATTTAAAATGCATCTCTGGGTTAATTGTGGGGCATATGAATTTGTTCATATATTTTTTCAAAATATAGTCCGGCCCCCCACAAGGTCTGAGGGACAGTGGACTGGCCCCCTGCTGAAAAAGTTTGCTGACCCCTGGACTAGATGACCCTCATGGTCTCTTCCAGCTCTACAGTTCTATTATTCTATCCCTAAAATTCTCATCTAAGGACAAGTCATAACCCCACTTCGCTGAAAGTTGAGCACCACCGTAGAGGGTAGTGTAACCACCAAAACAGAAAGGTATTACCCTGGCATTAAAAGATAACCATCTTGGTGCTAGGCCTGTTTCCCAGCAGAAAGCATTCCGCAAATGGTAGAGACGGGGCCACCACTGAGAAGGCCCCGTTCTCGCGCAGAACCAACCAACAAGGAACAAACTCCCAATGGTCTCGGTCATGACCCGTCTGGCGAACCAGAGCCTATCATATGGTAGGGTTGCCACATTTCAAAGAGCAAGAGAGAGCGGCCACCTACTTGTCGTTGAAATACTCGCTGCGGGTGTGGATCTGGTTTTCCAGCGTGAAGTTGAAGGTGATGTGGCGCACAGACTCGTTGTTGAACACCTTGGTGCGAGAGGCATATTCAATGTTCTGGAGGTGCTTGATCATGTCTGGGAACCAGACGGTCAGACCGTAGTAACTGCCGGAGGAAGGGGGTTGAAAGAGTTAGGAGCGGGAGGACTGAGACAGAAGGGAAATCTCTGGAGACTTGAGTCAGACTGAACCACAAGCGTTCTATGCAGAGAAGATCCCATAGCACTTCATAGTTATTTGCACCAGTTTGTTTCTGATCACAGTTCAGAGACCCCCCTATAAAATCCCCGATGTTGGTTGGGGGTTTAGTGGCTGTCCGGTTGCAAGACTAATTCAGGGGCTGGCAATTTTTTGGTGTTTTTAAAGGTGGGTGTTTTTTTTTAATTTCAAGTTTATACATTTCATTAGTTTTACAATCAATTTAACATTTCAAAATTCGACTTCCTTCCCCCTCTTTCTGCAGTTCCTTAAATTTATTTTTTTAAAAAAATTATCTTCTGCATATCCAGATTCATTTCACTTGCTCATTTAATTACCTACTGTAAATATATACTATTGTGAAACTGCAGGTTGTTACAATAATCCTGCTAATGATTTTATCTGTTTACAATTTATCTGCAAATATTCAATAAACCATTTCCATTCTTTTATAAAAAGTTTGTTATCTTGATTTCTTATTCTTCCGGTTAAGTTTTGCCATTTCTGCATATCCCATTAGTTTTTGTATCCGTTCTTCCTTTGCTGGGACTTCTTCCTCTTTCCACTTTTGAGCAAGTAGCAGTCTTGCTGCTGTAGTAGCATAAAAAGGTCAAGGTACCCCTGCCCGTACGGGCCAGTCTTGACAGACTCTAGGGTTGTGCGCTCATCTCACTCTAGAGGCCGGGAGCCAGCACTGTCCGCAGACACTTCCGGGTCACGTGGCCAGCGTGACGAAGCTGCTCCAGCAAACCGGCACCAGCGCAGCACACGGAAACGCCGTTTACCTTCCCGCTATACAGCGGTACCTATTTATCTACTTGCACTTAAGAGTGCTTTCGAACTGCTAGGTGGGCAGGAGCTGGGACCGAACGACGGGAGCTCACCCCGCCGCGGGGATTCGAACCGCCGACCATGCGATCGGCAAGTCCTAGGCGCTGAGGTTTTACCCACAGCGCCACCCGCGTCCCCTACTAAGGAAGGTAGTAACACAATAAAATTCAAAATGGTGTCAAATTAATTTAAACATTTATTCCAAATCTTATTAAAGCTCTTCAGTTAATTCGACAAAAACTGACCAGCTTGATACCAGCTTCTCAAATGATCAGATGGTTATTTAGACCTTCAATGTCTCTCCCTTGCGCTGTGGGTTAAACCACAGAGCCTAGGACTTGCTGATCAGAAGGCCAGCGGTTCGAATCCCCGCGACGGGGTGAGCTCCTGTTGCTCGGTCCCTGCTCCTGCCAACCTAGCAGTTCGAAAGCACGTCAAAGTGCAAGTAGATAAATAGGTACCACTCTGGCAGGAAGGTAAACGGCGTTTCTGTGCGCTGCTCTGGTTCGCCATAAGCGGCTTAGTCATGCTGGCTACATGACCCGGAAGCTGTACGCCGGCTCCCTCGGCCAATAAAGCGAGATGAGCGCCACAACTCCAGAGTCGGCCACGACTGGACCTAATGGTCAGGGGTCCCTTTACCTTTACCTTTAAATAATCATGCAGCCCACCAGGGGGCAGTCCCACCCGCCTTGGGAACCACCAGACTAATTAATGGACTAATTGGTCTGATTTGCTATAAGGCAGCTTTCCGATTTCCTTAGACAGCACACACCCCACCTGCAGGCAGAAATAACACAGTTCTGCTCTGTTAGATCAACTGCGTAAAACAATCCCTGCACATGCTCAGAGGCATATCATACAATCCTGTCGCTGATGGAGATAGGGAGCAGAGAAAGCCAGTTTCGTTAACGAGGATGTCGCTTCGTTAGGCTTCGAACGGACCGTCAGCCAAGGAAGCTTTCTCCCCGCACACCTGCAGACCAAATCGCCAGCCTCCAGCCATGACTGATCCACGAGCCGTTTGCAATTATTTCCTCTTTGAAAATTATTTCACTGACAGCTCCAATTAACGAGAGCTGCCTGGAGATCAGTCATGGAACTGCGGCTCATGACGCTGCCTTTTTCATTCTCTCACTCTCTCTCTCCTTCTCTTTCTCTCTTCCATCCCCCTGAGTCATATCAGCAAATGAGCTTGCTGGTTACGGGCTTTTGGAAGAAAAGGGAAAAAACATTAAAAAATATTTTTAAAATATTCTCCTTACACCACTGCAGAAATTAGTAGCCTTTGATTCTGGCCGCACGGCAGTCCTCGTTGCATAAATTAAATATCAGCTCCGTGTTTAACTGTTGCAGCAGCTGGATATTCACCTGCTAATGAGCTTGCAGGCGAGTTTGCAAGGTGGGAAGTTGAGGGTATCAAAGCCTATAATCATAGCTGTGCAACCCCAGAATTCAAGAGGGTTGTTTCACAGGGTAAGTGGGCTTTAACAGGGGGGAAATTAGAGTACAGTGGTACCTCGGGTTACAGACGCTTCAGGTTACAGACTCCGCTAACCCAGAAATAGTACCTCAGGTTAAGAACTTTGCTTCAGGATGAGAACAGAAATCATGCTCTGGCGGCGCAGCAGCAGCAGGAGGCCCCATTAGCTAAAGTGGTGCTTCAGGTTAAGAACAGTTTCAGGTTAAGAACGGACCTCTGGAACGAATTAAGTACTTAACCCGAGGTACACAGGTGGTGCTGTGGGTTAAACCACAGAGCCTAGGACTTGCCGATCAGAAGGTCGGCGGTTCAGATCCCTGTGACGGGGTGAGCTCCCGTTGCTCGGTCCCTGCTCCTGCCAACCTAGCAGTTCGAAAGCACATCAAGTGCAAGTAGATAAATAGGTACCGCTCTGGCGGGAAGGTAAACGGCATTTCTGTGCGCTGCTCTGGTTCGCCAGAAGCGGCTTAGTCATGCTGGCCACATGACCCAGAAGCTGTACGCCGGCTCCCTCAGCCAATAAAGCGAGATGAGCGCCACAACCCCAGAGTCGGTCACGACTGGACCTAATGGTCAGGGGTCCCTTTATCCTTTACTTTACCACTGTAGCTGGAGATTGGGGTAGGAGGTGAAGGAAGCAGTTTTGCTGAAAGAGGAATGGAGCTATCAGGCACAGCGCTGAAAAAACTATGACCCCCACCTGGATTACAGTGGTACCTTGGTTCTCAAACGCCTTGGTACTCAAACACTTTGGTTCCCAACTGCCGAAAACCCGGAAGTAAGTGTTCCGGTTTTCGAATGTTTTTCAGAAGCCAAACATCCAATGCAGTTGTCGGCTATTGTTTCCAGGGAGCCTGCACCAATCAGAAGCTGCGCCTTGGTTTTTGAACATTTTGGAAGTCAAACAGACTTCCGGAATGGATTAAGTTTGGTGCTTTTGTTTTTGCTATTTATTTTGCTATTTGAGGCTTTTTCGGTTAATACGTTTTTGTGACTGGGTGGAACCCAGTTCAGCTACTGATTGATTGATTGTGTGACTGTGGAAATGGATAAAAGCCCCCCATCCAAACAATGACCATCATCAGTGTAGGTAAGGGGGAAAAATTAATTCTAATTTTTATCATCTACAATACTGTCTTATTTATTTTATAGTACAGTACATTGATTGTTGCTTTCCTTTTATGGATCAATGGTCTCGTTAGATGGTAAAATTCATGTTAAATTGCTGTTTTAGGGGTTGTTTTTAAAAGTCTGGAATGGATTAATCCATTTTGCATTACTTTCAATGGGAAAGCACACCTTGGTTTTGGAATGCTTTAGTTTTGGAACGGACTTCCGGAACGGATTAAGTTTGAGAACCAAGGTACCACTGTGTATGTTTTAGTCTACAGAGCCAGTGTAGTGTAGTGGTTAAGAGCGGTAGACTCGTAATCTGGTGAACCGGGTTCGCAACTCCGCTCCTCCACGTGCAGCTGCTGGGTGACCTTGGGCTAGTCACACTTCTCTGAAGTCCCTCAGCCCCACTCACCTCACAGAGTGTTTGTTGTGTGGGAGGAAGGGAAAGGAGAATGTTAGCCGCTTTGAGACTCCTTAGGGTAGTGATAAAGCGGGATATCAAATCCAAACTCTTCTTCTTCTACAGTGCTACCTCAGGTTAAGTACTTAATTCATTCTGGAGGTCTGTTCTTAACCTGAAACTGTTCTTAACCTGAAGCACCACTTTAGCTAATGGGGCCTCCTGCTGCTGCCGCGCCGCCGGATCACGATTTCTGTTCTCATCCTGAAGCAAAGTTCTTAACCTGAAGCACTCTTTCTGGGTTAGTAGAGTCTGTAACCTGAAGCGTATGTAACCCGAGGTACCACTGTATTCTATCACAGCTTTAACTTTCTGTACGGTTTAAATTATTGTTGCCAATTTTTTTAGTGATCATTTTATTGTTTTATATATTCTTTGTAAACCGCTTTGAGGGTTTTGCCCCCTATGATCAAGCGGTATATGAAATTTATGAAATAAATAAATGCAATAAAGCTAGACTAGCCCCACCTGAAGGACATGGTGAACCACACTGCCATCATCATCAGGGTCACCCGACGGTATTCAGGAACAAAGCACTGGTGGAAATTCGCCCAGACCTGTAAAAAGAGAAAAACATATTTTGAGCCTCTCTGGGGTGGGGCTAAGGGGAGGGAAGAGGGTAAATCAGTGTAGGTTTTCCACAATTTGCTGAAGCCTGCAGGATCGGACTCTGAAGGCACTGCCTGTCTGTGTTCAAATCTTTGCCAGAGTCAGGGAACAGCGACGGAATGTGGCCAAACAGTGCAACCTCTGTGAGGGAAGTGAGAGGGCCGTTTGGCTGAGCCCACTGAGCCTTCGTTGCTCCAGAAGCTAACCTGCTGGGAAAGGTTCAAGAAGCGGACCATCCAGCGCCGGTACCAGGTCCCCGTGTCAGACTGAATCTCTACCAGCTCGTCCTCCTGTTTGATGGTCTTGATGTGGGTCACCTGTGGAATAATAGGGGGGAAAAGTTGGAGAGGGAAGGTGGGGAAATGATGACACATTTCTCTTCCAGGCTTTTTAGAGCATGGTTTTCCCCAAAATCTAGGGTTTTGGACTACAACTCCCATCATCCCTAGCTAGCAAGACCGGCGGTCAAGGATGATGGGCACTGTAGTCCAAAAACAGCAGGAGATCTAAGTTTGGGAAGTGCCGCTTTAGATTCAGGGCAGGACCTTGCAAGTTTGTATACTATGAAAGATTCCCGGCAGGGGCGTTGCAAGGCACCGGGGTGTAAACCCAAGAACTAACAGGTGCAAATTTGGATTTTTAATGTCACAGAGGTGAGCCCCTCACCCCGCAGAATCACAGCCCAAAGCGGTTAGAACCTAAGTAGATAAGAAGAGTCCTGCTAAATCAGGCCAGTGGCCTTTTTAGTTCAGCATCCTCTTCGCACAGTGGCCAACCGGATGCCTCTTCTGTGAAAGCTTCAATAAACACACAAGACGTAACCGGCTATACGTTTGAAAAAATAATATATACTATTCATTGTACTGAATTGTAGATTTCAACAGAAGTAGCTCATGAAGTTCAATGAAAAAGGTAGAAGACCCAGTGGATCAGTTCATTCTCTAACCAGTTTATATGTGAAAATGTCTATTCCACCTGTCTGTTCATAGAGTCCAACAATCCATAAGAAAGGTTGTTGCAGTTCAGTATCAATCAATCCTTTATTAGGCATAGCAAACCACACACTCTCAAACAAACACCGTATACAAATTGTGGAAAATACGAATTCAGCATAACAATTTGCATAAATAATACAGTAAAACACTACCACATCACCGACCAATCACAAACCACTAAATCTCTCTATGATGGCCCAGTCTTTCCACATGGACAGCACTCAAAAATTTAGCCACTATTAAAGTAATTTGATCAATCCTGTCCGAGAGCAGGTCCTGAACCGCTGGCGGCATAGAAGCGAGCCTGTTAAGTTGTAAGGCCTCTAACAATTGTCTTCTGGCATAAATGCCAAAATCACAAGAAAAGAAAATATGCTCCAACGTAGTTCCACAGAATCCTTTCACAGAGTCTAAGACAAGGATTTCCAGAATATTAGCCTTGTTTCGCCATCCTGGGCTTCATCAGTAGTACTAACTCATATATGATATCACAGGACTGCTGTGTCAGCAGCTACTACTATGCTATAAGATCCACTGTCCTGTGATATCATATATGAGTTTGTACTACTGATGAAGCCTAGGATGGCGAAACAAGGCTAATATTCCAGAAATCCTTGTCTTAGACTCTGTGGAACTGTAACAACCCTTCATATGGATTATTGGACTCTATCAACAGACAGGTGGAATAGACACTTATACATGTATGGACCTTATGCATGAACTGACTAGAGAATGAACTGATCCACTGGGTCTTCTGCTTTTTTCGATGAACTTTATGAGCTACTTCTGTTAAAATCTACAATTCAGTACAGTGGTACCTTGGGTTAAGAACTTAATTCGTTCTGGAGGTTCGTTCTTAACCTGAAACGGTTCTTAACCTGAGGTACCACTTTAGCTAATGGGGGCTCCCGCTGCCACCGCGCGATTTCTGTTCTCATCCTGAAGTAAAGTTCTTAACCCGAGGTACTATTTCTGGGTTAGCGGAGTATGTAACCTGAAGCGTCTGTAACCTGAAGTGTCTGTAACCCGAGGTACCACTGTACAATGAATAGTATATATATTATTTTTTCAAACGTACAGCTGGTTACGTCTTGTGTGTTTATTGAAGCTTTCACGTAACCAGAGGTTTGTTGTTGTTTTTCTTCTGGGAAAGCAGCAAGCAGGATTCGAACACAATAACCCTCTCCCCTCCTGTGGTTTCCAGCAACTGGCATTCAGAAGCTTTGCTGCCTCTGACCGTGGAGGCAGAACACAGCCATCCTGGCTAGTAGCCACAGATAGCCCTCTCCTCCTCCATGAACCTGCCTAACCCTCTTTTAAAGCCATCTAGGTTGGCGGCCATCATTGCCTCCTGTGGCAAGGAGTTCCACAGTTCGATTATGCTCTGTTCATCCATTTTAGTCTGCTGGGACGGTGGCCAGGATGATCCCTCACCGAGAAAACTCGCTCGGGGTGACCCTTGGCTCTCATGTTGGTGTCATGGACCTGCTTCAGTACCATCCAGGCTTCGTCGTGTTTCCCGTTCTAGAAAGGGAAATGTTACATTAAAAAAATAAATAACAAAGCCATTAACCAATGTTCTGCCCTGTGTGTGTTACGTCAACAATGTTTTGGCAACACGATGACCATATACATACACAATAGACCATCTTTATAGAATTCCTTCAAACAATAACAAATTCAAAAGGAAATCTTAGACTCAAAGTCTCTGAAAGTCTTTAAATGAAGAGAGGTACTAAACTTTCCATGATGAAAGATAAGCTGTGAAGCTTTTTGTATTCAGCAAAGATAATGTCCAACACTGAACAGAGATTCCGGATATTGACTGCTGTTTCGTAGATCTTCGTCAGCGTGGTGGGAGAATATAGAATTATTTCATAAACTGAAAATAAAATTTTGTAAAGTGATATGTCATGCAGGTCATCGTCTGTAAAATTTTATTTTCAGTTTATGAAACTCTGTTCAAAGGGTAGACAGAGTAAATCACCCATAATTTAAATATACAATAAACAAGCCCATTAAAACAGTGTGCTAGTTAAAACTTAATAATAATAATACTTTATTTGTATCCTGCCCATCTGACAGGGCTGCCCCAGCCACTCTGGGTGGCTTACAACATATATAAAAACATAATAAAACATGAAACATTAAAAAGGTTCCCTGCACAGGGCTGCCTTCAGATTCCTTCTAAAGGTTATATGTCATGTAAGCTTTGCTATTACTCCACAGCAGACAGCTGTATGAATAATGTCAGTTTGACTCTGTCTCGCCAGAGTGGTGCATGCTCTGGTTATCTCTTGCTTGGACTACTGCAATGTGCTCTATGTGGGACTACCTTTGAAGGTGACCCGGAAACTGCAACTAATCCAGAATGCAGCAGCTAGACTGGTGACTCAGCGGTTATGCGGCCGCTGAGACCACATAACACCTGTCTTGAAAGACCGACACTGGCTCCCAGTATGTTTCCGAGCACAATTCAAAGTGTTGGTGCTGACCTTTAAAGCCCTAAATGGCCTCGGCCCAGTATACCTGAAGGAGCGTCTCCACCTCCATTGTTCTGCAGGGACACTGCGGTCCAGTGCTGAGGGCCTTCTGGCGGTTCCCTCCCTGCAAGAAGCCAAGTTACAGGGAGCCAGGCAGAGGGCCTTCTCAGTAGTGGTGCCCGTCCTGTGAAACGCCCTTCCACCAGATGTCAAAGAGAAAAATAACTACCAAACTTTTAGAAGACATTTAAAGGCAGCCCTGTTTAGGGAAGCTTTTAATGTTTAATAGGTTATTATATTTTAGTTTTTTGTTGGAAGCCGCCCAGAGTGGCTGGGGAAACCCAGACAGATGGGTGGGGTATAAATAATAAATTATTATTATTATTATTCCCTTGAGAGAGCTTGACCAATCATGGAGCAGTCTCCATGCCTCTGTATCACCAGGCAGACTTACTCCTTCACACTGCCTTAGCTGTCTGCCAAACCCTAATTGACTCTGTGTGTGTAGCTGCACGTATGCAGATTCGCCACTAGGTGGGTGCCATTTTGAGGTTCACCTCCGGTGCCAAAATGTCTTCGGCCAGCCCTAGTGACACCAACCCACTGGGTCTTTCCCCTCCCCTATCACCACATTCCAGCCTTGCCCTGATGCCTTCCTCCGTCTCTTCCCCATCTCCCTTAAGCCGTTCTGTTCCTTTTACCTCCAAGAAAAAGCGGGGGCTCTCCGGCATGGTGGTGAGGGCTCCAATGGCGAAGACGGACGGGAAGGCACAGACCAGGACGAAGACACGCCAGCTGTGGAACTGGTACGCAGACCCCATTTGGAAGCTCCAGCCTTCGGATTGGAAAATAAAGATTTGTTACACCCACCTCTCTCCCCGCATGTGCCCCAAATCTCTTCCATTTCACAACATGCCAGAATTGTGCACCTTCCAAAGTGAAAACATGCAAGCTCAGAAATTTGCACTGGGTTCAGAATGCAGATCCCAAGTTTCCAGCCCCTAAGATGGATAAGGGGTGCCAAGAAGGCGAAATAAAATGTCTAGCGTTTTTTGAGACAAGGTGATTTGCTCCTTGCATGAATCCCCTTCACATATATGCAAATGAGCCCCATATGCATAATCAATGCATATTGATTATGGGTAAAATCCTGCTCTTTTCATGGGTAAAATCCAGCTCTTTTCCCAGTATAGGATTTGTGCACCACTGGGGCCAAATGGAGAGAGGAAGCCCCCAGTCAGTTGGTCTCCTTCGTCCCTGGGAATTTCCCATCCCTTACCATAATGGGGGATGATCGCCCACGCCATGGCAGACGCATAGATGCCCCCAATCATCCAAAACATGCACAACCAGCTGAGGTGCTCCCCGCGCTTCTCCTGGGCCAGGAACTCTGAATAGTAGGAGAAAACGATGGGAATCGACCCGCCAATACTAGAAAAAGGAGAGAGAGAGAGAGAGAGAGAGGAGTGAAAAACATGCTGGTGGGGTCTGAAGCACTTCCAAGTTCAAGCTGGGCGGAGGGCAGAGGGTAATTTTTGTTTGACTTTAGGTAAAAAGGTAAATATAAAGGTAAAGGACCCCTGGAAAGTTAAGTCCAGTCAAAGGCGACTAAGGGGTTGTGGTGCTCATCTCGCTTTCAGGCTGAGGGAGCCGGCGTTTGTCCACAGACAGCTTTCCAGGTCATGTGGCCAGCATGTCTAAACCGCTTCTGGCACATGGAGGATCGTGACAAGTGCCAGAGTGCACAGAAATGCCATTTACCTTCCCACCACAGTGGTACCTATTTATCTACTTGCACTGGTGTGCTTTCGAACTGCTAGGTAGGCAGGAGCTGGGACAGACCTTTTGATTAGCAAGCCCAAGAGGCTCAGTGGTTTAGACCACAGCGCCACCCGCATCCCTTGTTTGACTATAACCCCAATTTGAAAAAGCAAAACCCAGACAACCCACTGGATGGTGTCAGAGGGAGAATCAGGTCAGCAGATCCGTTAGCTGTACATTTCTTTGTTTTTTAGTTCTAGCATAAAATCCAGACAAACCAATGCGTCTCGAGCAGGTGTGTGCAACCACTTGCATGCCCCCCGTTCAGTCTTCAAGGACATCATCCTCAGAATTTATTCCCCAGAGCCGGAGGTTCAGCACACGGCTGTGTGAGGATATCTATCTCTCTCACACACCTCCCTTCATTTTAAAAACAATTTGGAAAAGCTAAGTTCCTAGTTCTCATAGTTTGAATCCCCACGACGGGGTGAGCTCCCGTTGCTCGGTCCCTGCTCTTGCCTACCTAGCAGTTCGAAAGCACGTCGAAAGCTGGTACCTCCAGCGGGAAGGTAAATGGCATTTCTGTGCGCTGCTTTGGTTTGCCAGAAGCAGCTTAGTCATGCTGGCCACATGACCCGGAAAAACTGTCTGCGGACAAACACCGGCTCCCTCGACCAGTCATGTGAGATGAGTGCCGCAACCCCAGAATCGTTCATGACTGGACTTCACTGTCAGGGATCCTTTATCTTTCCCTTTAAATTCCTAGTTCAGGGTGATAGAAAAGGAGGAGGAGGAGGAGGAGAAGAAGAAGAGGAGGAGGAGGAGATGTGCTGAAGGTTCTAACAGTGATCCCCAAAGGGGATCTCCCAGAATCTGGGGACCAAACACAGAACATGCCTTACCCCACGCCGGAGAGGAGCCGGCAGAAGAGGAAAGTGCCATAACCCTGGACAAAGGAGGAGAAGAAGGCGAAGACGCTGTTGACGGAAAGGGACATCAGGAGGCACTGCCTGCGCCCCAGCCGGTCCGCCAGGCCGCCCCAGAGGAAGGCACCGACCATCATGCCCAGGTAAACAATGAGTCCTAGAGGAAGACAAGGAGAGCACATAGCAGAACCACTCACCCCTCATCGGCTGCAGTTAGGGAAGATTCGCCGCCAGGGATGGGGAACCATTCTCTGCCCAAGGGCAACAACTGCTTATGGGAAACCCTTTGGGGGCCACGACTGCCCTCTCTTGTACAATAGGCTACTTTTCTGCAGAACTAGCCCTGTCACAGGCAAACATTAAGACTCGTTCCACATTCGTAAAGCAATCGATCGTTTAGTGTGGCAGCACCAGCGCTTGGGAACTTTCTGCCTGTTGACATGGTGCAAGCCCCTTCACGGTACAGTCGTACCTCGGAAGTCGAACGGAATCCATTCCAGAAGTCCGTTCAACTTCCAAAACATTTGGAAACCAAAGTGTGGCTTCTAATTGGCTGCAGGAGCCGTCAGACGTTCGACTTCCAAAAGAACGTTCGAAGACCGGAACAATCACTTCTGGTTTTCAATCATTCAGGAGCCAGAACGTTCGACTCCCAAGGCATTTGGGAGTTGAGAGGCATGACTGTACTTCTTTCGGATCCTGCTAAAAACACTTTTGCTTAGACAAGCCAACTTGGACATGGAGACACATGCTTCAATCCGCTTTTAGCGTGTTGCTGGTTTTTTTCTTTTGAATATGTCACAGGGCTGTTTTTACTGATAATTTTGTTTTATTCCCTTTGCAACACACTTTGAGATTTTGCAAACTCATGTACAGTGGTACCTCTGGTTAAGAACTTAATTCGTTCTGGAGGTCCGTTCTTAACCTGAAACTGTTCTTAACCTGAAGCACCACTTTAGCTAATGGGGCCTTCTGCTGCCGCTGCGCGATTTCTGTTCTCATCCTGAAGCAAACTTCTTAACCCGAGGTACTATTTGTGGGTTAGTGGAGTCTGTAACCTGAAGCGTCTGTAACCTGAGGGACCACTGTATAAGTTTTGTCAAATGATGAATAGATAATACACACATGCACACTCTCTGTCCCCCATTCAGGCAAGCACAGGCGTTATCAGAGTTCAAAGACATGTCCCAGCCAAGCAAATACATTTCAGGAGGGTTTGGATAAGAGGCATGAGCTGGGGAGTTTTGGATTTGATATCCTGCCTTTCACTCCCTTTAAGGAGTCTCAAAGCGGCTAACATTCCCCTTTCCCTTCCTCCCCCACAACAAACACTCTGTGAGGTGAGTGGGGCTGGGAGACTTCAGAGAAGTGTGACTGGCCCAAGGTCACCCAGCAGCTGCATGCGGAGGAGCAGGGAAGAGAACCCGGTTCACCAGATTACAAGACTACCACTCTTAACCACTACACCACACTGGCTCTCTCACACTGGGGAGAACTCCAAGGGCCAGACAGTGGAGTCTTTTGGCCCCCAAGCCAGAGATTCCCCATCCAATGTGGTGTAGTGGTTAGAGTGTCAGACTAGGGCATGGGAGACCAGGGTTCAAATCCTCTCTTTGGCATGGGGCAGTCACTACCACTGAGCCTAACCAACCTCACAGGGTTGTTGGGACAAAATGAGGAGGAGGAGAACTGTGAATGGCACCTTTAGCTCCATGGATGAAAAAAGGGTAGGATATAAATGTGAAAATAAAATTTAGATGTGAGGGTCCCTGCCCCCTCCCCCCATACACAGCCTGGCTGACGTCCCAACTTTCCCATGCGGTTTCATGAGTTCTTGGAGAGTGCTGGAGTTTGGGAACTCTGCTCTCTTATATACAGAAAAATGCAAGGCTGTCGTCACACAGCCAGCATTGGAGGACTTGCGTGAAGTCAGAGCGCAGTGCCCATTGGCGGATTTGCAGCGCCGCATCACAAATCTGGATTTGCATAGAGAAGGCGGGGAGAGGGGAGCAAATGAGAACGTTACTGTTTAGTCATTTAGTCGTGTCCGACTCTTCATGGCCCCCTGAACCAGAGCAGGCCAGGCACTCCTGTCTTCCACTGCCTCCCGCAGTTTGGTCAAACTCATGCTGGTAGCTTCGAGAACACTGTCCAACCATCTCATCCTCTGTCGTCCCCTTCTCCTTGTGCCCTCCATCTTTCCCAACATCAGGATCTTTTCCAGGGAGTCTTCTCTTCTCATGAGGTGGCCAAAGTCTTGGAGCCTCAGCTTCAGGATCTGGCCTTCCAGTGAGCACTCATGGCTGATTTCCTTCAGAATGGAGAGGTTTGATCTTCTTGCAGTCCATGGGCCTCTCAAGAGTCTCCTCCAGCACCAGAATTCAAAAGCATCAATTCTGCACAATACCCATAGTCTGACTCAGTACTGGGCACCTTCCCGTGTTTCTAGACCCTTTGGCCTCATCCAGCAGGCTCTCCTTATCTTCTTCCACCACTGCCCAAACTGTAAGGGCTTTCTGGCCACAGTGCATCACCCTCAGGCAGCACCTGGCAAATGAAAGACCCTCAGCTCCTTCCCTTCGCTGGGGGTGATGCAAACGGGCCAGAGAGAATATGCCTGGCTCAGCACGGGGCTCTGGTGACTCAGCACGTGGGTGTCGTGCGGCAGCTGGAGTCAAACGATGGCAACAGTGCCTGGGCAGTTTTCACTGCAGTGGGACTCGGCCTCCGTGCGGCAGCGTGCTTTCCTCTGGGCACACAGGGGTGGGGAGGGGGCGGCGTAAAGAGAGGAGGAGTGGGATGGGAAAGGCCACCGCTGTGTCTCGCCCTCCTGTGGGCGGTGGGCAGATAATCCCTCCAGCCGTGATGAGAACTGGGCACCCTGCGGCGGCCAAGTGGCTCCGCTAAGCCGCTTGCCACTGCGTCCAGCTAATCCCCGGATTAAGCCACCAGATATCAGGCCAACTACGCAGCCCTGACAGATGCAGCGGATTTCGTCTCATTTTGCTTCTTCCCCTGCAGAGATGAGATTCCTCCTTGCAAACCCTTTTACCTGCACCAGTTCACTCATATATTCATTCATATAGATGTGTGTGTGTCAATAAGGGATTACTAGCTTCCCCTTTTTGCATCAGGCACTGTATGCACGTTCAGGACTGCACTGCGACATTCAATGCCCTCCCCCCGCTGCCTCCCTCACCAGACCACTTTGTGCCCCAGAGTCACTTCCGAAAACTAGGCGCCTCTCGCAGAAGATGTGGGATCTCCAGTGCTCAAAATATGGCAGGCGCCACCAGCGCCCTTGTTTCTCACATGCAAGGGAGATGACCATGGGTCTCATAGCATAACATAGACAGGGCCGGATTGGGGTTTCACGAGGCCCTAAGCTACTGAAGGTAATGGGGCCCTTTATATGTCCAGCTGTCCTTTGTCAACAACAAATGGTCGCTGTTTTGTATTTAATATATGCTATATGGTAATTTATGGAGCTAATAGGTATCTAAAGCCATTTGAACATGTTGCCACGCAACCAGTCCATGCAGAATGTAGGCACCCTATAAAGGTAAAGGTAAAGGGACCCCTGATCATTAGGTCCAGTCGTGGCCGACTCTGGGGTTGCGGCGCTCATCTTGCTTCATTGGCCGAGGCAGCCGGCGTACAGCTTCCGAGTCATGTGGCCAGCATGACTAAGCCGCTTCTGGCGAACCAGAGCAGCGCACAGAAACGCCGTTTACCTTCCCGCTGGAGCAGTACCTATTTATCTACTTGCACTTCGTGCTTTCGAACTGCTAGGTTGGCAGGAGCAGGGACCGAGCGACGGGAGCTCACCCTGTCGCGGGGATTCGAACTGCCGACCTTCTGATTGGCAAGTCCTAGGCTCTGTGGTTTAACCCACAGCGCCACCCATGTCCCATAATTGTTTTCGGAGTTAAGTTGAAAAGGTCTCTCTCTCTCTCTCTCTCTCTCTCTCACACACACACACACACACACAAATTCCATAAGCCATGGCTGAATGCAAGGCAGGCGCTATGGCCTGGGTAGCTGGGGACACCGAGATCAAACCCCCAGATGCCAAGGGACTTCTGCTGCGACGGAGAGGACTTTTACAGGGAGAAGCGGGAGGGAGAGCCGGGAGGCAGAGTGTACGCAGCAGAGAGTGAGGTCTATTTTTATCCTGCCTTCTCCATAAATCTGAACTGCAGTCACAGGGCTGGGATGCGGCTGAGCGATGGGAAGTGACAAACGGGAGGAATAAGACAGCAGTTTTTCAGCCGGCCAATCCCAGCAGGGTGAAATAGGGGTGGGGGGGTGTTGGGAAATAATGACATCAGCAGAATGAGAAGTGCCCTCATCTGGCACACACACACACACACACAGAGAGAGAGACCGCTTCCCACCTTCAGAAACACCTTTCAAAAACACGAGGCCAGTGGAAGCATGGACTTACTTCTCCCTTTTTTCCTTGGAAAAAGGGCTCGCTCTAAACACTTTGCTGAAGTTTGGCAGCGCACAGGGCTGTGGGGAGCTGCTTTTCACTGAAGCAGACCATTAGGGTGCATCTAGCTTAGTATTAGGGACGCGGGTGGCGCTGTGGGTTAAACCACGGAGCCTAGGACTTGCCGATCAGAAGATCAGCGGTTCGAATCCCTGCGATGGAGTGAGCTCCGATTGCTCGGTCCCAGCTCGTGCTAACCTAGAAGTTTGAAAGCACATCAAAGTGCAAATAGATAAATAGGTACCGCTCCGGCGGGAAGGTAAATGGCATTTCCATGCGCTGCTCTGGTTTGCCAGAAGCGGCTTAGTCATGCTGGCCACATGACCCAGAAGCTGTACGCCGGCTCCCTCGGCCAATAAAGCGAGATGAGCGCCGCAACCCCAGAGTTGGCCACGACTGGACCTAATGGTCAGGGGTCCCTTTACCTTAAGCTCAGAATTGTCCACACTGACTGGCAGCAGCTGTCTAGGGTTTCAGGCAGGGAGGTCTCTCCCAGCCCTACCTAGAGATGTACCCCGTCGTGGGGATTCGAACCGCCAACCTTCTGATCGGCAAGTCCTAGGCTCTGTGGTTTAACCCACAGTGCCACCCACATCCCTGATGGTTGGAGGTAGAGCATAGCTATTCTGGCTAGTGGCCATCAGTAGCCCTCTTCTCCTCCATGAGTTTGTCCAATCCTCTTTTGAAGCCATCTAGATTAGCGGCCAGTGTTTAACTCTGCGCTGCGTGAAGAAGTCCTTTCTTTCGTCTGTCCCGAATCACCGAACATCCTTCTTCACTGGAGCTCCTCAGTCATCCAGTCCTCCCTCCCCCAGTGCCACCCCACCATGAAAGGACAAATCTCTGCCTTTTCGGAGCATCCCTCTAGTCTCATCATTTGCATGAGTCACAGCTTGTTTTTCTCTCTCTCCCTCCCTCCCTCCTGCTCCAAACCATGCTGATTAGGAATGGCAGGTTGCTCAGGGCTTGCTAAAAAGCAATTTAGGGGCTAAGGGTGGGTGGCAGAGAGGAAAATAGAAAGAGAAGAAGACGTGCGTTTTCTCCTCGCCCTTAATCAACTGCTGGGAGAAATCCCCTCCTGATGAACTGTTGGCTTGGCAAAACATTGCCCCTCCTCCGCCCAGAAATCCACCTGATGCAGCCACAGCGCTACAAATAAGTTTGGGGGCAGATCCATGCCATATATTCAAAGCACACTCAATGCACATTTAAAGTGCACAGGGAAATCTCTCGGGGTGAGAGGCTGGGGGAAAAGAGGGACGCTCGCCATATGTGAGCTGGGAGCACACGCCCTTTTCTGTATGGCTCAAAAGTTAAGATATATCTGCGAGAGATGATTCTGTACTTATCTATCCCTTCTTTCTTTTCTCTGTTATTTTATTCTTTTTCTTTTTATTATTTTTGTGTGTGTAATTAGTTGGCCTTTTATTGTACAGTGGTACCTCGGATTAAGAACTTAATTCGTTCTGGAGGTCTGTTCTTAACCTGAAACTGTTCTTAACCTGAAGCACCACTTTAGCTAATGGGGCCTCCCGCTGGCGCCACACAATTTCTGTTCTCATCCTGAAGCAAAGTTATTAACCCAAGGTAATATTTCTGGGTTAGCGGAGTCTGTAACCTGAAGCGTATGTAACCCGAGGTACCACTGTAATGTGAAAAGTGTAAATAAAACTGTATCAAAAAAGCGCACGGCTTTTCCCAAAGAACACTGGGAATTGTAGTTTCACCCTTTGCGGTGCTACCTTTCCCAGCGCCCCCAGCAAGCCGCAGTTCCCAGGATTCTTGGGGGCGGAGAGGTAAGCTGTACTGTAAATGTAAGACATGGCTTCAGTTTGAGGCTGATCACTTGGAAGGAAATATTGACTGTATTTGACTGCGTTGACAGACTGTGTTGACATAAGAGCTCTTGTGCTGAGTTCTTGCTTGCAGGTTTCCCAAAAGACGCACCTGGTTGGCCACTGTGAGAGCAGGATCCTGGGCCAGATGGGTCATTGGCCTGATCCAGCAGGGCTGCTCTTATGCGCTTCCATCACCTGCAGAGGATGGCGGGGTCTCCTGCCAATCAGCTGGTCGCCAGTATCTCCAAGGCGCTGTTCCTTTGCTGGGGTGGTTTGATTTCCAGCAGGGCAGGCAAAGGAAAAACAGGCCGTCATTGTGACACCAGGCGACTGACATGTCAGTTGCCCGACTACATGGGACACAGGTGCCCACACAACCTACTTTTAATCTCTGCTGATGGGGTGCTAAGGGCAGCCCTACACAGCAACCCCCAAACTGGTTAAACAATTCTCCCCGTTCAGCCACATTGCCTGACAGAGGGAGAGGAGTCGCCATCCATCCAACTCTCCCTGCTTCAGAGCCAGCTATTCCCGGCATCTGCTCCCTGGCAAGAACACAAGCGGGTCATCTTCGGTCGAGGACGCTCCGAGTTCAGGAAGGGAAGACGGAGGAGGAGGAGGAGTTGATGGAGAGCAGGCAGAAAGAATCCCAAGAGGGTTCCCAGTTGCTGCCAGGCCAAGTTAGTGATGGCTTGAAGCGCAGGCTCTCTGCGTGGATCTTTGGCAAGGAGGAGCTGCGGCTGACTTGGCCCTGATCCGCAAAGGGTGCCAGAGCTCAGCCTTCCAAAAAAATATGTTGGCAGGTTCCTATTTAAATCAGTTGCTTCATCAGAACTGTGAGGACCGGGATCTTAGCTTATTTTTATAGGAAAGGCTGTATGAGGCTTCAATCCCCAGCATCTCTCTGGGCAGAGATGAAAACCCAGAGAGCTGCTGCCAGCATGTGTAGGCAACACTGGATGCGCCAATGGCCGGATTGGGTATAAGGCAGCTTCTCTTGTTCTTGTTTTAAATCAGCCCTTTGCTCGGAACCATGAGGACTAGAGCATTGCTTTTTAGGGTAAGGGCTGTAGCTCAGTGGTAGAACACTTGCTCTGCATGCAGAAGGTCCCGGGTTCAAGCCCCAATAGCATTTAAGTCCGGTGAAGCAGTCTGTCTCCGAAACGATGGAGAGCTGCTGCCAGACCGAGCAGACAACACTGGCCTAGATGGGCCCCATTGCTCTGACTCACTTCTACAATTCGATGAACAGAGAGACAGTGCGGACCCCCCCCCTCTCTCTCTCTCCATAGCCTCTAGGCCAAAGGGAACCCCCTCCCCGGCCCCAATTTGGGGGCCTGTGGGAATGCGATGTCCTGTCTCTGCAGGCGTTCAGCAGGGGACATCAGCCTTGCCGCAGTGCAGTCTGTGCGGAGAAGCCGGTGTCAGTTTTGCCTCAAAATGCCAGCGTTTCCCCCCCCCCGCACATCGCCCCCGTAGGCCCTCCTCACTTTGGCGCCCCCGCAAAAAGCACGGTTTCCTCTGCTTCCCCCGCCCTTCCACCACAGTTCCTTTTCAGAGGGATATAATCCTGCCTAAGCTTTTCCGCCACAGCAACCAGGGCCTCTGCAGTGCCTTGTGAGGCAGGGAGATAAGCTTGGGGGCCACTGCGATTCTGACACATTATTCCTAAATTAGGAATGGGGAGGGGGGAACGAGAGAGAGAGAGGAGGCGATGAGTCACAACCTTGCCGCATTCCGCTCTCGAGCCTGGAGCAGAAATCCGGACTGATCACACCAGTGCAAAACTCAGCCAGGCCCAATTCGCCCCCTGCCTCTCAGGATCGCAGCGGGCGAGGCTTCAGCCTGGCCTCTGAGCATGCAGCGACATCCCTCTGCTTCGAGCCAGTTTTGCCGCATGAGATGGCCGAGTTAGGGATTAAGGCTGCGATGATTTTTTTTGTCGTTGTTGCGATTCTACGGGGCTCCCCGCCTTTCAGCCCAGGCCATCGGGAAATGGCTGCTGTGAGGTCCGGTCTGCTTGCCAAAGCATTGTTGCGTTTATCGCTTTTTAAGATGCCGGTGATGTATACTGCGCTTCTAATAGGTTCTTGAGGTTGGTGGCTGCCTTGTGTTTTAATGAACTGTATTATAGTAGCAGAGACATCACCTTGCCAACAAAGGTCCGTATAGTTAAAGCTATGGTTTTCCCAGTAGTGATGTATGGAAGTGAGAGCTGGACCATAAAGAAGGCTGATCGCTGAAGAATTGATGCTTTTGAATTGTGGTGCTGGAGGAGACTCTTGAGAGTCCCATGGACTGCAAGAAGATCAAACCTCTCCATTCGGAAGGAAATCAGCCCTCCATTCGGAAGGAAATCACTGGAAGGACAGATCCTGAAGCTGAGGCTCCAATACTTTGGCCACCTCATGAGAAGAGAAGACTCCCTGGAAAAGACCCTGATTTTGGGAAAGATGGAGGGCACAAGGAGAAGGGGACGACAGAGGACCAGATGGTTGGATAGTGTTCTCATAGCTACCAGCATGAGTTTGACCAAACTGCGGGAGGCAGTGGAAGACAGGAGTGCCTGGCGTGCTCTGGTCCAGGGGGTCACGAAGAGTTCGACACGACTAAATGACTAAACAACAACAACAACAATTATTGCAGCTTAATGTGGTCTCCCACGCTTGGATCCTGCATGCTAAGGGATGGGTTGCCAATGCAATAAATAGTCAAGGGTGATGTTAAAATCCCACAATCCCACGTGTAATAAGCAAACTTGACAAGGAGAAGGCACTGACTTCAAAGGAACATCAGGAGAGCCCAGATGCTGGATCAGCTGCCCAAGGGGGCCTTCCTAGTCCTGCATCCTGTTCTTACAGAAGCCAAATTCACCAAAGAACCTAGGAATCCAGATAGACTGCCTCTGGACCTGGAAGTTTCAAGATGACCCAAGAAGAGCACAGCTGCTGAATCGAGCTGAAGGGGACCATCTAGTCCAGCATACTGTTCTCACAGTGGCCAACCAGATGCCCAAATGGGGAATCCCGCAAGCGGGACCTGAGTGTGAGAGCCCTCTCCCCATTTGTTACTCCCAGAAACTGGTATCCAGGGGCATGCTGCCTCCAACAGCCATTGTGACTAGTGGCCTCATCCTCCGCTGGTGAATTCGTCTAAGCCATCAGGCCAAAGGAGGCCCATCAAATCCAACCTTCTCACAGTGGCCAAAGCCCCTAAGAATCTAGGACTTTATATAGACTGTCTCTGGACCTGGAGGCTCCATCAGGACATGAGACGGGCCTGATGGATTAGGCAAATGGCCCCCCCTTGCCCTGTTCTCACAGTGGTCAACCAGATGCGTCTCCTGGGAAGCGCATTGGCAGGACCTGAGTGCAACAGCCATGCTCTCCCTGTCTGTGATTTGCAGCCACTGCCCCCGATAGAGGAGGCAGAACTTCACCATCACGGCTAGTAGCCATCAGCAGCCTTTTCCTCCATCGATTTTTCTGAACTCCTTTAAAAACTGTGTCGATTGATACACCATGCGGCAGTGAATTCCATACTCCAGACTGGGTCTCAGTCTGTGTCCAGACTGTTTAACATCCTGGCACTTGAAGGCAGTTCCGCAAAACGAGATGGTCAGGGTTCAGGATGACCTGCTTTGAACTCCATGTGAAGTAGAGGGCGCCTATGATTTCAGAGCAATTCCCATGTAAAAACCAAAGCAAGAATGCCCTGATAAGCTAGCATATCAAATGGACGGCTATACAAAGCGCATGTCTCCCTGAAGTCCTAGCTCACTACAGGTTTTTATCGTTAAGAGGCAGGGGGAGAGGGGATCCCATGTAGAGGAGTGTTTACAATTAATTAGAAACTTCATCACTCACGCACACACTGCCCAGCATCTGCCGACTCACTCTGTCTAATGGTAAGACCAGAGTTTGGACGTTGTTTCAGCACCAGCCATGCTTCAACTGAGTGTCCTCCTCCCTGGGATCAGGCTCCCTTTACTTATTATTTGTATTTATTGTATTGTATTTCTCTCCCACCTTTTTCTCCAAGGAGCTCAAGGCGTGGTCCGTGGTTCTCCCTTCCTTCTCATTTAATCCCCACAACAACCCTGTAAGGTAAGGTTAGGCTGAGAGGCAGCGACAGGCACAAAGTCACAGCCAGTGAGCTTCACTCCGGGCCAAGTTGGGGGTTTGAACCCTGGTCTCTCCCAGGTCCTGGTCCAACACCCTAACTGCTACATCACCGCTAGCACTTCTCCTTCAGGGGATGAGGCAGGAGGGTGGAGTAGGAGAGGGAATTCCCCATACCCTGCCCCAGATGTGCACACTGAACCAGAAGAAGCCCTTGCACAAGAGGAGGCTGTTGGGCTGGTAGCCATTCAGCCCGAGGAGATGGCGGTGCCCTCCTCTAGTTGCTGCTCTAAAGCCCCAAGCAAAACCTCACCCTCCCCTGCTCTGTTGGAGTTGATGTCTGCTAAAACATCTTGGGCCCCTTTAAATAAAGAGGCTCCACCCACAGAAGGTGGGGCTAGCTGCTCAGATAGAGTTGCCTATTTATGTATCCGTTCTGGCTGGTGCTGAAACAACATCCAAGCTTTGCTCTCATGCATCCCTGCATGGAGCTGTCCAGGGTGCTGCTGAGACCTTATCTCCATATTACTGAGGCTGTCACTCAAGACACAACACGGCAAGTGTTGCTGCGTTTGTGCCAGAAGCGGGGATAGCCAGCGGGTTGTCTTACAGATACTGTTGGACTATGACTCCCAACATCCTTGACTCTTGGTCGCTCTGTCTTGGATGGAAGGGAGCTGTAGCTCAACAACCCCTAGAGGGCACCATGTTGGATATCCCTGTGCTAGGGTCAGCCGGCTTACCCTCTGCCTAAAACCCATGCAAACAGCTTATAGACACTGTCAACGAGTCTTTTTCAAACTTGAATTTTGCATTTGTGTGCTATCTTGGGGCAGGTGGAGTTGTCTGAAAGGCGGCGTACAGTGGACACCCAGGTTGCGAACGTGATCCGTGCGGGAAGCACATTCGCAACCCACAGCGTCTGCAGCGCTGCATCTGCGGACGTGCAGGTTGCAATTCGGCGCTTCTGTGCATGCACAAAGCGTGATTTAGCGCTTCTGTGAATGCACAGGCGCTGAAACCCCGAAATCCGGAAGTAACCCATTTTGGTACTTCCAGGTTCGGCGTGGTGCGCAACCCGAAATCGCACAACACAAAGCATCCTGAGGTATGACTGTACACATAAATGCCAACCTATATCCCAGCCCCTTAAATCCAACATCAAGCTGCCGCCGCCACCAGCAGCCCATTTTCTCCTTGGTTGGGAAGACTTACCCAGCATGCCTTTATTGGAGTCCGACAAGCACATATCCTTCTCGGCGCTGGGAAGGACAAAGCCCACCACGAAGATCTCCACCCCGTCAGCCATGAGGGCCAGCCCCAGCACAAAGTACAGCGTCCACTGGAACCTCCCGTGTCCACATTCCTGGAGGATCAGCTCATACTGCTGGGCCAGTTCTTCCTTCTCCTTCTTCTTCTCCCCTTCCAGGTCGTCAAAGTCCCTGAACTCGCTCACCACCTCCTGGTTGGCCGTCAAGTGGTCCCCACCCTTGAGGGAGTCGTTCCGGGGGATGCCTTGGTACTCCCCTTCGTAGATCTCGTCGTCCTCGTCGTGGCCCTCGGTGGCATCGCTAGAGGCCCCCTCGTCATCCACTGCCGGCTCCCCACGATAGTAGCCGTCCTGGGGCTGGTAGTCCTCATCGTCATCGTCCTCCTCGAAGCGGGCGTAGGAACGCTTCGTGTACTCATCCTGCATCCGGTCCACCCCTTTGCCTACCTTCTTGGTGGCATGCTTCTTCACTTCCTTGGCAATGTCTTTTGCCCCGCGGATGAAGGCGGTCCGGTCTCTGAAACCTTCATCCATGGTTTTCTGGCGCTTTGGGGGTCAAAGGGAGAGGAATATGCTCGGGAGGTCTTCTCAGTTCAGCACCCAGAACAGGTGGACAGCTCCTTCTGAATAAGAGAATTCTGCAAGGTCTTCCCAGTTCAGCACCCAGAAAGTGTGGACAGCTCCTTCCCTTTGTTGGCAGAGAAATGCACTCCAGAGGACTAAGCTTGTCTTCTCAGTTCAGCACCCAGAAAGGGTGGATAGCGCCTTCCCCTTGGAGGGTTATCCACCCAAATTACAAGGCTAACTTGAGGCCTTCCAGCAGGCGGGTAAGAGCCACTTCGAGGGCTGCCCTCTGCCAGGCTGAAGCCCCCATCCGTCTAAGTCCAAGCTTGCCTTTGGGGAGCCAACGGGCCAGTGGAGGGAGTCGCTCCTTCTGCGTGGGTGGTGATGGGCCTGCAAGGACGACAAAGCAAAAACCGGAACACTTTAGAAATGGAATGAAGGACAGGAGCAAATTCACACAGAAGGGAGCCTGCAAATCATTCTGCCTGGACACTGAGGTCCAGCGCCGAGGGCCTTCTGGTGGTTCCCTCACTGCGAGAAGCCATGTTACAGGGAACCAGGCAGAGGGCCTTCTCGGTGGTGGCACCCACCCTGTGGAATGCCCTCCCACCAGATGTAAAAGAGAAAAATAACTACCAAACTTTAGAAGAGGCAGCCCTGTTTAGGGAAGCTTTTAATGTTTAATAGGTTATTGTATTTTAGTGTTTTGTTGGAAGCCACCCAGAGTGGCTGGGGAAACCCAGCCAGATGGGTGGGGTATAAATAATAAATTATTGTTGTTGTTGTTATTATAAATCAAACTAGCATGGCCAAACTGGCCAAAGGAGGAATGCGCATTTAGTGGATCTGGCCCCATAAAGAACATAGCAAGAGCCTGCGTGAAGGAGTTCCATAGTTTAACTATACGCCGTCAAAGAAGTCGTTTCTTTTGGCTGTCTTTAATCTTCCACAGCCCAAACCTGCAAGATCCTCAGAGTCCCTTCTACCTCTACAGTTCTATGATTCTATCATATGAGTAGCCAGCTTCTCCGAACGAAATAACTGTGACAGAGCCCACACTAACCCTACCACCCAAAACTAGGCGTCTATTAAAGGTAAAGGGACCCCTGACAGTTAGGTCCAGTTGTGACCGACTCTGGGGTTGCGGCGCTCATCTCGCTTTATTGGCCGAGGGAGCCGGCGTACAGCTTCCGGGTCATGTGGCCAGCATGACTAAGCCGCTTCTGGCGAACCAGAGCAGCGCATGGAAATGCCGTTTACCTTCCCGCCGGAGCAGTACCTATTTATCTACTTGCACTTTGAGGTGCTTTCGAACTGCTAGGTTGGCTGGAGCAGGGACTGAGCAACGGGAGCTCACCCCGTCACGGGGATTCGAACTGCCGACCTTCTGATCAGCAAGTCCTAGGCTCTGTGGTTTAACCCACAGCACCACCCGCCCGCGTCCCCCAGGAGTCTATTACTGCTCTGGCAAACTGATGCTTTTTGAAATGTAAGCCAAAAAACGAAGAGGGCTCATCTCCAGGAATTCAGGGGTCTGCTCTCGCTCACAGGCATGCCTCTCCCACCAGGGAAAGAAATTCTTCCACCTTTGTGTGGAACTAGCTGGCAGTGCTAAGTGCATTTTTTTAAAATAATAATTTTTATTGAATGATTTTATGTTACGAAAAACATTACAACCATACTACCACTAAATATAATTGAGAAATAAAAATCACCTACAGTGGTACCTCAGGTTAAGTACTTAATTCATTCCGGAGGTCTGTTCTTAACCTGAAACTGTTGTTAACCTGAAGCACCACTTTAGCTGATGGGGCCTCCTGCTGCCACCGCACCGCTGGAGCCCGATTTCTGTTCTTATCCTGAAGCAAAGTTCTTAACCTGAAGCACTATTTCTGGGTTAGCAGAGTGTGTAACCTGAAGCATATGTAACCCGAGGTACCACTGTACATCAATATTTAGTTTGTTATTTGTTATTTACCATCTTATTTCCTCCCAAACATTCCATACAAAACACACATATGTACAGACACACACACACAAACATAATAATAATAATAATAATAATAATAATAATAATAATAATAAATGATAATAATGAAAGGAAATATTTCCCCCCTTTTATCTTACAATTTTTTTTCTTCAATTTTGACTTCCTGTCAAGTCCCTTCGCATATGTTTTATCTTACAATCGAATGTACACAAAACAATAAAACAATACAAAACAGTGCTAAGTACGTATTTCGAAAGCTCCAGACTTATCCCCAGCCCCCCTCTCCAAAAAATTATACCTCCAACACACAGTTAAACTATGGAACTCCCTCCCACATGAATTAGGGATGGCCAACAGCTCTGAATACCAGTTGCTGGAAGCCACAGGAGAGGAGAGTCTTGCCCTTGTGCTCAGGTCCTGTTTGAGGGTATCTCACATCGTCTGGCTGGCCACTGTGAGCACAAGATGCTGGACCAGATGGGCCCCCTTTGGCCTAATCCAACAGGACTCTTCCTATTTTAATAACATAAGAAGGGGGACCCCCCCACACACACACAAAACCCAACCCTGGGCATTGAATGAGAATGCCCCCCCCTCCCTGCATCATGGGCATCTGTTCTTTCTGCAGGGGAAGGAGCATTTTAACATCCCCCAACAGGCAGCAGGCAAGCCCCAATTTCCAAAAACAAATCAAGCGTGCAATTTGCCGGAATGAAAAGGCCCAGACAACGAAGCTCCCTTGCTGCGGCAAGGGAGAAATAAACCTGCCGTTGTATATTTTTAATATGCTTGTTATTCGTGAACTATGGCGCTGCACTCCTGAACTGTGAAAACTCAGCCGTTGTAAATAAAGCTGATTCTGGAGTTTTCGTTTTAGCAGAAGGGTGTGTGTGTGTGTTTTGGAGAGTGGGGAGGTACAGTGAGAAGTATTTGAATGGTAAAGGTAAAGGGACCCCTGACCATTAGGTCCAGTTGTGGCGCTCATCTTGCTTTACTGGCCGAGGGAGCCGGCGTACAGCTTCCAGGTCATGTGGCCAGCATGACCATGCCGCTTCTGGCGAACCAGAGCAGCGCACGGAAACGCCGTTTACCTTCCCGCCGGAGCGGTACCTATTTATCTACTTGCACTTTGAGGTGCTTTCGAACTGCTAGGTTGGCAGGAGCAGGGACCGAACAATGGGAGCTCACCCCGTCGCGGGGATTCGAACCGCTGACCTTCTGATTGGCAAGCTCAAGAGGCTCTGTGGTTTAACCCAGAGCGCCACCCACGTCCCTCATTTGAATGGTAGGGTTATGCCATTTGACTTGTAGCACAGACAAGTCTTCTCAGAGTGGACGGATTCCTCCAGAAGCCCACAGCCCACTCATGGAGACAAGAGCCCTCACTGTGACTCAGAAGAACAGAGAATCATAAGGAAGGGACCCCGAGGGTCATCTAGTCAAACCCCGTGGAATGCAGGAATCACAGCTAAGGAATCCCTGGCAGATGGCCAGCCAACCTCTGCTTACCACGTACCTACGGGACCGCCTCTCCTGGTATGCCCTGCGGAGGTCCTTAAGGTCCACAAATGACAACACTTTGGAGGTCCCAAGTCGCAAGGTGGTTAGATTGGTCTCAACTAGGACCAGGGCCTTTTCAGTACTGGCCCAGACTTGGTGGAACGCTCAATCACAAGAAACCAGGGCCCTTGCAGGGCCTGCAAGACAGAGCTGTTCTGCCTGGCCTTTGGTTTGGACTCAGTCTGACCCTTACGTTTTCCCCTCCCCTTATGGTTTTGATCTATGAGCTACTTTTAAAACGAGGCTGCATTTTAAATTGCATTTTAACCTGTATTTTAAATTGGTAGGTTTTTCCCCCTATTACGTTTTTACTGTAATTTTACTGGTGTTAGCTGCCCTGAGCCCGGCTCTGGCCGGGGAGGGCAGGGTATAAATAAAATGTATTATTTTTATTATTTATTATTATTAATAATAATAATTAAAAACCTCCAAGGAAGGAGAGTCCACCATCTTCCAAGGGAGTCCGTTCCACTGTTGAACAACCCTCAGAAAGTTCTTTCCAAGGTTGAGTCGGAATCTTCTTTCTCGCCACTTAAATCTATAGGTTCAGACCATGCCCTCCGCAGCAGCCAAGCTTGCTCCATCTTCCGGGTGGCAAACCTTCAGATATTTGAAGATGGCTGTCATATGTCTTCTGCATCATCTCTCCTGCAAGCCTTCCAGATACTGCTGGACTCCAACTCCTGGCCATTGCCTACATTCACTGCTAAGACCGATGGGAGTTGGAGTCCAGCAACAATATGGCCACATTACAAGTGAACAGTGAAGCCAAGCAGCCCATAACAAGCCTTATGTTTTATTAAAATTAAGCGGCAGCGTTTATCCAAGATGTTTGCATCAGGCTCGCAGCCAGACAGGCACCCAGGCCGGGAGCCAAACGGCACCCGAAGGGGAGAAGCTGGGGAGATCTTTCCACAGCCTTGTTCAATGTCAGCCTTAAAACAAAGAGGAAGTGTTGTGTAGTGGTTAGAGCATTGGCCTAGGAGCTGGGGGAGACCATGGCTCAAATCACACACAGTGAGCCATGAAGCTCACTGCATCTGACCTTCGGCCAGACACTGTCTCTCAGACTCACAGGGTTCTTGTTGTTGCGAGAGGGGTCTTAAATGACAACTAGGACCTGGGAGACCAGGGTTTGAATCGCCCCACTTAGCCGACCTCGCAGGGTTGTCATGAGGATTAAATGGAGGGGAGGGGAGATCCATATATACCACCTTGAGCTCCTTGGAAAAAAGGGTGCATTAGAAAGGCCATAAAATAAATGAACTGGAATTTTGTTGTTGTGGTGGTGGCAGCAGCGTCTGTTGCTGCTTTTGATATTAACGTTTTGTACCTCTACAGTGGTACCTCGGGTTAAGTACTTAATTCGTTCCGGAGGTCCGTTCTTAACCTGAAACTGTTCTTAACCTGAAGCACCACTTTAGCTAATGGGGCCTCCTGCTGCTGCCGCACCGCCAGAGCACGATTTCTGTTCTCATCCTGAAGCAAAGTTCTTAACCTGAGGTAATATTTCTGGGTTAGCGGAGTCTGTAACCTGAAGCATATGTAACCTGAGGTACCACTGTATTTTAGATCCTGTGCTTTACATGGGAATTGTTTAATTTGGTTGTGTACTTTTCGGTGTTTTATTCATAGCCTGTTATTACTTTTGCTATGCTTATAATTATGTGATTTTTGCCATTAATAATAATAATAATAACAACAACAACAACAACAACAACAACAACAACTTATTATTTATACCCTGCCCATCTGGCTGGGCCTCCCCAGCCACTCTGGGCAGCCTCCAACAAAATATTAAAATACAGTAATGCATCAAACATTAAAAGCTTCCCTAAACAGGGCTGCCTTCAGATGTCTTCTAAAAGTCTGGTAGTTGTTTTTCTCTTTGACATCTGGAGGGAGGGCGTTCCACAGGGCGGGTGCCACTACCGAGAAGGCCCTCTGCCTGGTTCCCTGTAACTTGGCTTCTTGCAGTGAGGGAACTGCCAGAAGGCCCTCGGAGCTGGACCTCTGTATCCGGGCTGAACGATCGGGGTGGAGACGCTTCTTCAGACAAGCCATCTTGAGCATGGTTATAACTACGGAAAGCGTGCAAACCAATAAAATTACGTTCATGGTGTTATGTGAACCTTGGCTAAGACTTTATCATTCTTCCAGACATCCTTACGTAAGAACAGCCCTGCTGAATCAGGCCCATGGCAACCACCACCCGGATGCCCCAAAGGGAGGCCCATGAGCAGGATCTGACCACCCTCTCCCCTCCATTATTTTGTCAAAACATTTGTTGCCCCTCCTCTAAGGGCATCCCCCTGTTTCTAGACAGCTGAGCATTTAGGACGTTCACTTATCAACAACCAGATGAAACTGAAATGAAAAGAAGGAGGGGAGGAAACACGAGGAAACACGTCACTGATAAATCCTGTGGGCCGTGAAATGGATTTTTAAATTTTATTTTAAATAGACCAACCGGCTGGTTCAAAGAATTTCGGTCCCGCTTTTTTTTATAATCACCTGCCCCAGGGAAGAGGGGAAGCAAGGGGAGTCGGGGAAGGGATTTACGAGTATGAATGCAAGTATCCCACAGTTTGCCAAGCAACCCTGCTCTCTCTCTCTCTCTCTCTCTCTCCTCCGCTCGAAATAGGATGCTATTTTTAAGCACTGGTAGCAGAAGCATGTCTGGTAGGAAGAGGAACAGGCAGGTTATGCATGAACAGATGTCTGAGTATGGATGTATACAAGGTTTTTTAAAAAATAAAAAATACAAAACAGACACTTGTCCGGTCGCCTGTAGCAAGCTGACAGTGAATTTTGGAGCAGAATACACCTTTCTGATTTGTTATGTTCCCATCTACATGTCTCTAATAACTGAACAAGGGACACGGGTGGCTCTGTGGGTTAAAGCACAGAGCCTAGGACTTGCCGATCAGAAGGTTGGCGGTTTGAATCCCTGCGATGGGGTGAGCTCCCGTTGCTCGGTCCCTGCTCCTACCCACCTAGCAGTTTGAAAGCGCATCAAAGTGCAAGTAGATAAATAGGTACCGCTCCGGCGGGAAGGTAAATGGCGTTTCCGTGCGCTGCTCTGGTTTGCCAGAAGCGGCTTAGTCATGCTGGCCACATGACCCGGAAGCTGTACACCGGCTCCCTCAGCCAGTAAAGCGAGATGAGCGCCACAACCCCAGAGTCGGCCACGACTGGACCTAATGGTCAGGGGTCCCTTTACCTAATAACTGAACAAAGAAGTATATCATAGAATCATGGGATTGTAGAGTTGGAAGGGACCCCAAGAATAATTGAGTCCAACCCTCTGCAATGCAGGAATCCTGCCCATAACCATCCCTGGGTGGGCTTGAACCAGTAACCTTTTGGTTAACAGCCAGATGCACAACCCACTGTACCACCTTTAAATGCATGAATTGATTTCTGAGTGTGGATATATATAAGGTGGGTTGGCTGGGGTTTTTTAAGCCATTTGTCTGAATGCCTGCGGTGAGTCGAAACTGCTTACAGAGAACCAGACATCTTTAACTAAAATATGCCGTTTTCCATTGGTTATGTCCCCATTTCCAGGCCATCATGGATACTAGCCAAGTAGAGCCAGACCTATCTTTTGCTTGGGAAACCAGAGTTTAATGGGCCAGAAAGGGATAGGTAAGTCACTAGAGCATGAGAATCCTAACCTTGGGCCCCACGTTGGGCAAAAATATCCCTGCATTGCAGGGGGTTGGACTAGATGACCCTTAAGGTCCCTTCCGACTCTACAATTCTGTGATTTGATGATAATGCACCCTATATGGTTTTGGACTACAACTCCCATCAGCCCCCAGCCAGTATGGCAAAACTGCCCGCTCCGGCACACCCATACTATCTGGGGGCTTGATGGGAGTTGTAGTCTGAGAAGATAATTTAGGGGGCACCAGGTTGGGAATAGCAGGTTGGATGGGTGGGTTTCTCAGTTAGGAACAGAAGTGCACACATAGATCATTCCTGGGATAGCAGAGATATTGGGAGAGGTCAGGAGAGCCCGAACCAAAGGATTGACTAAGCTTAATTACAGATATGCCTTATCTATCTATCTATCTATCTATCTATCTATCTATCTCTTTATCTAGAGCAGGTGTACCCTGCTGTTCAGCCAAAAAGTCTCCTAGAGTGGCTTTTGTTGTTGTTTAGTCGTTTAGTTGTGTCCGACTCTTCATGACCCCATGGACCAGAGCACGCCAGGCACTCCTGTCTTCCACTGCCTCCCACAGTTTGGTCAAACTCATGCTGGTAGCTTCGAGAACACTGTCCCACCATCTCGTCCTCTGCCGTCCCCTTCTCCTTGTGCCCTCCATCTTTCCCAACATCAGCGTCTTTTCCAGGGAGTCTTCTCTTCTCATGAGGTGGCCAAAGTATTGGAGCCTCAGCTTCAGGATCTGTCCTTCCAGTGAGCACTCAGGGCTGATTTCCTTCAGAATGGAGAGGTTTGATCTTCTTGCAGTCCATGGGACTCTCAAGAGTCTCCTCCAGCATCATAACTCAAAAGCATCAATTCTTCAGCAATCAGCCTTCTTTATGGTCCAGCTCTCACTTCCATACATCACTACTGGGAAAACCATGGCTTTGACTCTATGGACCTTTGTTGGCAAGGTGATGTCTCTGCTTTTTAAGATGCTGTCTAGGTTTGTCATTGCTTTTCTCCCAAGAAGCAGGCGTCTTTTAATTTTGTGGCTGCTGTCACCATCTGCAGTGATCATGGAACCCAAGAAAGTAAAATCTCTCACTGCCTTCATTTCTTCCCCTTCTATTTGCCAGGAGGTGATGGGACCAGTGGCCATGATCTAGAGTGGCTTACATACACTCAAAACAATACAGTCCCTGCCTGCACAGCCTTCCATTCTGAAAAAGAATGACACACAAGGACTGAGAGCTCAGTTGGCTAGAGCGTGGCGCTGATAAGGCCAAGGTTGCAGGTTCGATCCCCGTATGGAACAGCTGCATATTCCTGCATTACAGGGGATTGGGTCCCTTCCAACTCTACAGTGCCAGGATTCTATGAAAAAGGGACTGGGAAAGAAATATTTTTTTAAAAAAAATGAAAAATTAAGGCACTGGTTTATAAATATTTGTTCCTCTAAGGAGAAGCTGGTCCAGTTCATTTAGAGAAAACAAGAGGTGCCAATGAAAGAAGTGTATAAAATTACGAGTGGGAGAGAAGTTCTTCTCCCTCTATCAAAGCGCTAGAACTCCTCAGACATCCACTGAAGGTAAATATGGGGAGATTCAGGATAGATAAAAGGAAGTCATTCTTTGTGCAGCGCAAAGTTAAACTTTGGAACCCCCTCCCACACGAAGCAGTGATGGGCACCAATCTAAAAAGGTAAAGGTAAAGGGACCCCTGACCATTAGGTCCAGTCGTGACCGACTCTGGGGTTGCGGCGCTCATCTTGCTTTATTGGCCGAGGGAGCCGGCGTACAGCTTCCGGGTCATGTGGCCAGCATGACTAAGCCGCTTCTGGCGAACCAGAGCAGCGCACGGAAACGCCGTTTGCCTTTCCGCTGGAGCGGTACCTATTTATCTACTTGCACTTTGATGTGCTTTCGAACTGCTAGGTTGGCAGGAGCAGGGACTGAGCAACGGGAGCTCACCCCGTGGCAGGGATTCGAACCGCCGACCTTCTGATTGGCAAGTCCTAGGCTCTGTGATTTAACCCACAGCGCCACACCTTAGTGAGACCGAGAGAGGAAGTGACCAGCTCCCAATACCACAGCCTAAGTCTGCTTTATAAGCAAGTGAGGATACGAACCCAGCAGAGGCGGTTTTAGGGTAGGGCGACTGGTGTGGTTTCACTGGTCGGCTGCCACAACCGTGGTGCAGAATGGAGCACGAGAAGCACGGATTTTGCATGAATTTCGGTGTGGCACAAATTCAGGGCCCTGCCGAAATTTGAGCCCCCAAAGTCCGCCACTGCTCCTGGTCTCCCATGGCCTAGTTCTGCACTCTAACCCCCTCTTCCCCACTGGCTCTCCATATATTTCCATATATTTCCTCCATATAATAGAAAGCAAAGCAGCTGCTGGATTTTGGGAGGCTGCGGTCCAAACTGCACCTACCGTCTTGGCCAGGGGTCAGCAGACTTTTTCAGCAGGGGGCTGGTCCACCGTCCCTCAGAACTTGTGGGGGGCCAGACAATATTTTTGGGGGGAAATGAACAAATTCCTATGCCCCACACATAACCCAGAGATGCATTTTAAACAAAACGACACATTCTACTCATGTAAAAACACCAGGCAGGCCCCACAAACAACCTAGAGATGCATTTTAAATAAAAGGACACATTCTACTCATGTAAAAACACGCTGATTCCCAGACCATCCATGGGCCGAATTTAGAAGGCGATTGGGCTTGACAGTAGATGCCTAGACCTTTTCCTCCCCCCACCCCCTATGAAATGAGGGAGGGGGTCCTTAAAACTCTGTCTACATGCCCAGGGTGTGTGTGTGTGTGTGTGTGTGTGTGTGTGTGTGTGTGTGCAGGATGCTGTCTCACCTACTAGGCCCAGAAGGATGGCAAGCACCTTGCTAGCTAAATACACAGCCCCAACGTTAGCAACTGATAGTTCATTTCCCCCCGGCAAACCCAGGATTTATTTTATTTTATTTTTTGTCGAGAGGTGAGGACAGTGTTATGTTCCCATTTTAAAGGCTGGGCAACTGAGGCTGAAGGAGAGGGACACCCGAAGGAAAAGTGGGACATCCTGGGATGAAATCAGAAACCGGGACAGCTTCTCTAAAACAGGGATGGACAGCCCTGGAAAAATAGGGATACTTAGAGGGTCTGTGAAAGGGACCCGTTTCTAGGCATCTTCTGACGTCCTCTATGGCACAATCCTGTCCCTTCTCTTACCGTTTGTGTCAGCATTTTCTCCCTCTCGTTCCTCCACTCACCACCCCGTTTTGGATTCCTGGCATCTCCACTAGAAACCTCCTGCGCTTATTTGCATTCCTTGGAAATCAGAATTTCAGCGTATATCTCTGAACATCCCTAAAAAGCATGTTTCTATTTGTGAATAGGCAGATGGACATTAGTGGCATCCTTCCCTTTTCTTACCGATCATTTTAATCGCTTTATCCTTTTCGTAAACTGCTTTAAGTTTGGTGGTGTTGTTTTTTTTAAAAAAAACCAAGTGGCGTTTAATTTTATGAAACAAATAAATAACCCTCTTTGACCAGAGCTTATGGGGAGATTAGGCCATAGGCAGCGTTTATTGAGCATTTGTTCTGATTTTGTTTATGGGGTTGACCATGTGACAAGCCGCCACTCTGATTTTCTTATGGGGCATTTGCATATCTTCCTGTTAAGTCATTCATCCAAACTGCATAATGTCAGTTTCTTTATTATTATTATTTTTTAAAAGGAATGGATTCGTTGTGCTGCGGTGACAGGATGAGCCTTGACCCACTTTAATTGTGAAACCTAAATTTGCAGCATGCGCTGGTATCTCTTCCAAGTAACGTCGGCAGCCTGGAGGCACCCCGCCAAAGTCCATTAAAAGTTTATTCATTCACTGCCTTCATATCCTACCTTTTTTTTTCCCCTCCAAGGAGCTGACGGTAGTGTACATGGTTCTCCCCCTCCTTGAGTAACTTCCACAACAAGTTACAGGGAACCAGGCAGAGGGCCTTCTCGGTAGTGGCACCTGCCCTGTGGAACGCACTCCCACCAGATGTCAAAGAGAAAAACAACTACCAGACTTTTAGAAGACATCTGAAGGCAGCCCTGTTTAGGGAAGCTTTTAATGTTTAATAGATTATTGTATTTTAATATTTTGTTGGAAGCCGCCCAGTGTGGCTGGGGAAACCCAGCCCGATGGGCAGGGTATAAATAATATATTATTATTATTATTATTATTATTATTATTATTATTATTACAACAACCCTGTGAGGTAGGCTAGGCTGAGAAGCAGTGACTGGCACCTAGTCCACAAAATGGTTGAATGTGGGATTCGAACCCTTGTCTCCCAGGCTTTAGCATGACACTCTAACCACTACGGCACGCTAGCTTCCCAGTAACTCTAGAGTTAGTAGCCAAGACATACTTTCCCTCTGGCTCAAACCATACCTGCTGTTCCACCTGTTCCCCGAGCAGCAGAAAGCCCCTGGGACCAGGGATTTGGCCTCCGGCCTGTCTGTAATTATTTAGTTTATTTACATGTGCACAACTCTGGTCTCATCGGAGGCAGACGCCTTGTGCTCATAGCAGGCAAGAGACCCACTGCCCCACATTGGATCGTGAGAGAAAAAGAGAGAATTTCCTAGCAGATGATGGCTCAGCTCTCTGATCTGCTCCCTGTCTTGCTTGGTGCCCGTCTGTTCCCCAAACTGCAATTTCTTCTACATGGAAGCTTTGCCTTGCCAGC